TCGTTGCTTGTGAGCTGGCTGGACCTGCCCTGGTGCCCACCGTTGCACCGTCTTGATGAAGACAACGTGCTCCAACCCCCCACCTCCCCCCCTCCTCGAGTTTGTTATCTCCGTTCTGCAGTCGCGGGTCGAACCGTCATCTTCCACTTGCGTAGTAGATGATGATGAAGATGATGTTAAAGATGATCACGTGGACCGGATAATCATCCCAACAGGAGTGGGTGCCGTCAAATCGTCTTCTCTCGGCCGGCTCGTCACGATTGAGCCGTTCACGCTCCGTCCAGCCTGGGAACAACTGCTCCCTCCGCGTGTCGGTCATCCGATGGTGATGATAATGGTTAGTTATCGCTTCGGGACGTCGTGCGGCCGACGCGATTTTCCGTGGTCCACAGTTTACGGGGAAAAAAATACCGTGGGGAAGGGGAGGGGGGGGAGATTCGCCCGGTTGCGAAAAGGTCAGAGTCACCGTTCCCACCCGTTCCGGCTCAACGCGTCTTGACAACGGCCAATTTGACCTTGTGTGCTTCACGTCCGCGTGCGTCATGGCGAGCCGCTGTAAAAGCCCGGCTCAGCTCGAAGCGCAAATTTGCATGCATCAGGTGGAGGACACAGAGAGCGCGCGAGGGGCGGAGGCGGTAAGGGGGAAAGGTAAGGGGAGCGGCAGTGGCGTATTGTGTTATAAAAATGTGTTTATCACGGTTGCTGAGAAAAAGGCCACCAAGCGAAAATGCCTCAACGGAAAGCAGTCAACAATTACATGGCACTATTATTATTACAACCGTCATAGATAAAGAGAGTTAGTAGGCTTCTTGAACGGAGCAAGGTATCAAGAACTTGGGCAGAGAGAGAGGATCGATGGGAAGTGTTCTGAACTGCAGTTTTGGTGGTTGAACGCAGTACGGACGAGACGAAATATTCAGTCAACATCGGAGTAGGAATCAATGAGTCATCCCCTGTCCTATTTACACTCTACTTCATAGCCCTGGCGTTTTCAGGCCATACCAGCCCCCTGCGCTACGGTGCAGGTGCATCGCCTGCACACTTTGATTGCTACGCCACTGCGTGGAAAGGACCTTCACCTAGCAGCCGATTACCACGATGCTGGAAAAGAAAGCATAACCGAAGAGTCGATGCATTACCCCACTTTCAATTTGTGCTGTGCAATTGTTTCGTGGCGAGTGACAAAAGCTCAACGCGCCATCGTCGCGCGTCTTTGTGAAAACTCTCGACATGGAATCTGACAGTGGAGAGAAAATGTCACAACCCCGACACACTATGTTTTTACTAGACTACAATTTTTTTTACCAGATAAGGCCCACTGAGCTACGTAGCTCTTTTTCAGAAGCCACCTGGCCACAAATGATAGCTCAACAAAGTGACTTGTCATGTGGAGATTGATAGCAGCCAAATAAATGCACGTTGATTCTAAATGTGGAAGGAAAAATAGGACGTGGAGAAAACTCCACGCGACCATGGGGGGAACACGCAAACTCCAAATATACAGGCGTAAGGGTTGGGATCGAACCCACAAACCCTTGTGTACCAGGCGAGGTAGTTAACATCTCGCCACCGTGGCGCAACCATGACGCTCGAGCAAAAAGTTCCCACAGGTGCTTTCCCTGCAAAGGGTGGTGGGTGATTCTGGGTTCAGGTTGTATTTCACAGCCCCAGGCAACCGTGTCTGGTTTAGCACCGGCTTGAAGGAAGCGGGTATGGAAACATGTGGCGACGACATGCAAAGGTATGCATGTAAAAAGGTTAAACAAAATGCACGGCGCTGCAATTTTTGCTGCCGATTGAAGGGTTTGCAGTATCGGAAGCTCTAGAGACCCCCTCTAGAGCGGATGTTGGCCTACTCTTCCTTGTTGGCCAGGCGTCTTGGAAGAGGTGGGAGTCCCCACACTTTACCTCCACGACAAACCGACTGCCAATCGGCCGTTGTGGATTTAAAAAAACTTCTCCCATCCTTTCACATGCCGCGCCGGGAGATCCAAACGGCGACCACTGGCTTGCAGGTCCGGTGCGCGGACCGTTATCCCAAGCATCCAGGTATGCGCGCGTAAGTACGTGTATATATGTCTGGCCAAAGTCCTTGCCTGTGAAAATGTACGATCTCTTGCGGGAGTTAGGGGTGTAAATGATGCGTCATTTCGTAATGTTTTTATAGCCCTTTGTTAATCCACTTCTGATGCAATTATGTCGCTTAAGCACCGCACTGTAAAATTCTACTTGCGTCTCTCCATCAACATCAGTCGTAAGACGAAAAATTATCAACTCCTTCATGAATGCATCGTCATGTAAGGGTTGCTTCAGCTTATTTAATCTTTTCTTTCCTTGGCCTCGCAACATTGTCAATGAGATTCCGGAAAGGAGACAGATTAATATCAAACGCCATCATGTCAGCCCTTTGAAGACTATGACAAGGCGTCCGATTGAGTAGTCCCTGTGACATTTATGATGCAGTCACTACCGCTCACCCGCTAATTTCAAGTACCTTGCGACTTGCAAAAAATTCTCTTAATCCCACAATTAGTGTGATTGAACAAAAAAAATCCAAGATCACAACAAAACTTAAGAATTGTGCGACTATTGTAAGGATTTTAAACCCCAAAAAGGTTTTTCCGGAATAAAAACAATACATTTCCACGCAGCTCCGCCAGAATTTTCATCAAACTCCCTCTGCTGAGTTGATGGAAAAACTCACAAAAAACTTGTAATAACGATTCGCATTCACAGCGCGCCCATGGCATAACAATAAGCATCAGAGTGCAGTTGTTTAGCCTAGGGGAACCCCTAATGGCAGCTTGCCCCTGAGTGGCACAACAGGACTCAGCACTGGCCTGCGAGAGGGGCATTAGTCTGAAAGTTGGCGGCAATGATTGCCATGCGTAAACCCAATTTTCCAACCAAAATTACCTGCAAATTACTCGTATGTAATCCCCGCTGTGTAATTTGTGGGTGGGTTTTTTTTTAAGTTGGCAAATTTAGGCCATGACACCGGCACACAATGGCCTCTTTTTGAATGACGTAACGGAGTATTTCAACGTCCACTACGAAGCAGACGGTGCATGTTTTTACGGTTACCACACTTGGTAGTAATAACCAGGGTAACCTTCCAGATACAAACCGCTAATCTCTACAACAATCAGCGAACGTGCTACAGCTGGACCATTTAAAAAAACTAAACATTTTTTTATTTTATCAGGTAAGGGCCACTGAGTTACATCGCTCTTTTTCAGAAGCGACCTGGCCACAAATGATAGCTCAACGAAGTGGCTTATCACGTGGACATGTTTCGCAGCCAAATACTCTAAACGTATGTTCATTCTAAATGTGGAGGGAAAAGCCGGAAGACCCTGAGAAAAACCCACGAGTCTGAGGGGAGAGAGAGACGAAAACTCCAAATATACAGGCGTCAGGGTCGGGATCGAAACCACAATCTCATGTATACCAGGAGAGGTAGTCAACACATTCCTGCGGAGGGAGCTGGGAGGAACGTTGGGTTGCTCGGTCAATGGCCAGGGTCAACGGCGGCGTGGTGTATTCCGCAAATATGGCCGACTGTGAGGGCGGGCACAAGCCGGCGTAAGTTAAACGTTGAGTTTTATAAGGGCACCACGGGGTGACCAGCCCCTCCCCACCCAGCCCCACCCCCCACCCAGCCCCACCCTCCCCACCCTCCCCACCTAGCCCGTCCCCACCCTCCCCTCTCCACCCAGCCCCACCCCTCCAATTTTTGGATGCACGACGAACGGACACAATAATCCCCTGTGGGCTGGTGTAACCAGCAGGTTCCTACCAGTACTATCTCATCATCTCTTTCAAGGTCATAACACTCGGACACCACCTAACAATTACACAGCAAAACCTACTTGCTGTGCCATCCCACGCACATCACAACATCGCTGTTCTCCAAGTTATGACCTCGGGTGTAACGTCACCTCAATGTGAGCAGCAACAACAACAACGCCTTCATGCAACTAAAACCAGCATCGCCAACGTTATTCTAATGGCCGGCATCAGTCTGCAAAAGGGACTGCGCAGACCAATTCAGACCGTATTGGTCACCCCCGTGCCCTTATAAATATCAACATTCACGTAAAGGAGAAACACAATCAAATAGACAAAATTTGTCAAATAAATTGCCCGTATTGAAACGGCTGTACGCCGTATGAACCTGAAAACTCAATTTCCCTGTACAAGAATACGGGCAAAACGTATGGGTTGACAAAATTGACCCCCCAACTGGGAATTTCGCTACAGGATATTCCGTTTGTGAGTGAAGAGCTCCGACAAATCCAGCACTACCATGTGAACAATTACCAACACGACTACAACTATTGCCAGTATCACCACCCACATCATCACCAGCACAACCACCTCAACCAGGACTACCTGGGCTACCACAACTGTGACATCACCACTGCTACCACCACCAGCAACAATTGCAATCACAACCGCCACCATAACTATAATCACCATCAATCACCTCCACTGATACCACTTTCCCTACTACCAACAGTCATCGCCACCACAACCACTTCCAAAGATACCAATTCCTCTACTACCAACACAGCCATCACCACAACCACCGTAACCACAACCACCATCACCTCCACAGATACCAACTTCCCCTACTGCCAACACAACCATCACCACCACCACCACCCTAACCACAACCACCCTAACCACAATCACCATCAATCAGCCCCGCTGGAACCACTTCCCATACTACCAACACAACCACCACCACAACCACCCTAACCACAATCACCATCAATCACCTCCACAGATATCAACTTCCCCTACTATCAAACACAGCCATCACCACCACAACCACCCTAACCACAATCACCATCAATCACCTCCACAGATACCAACTTGCCCTACTACCACCACAACCCCCACAACCACCACCACAACCACCACACCCTGCCACCACAACCACCACCACCACAACCACCTCCACAACCACCACAGCCACCACCACAACCACGCACCTTGTACGCAACGCCTGCCACGCCGCCTCGATGTCGGCGTAGAGATTCTTCTCGGAGGGCCTCCCCGTGCTCGCCCCGTAGCCCGAGTAGTCGTACGAGAAGACGTTGCAGTTGATTCGCGTGCCGAGGCCCACGTAGAAGCTGCTCATCTGGCCCAGATCCACGGCGTTTCCGTGCGAGAAAAGCAACGTGTAGCGTGCACTGGGCGCGCAACGCACGAACATGCACGCCACGCGGTTTCCACGTGTTGAGCGCGTCAGGGAGACCTCCACGGCGTCGAGTTCTCGCTGTGAGTACTGCCACTCGGCCTTCTCGGTGAGGTGCAGGGACCAGCGGGCAGCAGTCTCGTCTGCCATGAGCGCGTAGGTAGGCTCCGGCGGAAGGAAGGCGAGTTTGGCCGCGATGCGACTCGGGCACGGCGGGCAGCAGAAGAGGCAGCAGAGTTCGCTGAGCGAGAGGCCGTTCATGATGGTCTGGGGGTGGTGGGGGGGGGCAGGCGAAGAGAGAGTGTGTGTGGTTGTGAGTATATGTGGTTGTGTGTGTGTGGTTGTGTGTGGTTGTGTGTGTGTGGTTGTATGTGTGTGGTTGTGTGTCGTGTGTGTGCGTGGTTGTGTGTGTGTGTAAGTGGTTGTGTGTCAGCGTGTGTGCGTGGTTGTGTGTAAGTGGTTGTGTCAGCGTGTGTGTGGTTGTGTGTGGTTGTATGTCAGCGTGGTTGTGTCAGCGTGGTTGTGTGTCGTGTGTCAGCGTGGTTGTGTGTGTGTGTGGTCGTGTGTGTGCGTGGTTGTGTGTGTGTGTGTGGTCGTGTGTGTGTGTGGTCGTGTGTCAGCGCTTGTCTCCCAAGTCCGCTAAGGGCTATATGCCACACAGCGGATCGTTGTGCGTGTGTCTCCCGGTCGCCGGCGTGCCCGAGTTGCGTCTCTGCCGTGAGGTGTGTCCGCTTGTCGTTAGTACGTGTGCCTGGGGGGTCTTCCGTGTGCCACTGTTAGTTGTGCTGTGTGTCTTGTGTCACTGTCTTAGTGTGTGATGCCGGGTGTGCGTGTGTCACTGTCTTAGTGTGTGTGTGTGTGTGGTATGTGTGTGTGTCACTGTGTGTGTGTCACTGTGTGTGTGTGTGGGTCACTGTGTGTGCGTGTGGGGTACTATTAGTCGTGCTGTGTCTTGTGTCACTGTCTTAATGTGTGATGCCGGGTGTGCGTGTCACTGTGTGGCATGTCACTGTCTTGGTGTGCGTGTAGTGTATGTGTGGTGTGCGTGGTATGTGTGGTGTGTTACTGTGTGTGTGGGGGTCACTGTGTGTGCGTGTGGGGTACTGTTAGTTGTGCTGTGTGTCTTGTGTCACTATCTTAATGTGTGATGCCGGGTGTGCGTGTCACTGTGTGGCGTGTCACTGTCTTAGTGTGTGTGTGTGTTGTATGTGTGTGTGTGGTATGTGTGGTGTGTCACTGTGTGTGTGTGTGTCACTGTGTGTGTGCGTGTGGGTCACTGTGTGTGCGTGTGGGGTACTGTTAGTTGTGCTGTGTCTTGTGTCACTGTCTTAATGTGTGATGCCGGGTGTGCTGTGTCACTGTGTGTGTGTCACTGTGTGTGCGTGTGGGGTACTGTTAGTTGTGCTGTCTTGTGTCACTGTCTTAATGTGTGATGCCGGGTGTGTGTGTGTCAATGTGTGGCATGTCACTGTCTTAGTGTGTGTGTGGTGTATGTGTGGTGTGCGTGGTATGTGTGGTGTGTTACTGTTTGGTGTGTCACTGTGTGTGTGGTATGTGTGTGTGTGTCACTGTGTGTGTTGTATGTGTCAGTCTAACGTGTGGGTTGTATGTGTGTGTCACTGTGTGTGTGTCACTGTCTTAGTGTGTGTGTCACTGTGTGTGTCTTTGTCTAACGTGTGTGTGGTGTATGTGTGGTGTGTATTGTATGTGTGGTGTGTGTTGTATCTGTGTGTGTTGTATGTGTGTGTGTCACTGTGTGTGTGTCACTGTCTAACGTGTGTGTTGTATGTGTGTGTGTGGTATGCATGTGTTGTATGTGTGGTGTGTGTGTTGTATGTGTGGTGTGTGTGTTGTATGTGTGTGTGTTGTATGTATGCGTGTTGTATGTGTGTGGTGTGCCACGGTCTCACGTGTGTTGTATGTGTGGTGTGTCACTGTGTGTGTGTCACTGTCTCACGTGTGTGTGTGTTGTATGTGTGGTGTGCGTGTGTGTGTTGTATGTGTGTTGCATGTGTTGTATGTGCGGTGTGCGTGACACTGATATGTGTGGCCGTGTTACTGTGTGGTGTGTATGTGTGGTGTGTGGTTGTTTAAGTGTGTGGCCGTGTTACTGTTTGGTGTGTGTGTGTGGTGTATGTGTGGTGTGTATGTGTGGTGTGTATGTGTGGTGTGTATGTGTGGTGTGTATGTGTGGTGTGTTTAAGTGTGTGGCCGTGTTACTGTCTGGTGTGTGTGTGTGTTGTGTGTGTGGGGTGTATGTGTGGTGTGTGTGGTGTGTATGTGTGGTGTGTATGTGTGGTGTGTATGTGTGTATGTGTGGTGTGTATGTGTGGTGTGTATGTGTGTATGTGTGGTGTGTATGTGTGGTGTGTATGTGTGTATGTGTGGTGTGTATGTGTGGTGTGTGTTGTATGTGTGGTGTGTGTTGTATGTGTGGTGTGTGTTGTATGTGTGGTGTGTGTTGTATGTGTGGTGTGTTGTATGTGTGGTGTGTTGTATGTGTGGTGTGTGTGTTCAAGTGTGTGGCCGTGTTACTGTCTGGTGTGTGTGTCTATTGTGCAACTGAGGACTGTTTGCGTCTAGATTTCTATTACGCATTTAAGTTGTAATCTATACGAATGCCGATTATCCGGTATGTTTGTTAAACTATATTAACATGTCCGTGTATCTGCATATATTGCCTCACACTCGTGTATACTACAGTTTTATATCACAAATGTGTACGCTTACACCTTTTACAACCTGTATCGTTAAAAATCGGCTTATGTAAGTACTAAGAATGCTGACAACACGCAAGTTAAAACTCACCGATACCTATTGCTTAAGCCAACCAACCAAAAACTAACATCAACACAATCCTATCGCGTGATCGCCATTGCCAGTATAACAACACGAAACATTTAACGCTGTAAACACTTTATACTTTTATTATCAATCGACGGCTCAAACCTTACCTGGCAAACTCAGGCCGCAAGTGTTGCCCAACCAACCCACCCCCACACCTCCCTGTTTACCTACAAGGCAGCTATTAATAACAACAACAACAATAATCACGACTACGACAATCGTTAAACAACTCACTGAACCTTTAAGTTATCGCTCGTGATCGATTGCCGAATTTCGCCTTCTCATCCCGTCCGCTTCGCGCCTCCGTTCGCGAGGTCTCCTGCCGCGCACAGACACCCACCCAGTCACACACAGTCACACAGTCTGCCAGCCAGTCGCGATGCTGATGATGATGCGGAGGTCGACGGTAACCATCTTAGGTGAGGAGATTAAGAGATAAATACATCACCCCACCCACTCAACACCAACCAGCCACCAATCCCCCCCACCCACCAATCCCCCCCCCACCCACCAATCCCCCCCCACCCACCAATCCCCCCCCACCCACCAATCCCCCCCCACCCACCAATCCCCCCCCACCCACCAATCCCCCCCCACCCACCAATCCCCCCCCACCCACCAATCCCCCCCACCCACCAACCCCCCCCACCCACCAACCCCCCCCCCACCCACCAACCCCCCCCCACCCACCAATCCCCCCCACCCACCAATCCCCCCCACCCACCAATCCCCCCCCACCCACCAATCCCCCCACCACTAACCCCCCCCCCACCACCAACCCCCCACCCCCCCACCAACCCCCCCCCACCATCAACCCCCCCACCACCATTACCCCCCCCCCCACATCACCCCCCCCACCATCACCCCCCCCCACCACCACCCCCCCCACCACCACCCCACCCCCCACCCCCCACCACCCCCCCCACCACCACCCCCCACCACCACAGGCGCGTCATGCTGTGACGTCAATGTAAGAAGCTCGCCACTGGCAGTGCGAGAATTTATCAGCAGCCCCCCCCCTCCCCCTTACGAAGATGGCGGCGAGGTAAGTTACAATCTGGGTGACGTCACGCGGCCCGGCGACGACGGGGGGGGGGGTGGGGGGCACGCGATAAGGAAAAAATCGCGTGACCGTGACGTCAGCGCACGCGCGCGATGACGTCACGGTCGTAATCCGGAGGCGTGGTTGTTTTTTGTGTGTGAAACGCGCGTGCGTCGTGACGTCATGACGTACGATCGCAAGCTTGTGGCCCAATGTGGGTCACAGTGGCCTCATGGGGGTCACAGTGGCCCAATGTGCTCACTATGGCTTGATGTGGGTCACTTAGGCCCAATTTGGGTCACTTTGGCCTAATGTGCTCACTATGGCTTGATGTGGGTCACTTAGGCCCAATTTGGGTCACTTTGGCCTAATGTGCTCACTATGGCTTGATGTGGGTCACTTAGGCCCAATTTGGGTCACTTTGGCCTAATGTGGTCACTTTGGCTTGATATGGGTCACTTAGGCCCAATTTGGGTCACTTTGGCCTAATGTGGTCACTATGGCTTGATGTGGGTCACTTAGGCCCAATTTGGGTCACTTTGGCCTAATGTGCTCACTATGGCTTGATGTGGGTCACTTAGGCCCAATTTGGGTCACTTTGGCCTAATGTGCTCACTATGGCTTGATGTGGGTCACTTAGGCCCAATTTGGGTCACTTTAGCCTAATGTGGTCACTATGGCTTGATGTGGGTCACTTAGGCCCAATTTGGGTCACTTTGGCCTAATGTGCTCACTATGGCTTGATGTGGGTCACTTAGGCCCAATTTGGGTCACTTTAGCCTAATGTGGTCACTATGGCTTGATGTGGGTCACTTAGGCCCAATTTGGGTCACTTTGGCCTAATGTGCTCACTATGGCTTGATGTGGGTCACTTAGGCCCAGTTTGGGTCACTTTGGCCTAATGTGCTCACTATGGCTTGATGTGGGTCACTTAGGCCCAATTTGGGTCACTTTGGCCTAATGTGCTCACTATGGCTTGATGTGGGTCACTTAGGCCCAATTTGGGTCACTTTGGCCTAATGTGGTCACTATGGCTTGATGTGGGTCACTTAGGCCCAGTTTGGGTCACTTTGGCCTAATGTGGTCACTATGGCTTGATGTGGGTCACTTAGGCCCAATTTGGGTCACTTTGGCCTAATGTGGTCACTATGGCTTGATGTGGGTCACTTAGGCCCAATTTGGGTCACTTTGGCCTAATGTGCTCACTATGGCTTGATGTGGGTCACTTAGGCCCAATTTGGGTCACTTTGGCCTAATGTGCTCACTATGGCTTGATGTGGGTCACTTAGGCCCAATTTGGGTCACTTTAGCCTAATGTGGTCACTATGGCTTGATATGGGTCACTTAGGCCCAATTTGGGTCACTTTGGCCTAATGTGGTCACTATGGCTTGATGTGGGTCACTTAGGCCCAATTTGGGTCACTTTGGCCTAATGTGGTCACTATGGCTTGATGTGGGTCACTTAGGCCCAATTTGGGTCACTTTGGCCTAATGTGGTCACTGAAACCTGATGTGGTCACTGGCCTCATGTGGCCTAACGTTGTCACTGTGGGTTACATTGAGCTAATGGGGGTCGCAGTGGCCTAATGTTGGCCACTGGCCTAATATGGGCCACTGTAGTTTGTTGTGGGTCATCGTGTCAGGTCAGGCTTTGGTCAGTGCTTGTGTTGAGGAATGTTGATTTAGTGTGCTGATCTTAAAGGTGCATTGAAAAATGTTGATACTCCGACTGATTCTCCTACTGTTGTGGAGTGACTCATGCAGCCAGCCATGGCTGCAGGGTTTTGGTAGTACATGTTGTTTATGCATTTATTGTGAAAATTCCGTCACAGTTCTTATGATCACTGTTTCATTGCTTTCATGGCTTTATTTTGGTGATTTCGAAAAGTGTATTGGTTTAACCATGTTTGTTTGTTGTAGTACAGAGTTAGACTGATGGCCTTAATCTAAGTAGTCTTGTGGTTGTTGTTTGACTTGCATCCCGCTGGGATATTTGCACAGGGTTGGTGTACAGTGATTTTTTTGCAATATTTTGCTGTCTTTTCTTGGATTTTCTGTTTGCACATAGTCACTTTAAGATGTTTTCTTGTTCATGTTTTTGTTTGTTGCGGTTGCACCCGATTCAAGAGCCGAATGGCTCACAGGGCTATACCTAATAAATGAACTTTGAACTTTGTGATGACAGGATGTCACACTCGCCTCAGGAGGAGTGACGTCATGTCCCCTCGGGGTATTTGATGGGGGACCGGTGACGTAGACGGGGTCTTCGCCGGGAGCCAGGGGAGTGAGTGGTAGGGGGATTAGAGACCCTGGGTCAAAGGGCAATTAGCGCCAGGCTAGAGGGCTACTTTACCCGGCTGGCCGAGTTGGCTGAACCCTCGGCCAGTGCTGAGGGAAGAGCTCGATAGCCTGGTAGGGTGTAGGGAACTCCCAGTACCAGAGGTCGCAAACGGGTTTTGATTCCTTACCCGTACCCATACCCGGCCACACTAGGGTCGCAATCAGGTACCCGATACCCGTACCCTACCCGTACCCGGCTGGGTACGGGTAGGGTACGGGTATCGGGTACCTGATTGCGACCTCTGGAATGAAGCCATGTTGCAGGCGCGGGTGGGTTGATTCTAGGAACTTGAATTGTGAGAAGAGACAAGACGTTGGGAAATGAGTGACAAACGGTGACTCACCAGTGACTCACGGCCTACCCGTACCCGTACCCGGCCGCACCAGGGTCGCAAACGGGTACCCGTACCCGGCCGGGTATGGGTAGCCGGGTATCGGGTCGGGTACGGGTATCGGGTCACCCAGTTGCGACCTCTGCCCATTAGTTAGTACCAAGTTGTGTTCACCCTTTCCCACGAGTTCTATCGTAAGCCCCTAATCAACAGTTCGACGTTAGCCCCTATACAACTCGCTTTCCGCGTCGTTCTTACTACACAACACTTGCGCCTTAAGGATGCGCTTCACTCGAATTTGAGAAGATGCGGAATTCCTGTAGATTCCGGGGGAAAGTTCGACACAATCAGGCTGCAGTGAGTGGCGGGCATGCTTGGGCTCAAGCTACTCGGTTACTTGAGAGAGACGGCGTCTTGGAGACACGGAGAGATAGCCACAATTCTAGATTTGAAGCTTTCGTGACTGCAAGGATTCATATTCTAAGGTTTTCGGTAAAGTCACGTAGGTAAAAACATTAAAATTAATAAAAGTAAAATTAAATTAAATAAAAATAAAAATCACGACGTTTCGGAGGCAACACAAGCTTTCGTCTTCAGGTGGAACCGTCACAGCACGACAGCTGTATCAAGTAAGGGAAATTCCAAGAAAACAGTCCTTGTATATATACTGCCAGGCGACCGAGAGTCCGAAGTGGTAGTCACCGTGTCGACTGGTGAGCTGGATATCATGAGTTACCCTCGGCCCACTTGGAGTGATCTCTGCTGTGTGTCGTTCAAACGCCGCTCTTGCCAAGCCAACAAGCGAACTCGCAGGAACCAAATGTAACGAGGGTCTAACACATTGTCCTGCGGAGGGAGCTGGTAGGAACGTTGGGTTGCTCGGTCAATGGCCAGGGTCAACGGCGGCGTGGTGTATTCCGCAAATATGGCCGACTGTGAGGGCGGGCACAAGCCGGCGTGAGTAGGTTAAACGTTGAGTCTTATAAGGGCACCACGGGGTGACCAGCCCCTCCCCACCCAGCCCCACCCAGCCCCACCCTCCCTACCTAATCCCTCCCCACCCAGCCCCTCCCCTCCCCACCCAGCCCCTCCCCACCCAGCCCCTCCCTCCCCACCCAGCCCCTCCTTGCACGACGGACGGACACAATAATCCCCTGTGGGCTGGTGTAACCAGGAGGTTCCTACCAGTAAGACCGTGTTCTTCACTCATTTTCAGAAGGGGGGGCAATTTTGCCTTCAAGACATCATCGGTATGAGGGCCTCCACACACTTGAAACCATTGGGGTTTGACAGCCATGATGATGATGATGGGGGTGTTTTCACATCTGTCTATTGTCGGGGGCCGCACGTCAGGGGGCGCACTAAAAGGCCACCAGCGTCCGTCAGCGGCCTGCGGGCCTTGCAATGGAAAAAAAAAAAACTGGTCTCAGATGCCGAAGGTTTACCTACTCCCGATGCAAGATAGGTCATCGTCCTTGCGGTCGGACTGCATGATAATGACGATGGTGGCTCAAGATTTTGAACTACTGAATTCAACATCAAGACACTGTGTTGAATCAACACACTGTGCTGAATTCATGTTGGCGGGCCCTAAGAAACCTGCCAATTGTTTCAACTGCAATGCCGGGAGATCGAACCTTCGCGTCTATCCAGGAACACTATCCGTGCTTTCGAGAGAACGCTGTGTACTGCCAAGACATTATACTGGTAGGAACCTCCTGGTTACACCAGCCCACAGGGGATATTGTGTCCGTCCGTCCGTCCGTCGTGCAGGGAGGGGCTGGGTGGGGAGGGAGAGGCTGGGTGGGGAGGGGAGGGTGGGGAGGGGCTGGGTGGGGAGGGGGGGGCTGGGTGGGGAGCGGAGGGTGGGGAGGGGCTGGGTGGGGAGGGTGGGGCTGGGTGGGGAGGGTGGGGAGGGGCTGGGTGGGGAGGATGGGAGGGGTGGGGCTGGGTGGGGAGGGGCTGGTCACCCCGTGGTGTCCTTATAAAACTCAACGTTTAACCTACTCACGCCGGCTTGTGCCCGCCCTCACAGTCGGGCATATTTGCGGAATACACCACGTCGCCATTGACCGAGCAACCCAACGTTCCTCTACCAGCTCCCTCCGCAGGGAGGAATGTGTTTACAATATCCGTCGAGGCAGGGTTTATATGCAATGTGTGTGTAAATAGGTGTACATAGACACGTCACGTGGTCTTAAAGTGCACTTAGCCTGGCACAAGCGTCGTGGTGACGTCACCGCCACTGGGTGGCGAGTGGCGGTTGTTGTTGTGGGAAGTTGTTTGTGTGTGGGAAGCGGTAGCGTAGTGTTTGCGGAATACACCACGCCGCCGTTGACCCTGGCCATTGACCGAGCAACCCAACGTTCCTACCATCTCCCTCCGCAGCAGGACAATGTGTTTACATTCAAGCATATCAAAAGTAAACCATGGAACAAACACAAAGCCAGCATTTTTAGAAGAATATATTTTGTAATTCATAATGAGACACAATGACACAATGTCGGGTTAATATCGTGTGATTGCGCGTATACACAACATACACAACACATCGTATTGGTTCTTTCGGTAAAGTCACGTAGAATGGAAATAATAAAATAATAAAAATAAAACATAATACAATTATTCTCACGACGTTTCTGCCACAACGCAAGCAGCCGTCCTTAGGTGGAGAACAGGTCTGTCGAGGAGACAGACTTGCGTTGTGGCCGAAACGTCGTGAGAATTATTTTATTATTTTTATTTTTTATTATTTTATTATTTCCATTCTACGTGACTTTACCGAAAGAACCAAAAAGATGAATCCCTGCAGTCACGAAAGCTTTAAATCGAAATACACAACACACATGCACACCTACATGCATTCATGATGGTGTGACATACAAACACAAATATCCCCCATATAGCTTTACAGACTTTTGGGGCAAGTGCTGCGAGCGAGTGCCTATTAAGACACAAGATGGGTGGTGTGGCCAGCACACAAACTGGCCATCTTTTTTTTTATCGCTAGTGCTGATAATGACACGCCATAACACGCGTACTCATTTGAGGCTGAGTTGACCTAGGAGAGGCCCATGCACAGGTTTAGACAACAATGACCAATGTGGCGCGTATCTTCGTGCCTGCGCTTGCGTAACACCACGAAGAAAAATTTCCGTCAAAATCACGAATTTTGCAATTCTCAAAAAAAAAATCCTCATATAAAAATAAAACCGGCTGAATTAATGCGAAATAACAAAAATACACTGTTTAGAAAAAGACTGGGTACCCCAACGTTTCGGGCAATCGGCCTTCATCATGAGATAAAAACATCTATTGCATTCGCTCACTGGAGTAGCAACTTTTTCCCTAACATCAAGAATCACGAAGCTTTTGGCAGGTTTCATATTCGCTTTACAAATGGAGCCGGAATAATACGACGTCGCACACTTGCGCGAGTGCCTCAACCTACAATTCATGGTTTGTGCAAAATTATATCTCTATTTACAATATGACACGACAGCATCCATGGGGCGAGGGGGGCCAAGGGGGGGGGGAGGATCAAGGGGGAGGGGCTATGGGGTTAAAGGGGGAGGGGCTAGGGGGACCAAGGGGGAGGGGTTGGGGCACAAGGGGGAGGGGCTAGGGGGACCAAGGGGGAGGGGTTTGGGCACAAGGGGGAGGGGCTATGGGGTCAAGGGGGAGGGGCTAGGGGGACCAAGGGGGAGGGCCTAGGGGGGTCAAGGGGTGGGGGCTATGGGGATAAAATCTACACTGTTAAAAAATGTAATTAATTATGAAATCTCAGATAAGTTCGGAATGGGGAAACACGGATTAGTGAACATCGCACGGTCCTGACGTCACATTGACCGCTCGGGAACGCGTGTGGCTTGTGACGGAACATCATCGCCACTGGGGACGGGACATCCGCCGCGGGAGATAGAGCGACAAAATCGGCGCGGACGTGGGGCACCGGGATGGACCCGTGAGAGCGGGCGACTACTTCGTGCAGCAAGCGAAGAGATCACGGCCAACGCGGCTGGCGCCGGGCTGCGACCTCTGACCCCCGCCCCCGCCGTCCCCCTCGAGTCTCCGCCATGTCCCTTCGCGACGTTCCTGGTGAAGGACGACCGACCGACGCACCAACAGGACCGCCGACTCTCGCGGGAGCGTTCTGCACCATCAAAAGGCGGAGTTGTTCACCACCTCGTATACGTTCTCGGGCGTCGTCACCGCGTTCCCGTTGGCCTTGTGCATCGACCCCGCGGGGGAGGAGGGCTCCGACTTGTGCGTCGATCCTGGCGAGCTCCCGGTGTGGCTCCCGGCGTCGCTGCCGGCGTCGCACTGGCCGTGTTTGCCGTGTTCGCTGCGTTTGCTGCTCTCGGCGACGCACTCGCGGGAAGAGAACTCGTGGTCTCCTTTCTGGGCTCTCTGCGTCTGCAGCTTCAGCAGCGTCGCTTTGTTGATCCTGGGACCTGCGTTCGCGCAAAGACGAGACAGCGATGCGATATCCGTCGATGACGACGTTGACGTCGATGACAATGATGACAATTACGACGATGACAATGACGACGACTACGACGAAGATAATGACGATGATGACAATTACGACAACGACGATGACAAAGATAATGACGATGATGACAATGACGATAATGACAATGAGGACAATGACGACAATGACGACGACGATAACGACGGCGACCCCTCTTACCGAAGTAGCTGAGTACAACGGGCAGGAAGATGAGCCCGTGCACGGCTCCCAGGAGCGTGATGGCGAGGTTCAGCTGGAAGAAGAAGACCTGCACCAGCTGGGCCTTGGCGAAGGCGAGGATGATGATCCCGGGCAGGTTCGTCATCGCCACCCCGGCCAGCACCTGCGCCAACGTACGCGGCAGGCGCACGGTGAGCCACACGGTGAGCCAGGGAGCCAAATGATGAGCCAGTATGTGAGACAAACAGTGAGCCACATACTGTAGTACGTAAGGCACACGGTGAGCCAGCGAGGCACACGGTGACCAAATGAGCCACACGGTGAGACAGTGAGGCACATGGTGACCAAATAAGGCACACGGTGAGACAGCGAGGCACACGGTGACAAAATGAGCCACACGGTGAGACAGTGAGGCACACGGTGAGCTACACAAAAACCAGTGAGGTTCGTCATGGCTACCCTGGCTAGCACCTGCCCCCCCCCCCCCCCACGGCCAACACGATTGGAACCCACACAGTAAGACGCAGTGAGTCACATGGTACGAGACACACAGTGGGCCCGTGAGCCACGGAGCAAGCCACAGTGAGCCAGTGAGGCACACAGCGAGTCACATAGTACGTGAGACACAGTGGGCCACGCAGCGAGCCATTTAGTGACACAGCGGGCCACACGTTGACCACACGTTGAGACTCAGGAACTGTATTTAGACTTCGATTTAAAGCTTTCGTGACTGCAGGGATTCATCTTCTTGGTTCTTTCGGTAAAGTCACGTAGAAGGGAAATAATAAAATAAAAATAATAAAACATAATAAAATAATTCTCACGACGTTTCGGCCACAACGCAAGCAGCCGTCCTCAGGTGAAGAACAGGTCTGTCGGAAAGACAGCGTCTGAATGGGCACCACCAGGCTTGGCAGCGTATATTTTTATTATTTTATTATTTCCCTTCTACGTGACTTTACCGAAAGAACCAAGAAGATGTATTTAGACTGCAGGAGGAATTCGATGAGCCACGAAGCTCTTTTGTCACAGATGTCCCCTCTGGGCGGAGCCACACGCCGAGTCGGTGAACCGCACAATCCGCCAGCACCCAGCTCCTCAGTCCACCGGGCAACCAGCGACGTTTCAAGTGGAGGTCACCGGGGCTGACCCCGGTCAACCCTGAGCTCTGCTCGACCTCTGACCTCTGACCCGGGAGTGCGACCCCTCCCCCCGCCCAACCACCTCCCCCGTCCTCACCGCGCTGCCCATGGTGGTGACGGCCTCCTGGGCGCGCGCCACCTTGGTAGGCCGCACGCTGACGGCGAAGGCGCGCGTGATGTGAGACACAAACTCGACCGAGATGCCCACGGCCTGCACGACAGGGGGAGACGAGAGGCACAGAGAGAGAGAGAGGCAGCGGGTGAGAGAGTGCGTGATGCGAGGGTGGGAAACACGTTCGCGTAGCCGCGCCATGAACCCGGCGACCCGAGTTCGATTGCCGCTCACGGCTCGCGACAACAGTGACGATTGTGAGAAGCGGTCCCCGGGCCTCCCCCCCTCCTAGGTCGACTCAGCCGCAAATGAGTGCCTAGTGCGGTGTGTAAAAACATTACCACCGGGGAGACAAAGGCGGCCGGTTGGGCGTGGTTCCGGCCAACCACCACCACCCCCACCTCGTGTGCCAATGCGGCCTTCACAGGTGCTACTCCGATGAGCACGGTTGGCGACGTACGGTGTGAAAGAAGTTCGTACTGTGCTCGCTAAAAGCACTCGCTCAGACAGCCAAGTACGAACGGGGCCCTACGGCGGGTGGGTGGTCGGCGGGGGGCCTTTGTCTTTGTGCGTGCGAGCGTCGTCTCACCGCGACGAGGTTGATGAGCGAGATGGCGTTGAACTCGATGGAGAAGAGGGTCATGACGCCCAGCGTGTCGATGACGATCATGACGATGACGAAGAGGTTGATGGCGCCCGACAGGATGTCGAGGCCGAGGACGACGCAGCACACGACGAAGGTGGGCACCAGGCACACGGCGAGGTTCACGGCGCCGTCGCGCACCATCGTCTCGTACTGCTCGTAGAACACGTACGTGATGCTGTGGGGGGGGGGGGCACGGCAGTGGGGGGGGGGGGCGTGATTAACATGGTCACTTCGGAAATAAAGGCGCCATCTAATGAAGGCTGTGCCGGCTAATCGAGCGATCTTTGGCGGGGGGAGTGGGGTGCGAGTGAGCGGGCGGAAGAGTGAGCGAGCGGGAGAGTGAGCGTGCGGGAGAGTGAGCGAGTGGGAGAGTGAGCGGGCGGGAGAGTGAGCGTGCGGGAGAGTGAGCGAGTGGGAGAGTGAGCGTGCGGGAGAGTGAGCGAGTGGGAGAGTGAGCATGCGGGAGTGTGAGTGAGCGAGAGAGTGAACGAGCGGGAGAATGAGCAAGCGGGAGAGTGAGCGGGTGGGAGAATGAGCGAGCGGGAGAGTGAGCGAACAGGAGAGTGAGTGCGCGGGAGAGTGAGCATGTGGCAGTGTGAACGTGCGGGAGAGAGACCGGCGGGAGAGTGAGCGAGCAAGCGAGCGAGATAGCGTGCGAGAGAGTGAGCGTGCGAGAGAGTGAGCGGGCGAGAGAGTGAGCGGGTGGGAGAGTGACCGGCGGGAGAGTGAGCGAACGGGAGAGTGAGCGAGCGGGAGAGTGAGCGTGTGGGTGAGTGAGCGTGTGGGTGAGTGAGCATGTAGCAGTGTGAGCGTGCGAGAAAGTGAGCAGGCGGGAGAGTGAGTGAGCGTGCGAGTCACCCACGTGTAGGGGAAGACGGTGAAGTCGGGGTGCGTGCCCGGCACTGCGCGCATGCTGCGGGTGATGGAGTCGGCGAGCTCCCGCGCCCGCAGCAGCCCCGCGGTGTAATCGGAGGACGTCGTCATGGGAACGTGGTACGCCATGAATCGTGACGCTGCGGAAACCACGTGGGGCGGTCGGGGTGGGGGAAGACGCAACGAGTTAGAGCGGTGTTCTTCATTGCAAGGCCCGGAGGCCACTGGCGGCCCCTGGTGGCATTTGCTGTCTTTTCTTGGATTTTCTGTTTGCACTTAGTCACATAGTCAATTTAATATGTTTTTTGTTCGTGTTTTTGTTTTTTGTTTGTTGCGGTTGCACCCGATTCAAGAGCCGAATGGCTCACAGGGCTATACCTAATACATGAACTTGAACTTTAGTGCGGCCCGCCCCCAACGATACACAACGTGTGAGAACGCCCCCTTCGCGGGCGGTGTGGCGGGCCCTCGCGCCTTGCGAGAGGCCCTCCGAACACTTCCATTTTGTTTACTCGTCCAGCGTCGAGCGAGCCCGGCACCGCTGATGAGGCGCCGCATGCAAACGTCCGACAAGGGGCGAATCGACTCGATAGCTGCACGGGCTCCGAGCGGTCATTGCGGTGGTGGTGGATCGTGCACGGCTACGGCCACATATGACGGCGGCGCGCAGAGGCGAATAAAACACGGACGCGAAAACAAACCGCTTGCGAAGAAAATGCCACTGGCCATAAACGATCCGCCTATTTGTTTCACTCTTTTAAGGCCGCGCGGTGTTAGCGACGAGCGTGTGGAGCGCGCATTGTTTGGGTAGTTGGCCAGGCGGTGGTTGGCAGCGGATCGCTTCAATGCCTCTGCGGGCTTTTCGAACGATGCTCGGTGAGGCCTGGTGAGCGCACACACACACACACCGGCCGCGGCCTCCTTCCTCACCGCCCGCCTCACCTATGATCTCTCCTGCTTCGTTCATCTTCACCGCATTACCGTAGGCGCCAAGACCGCTGCGGAGAGACGGCACGGCCCAGCGTTAGCCCGGCACACACAAAGACAAAGACGCACGCACAGACACAACAAAAACAACCGCCATTCACTACTAAGTGGCGGTGGCGTCACCACGACGCTTGTGCCAGGCCATGTGCACATTGAGGCCATGTGAAGTGTCGAACGCCCGCTGGCAGGACGTCACGGGGCAGACCCAGGTGCCACGGGTCGACTGACTGAGTATGACCGAGATGACTGGCCAATGCACCAACTGTGCCCCCTACTGTGCCAACTTGCTGTGCTTTAGCCACCCGACGCTCTGCTCGTTGTGAGCATCGCTCCTCTGCCCTCCGTTGGGAGGGCGACTGCCTCATACTGCCCAGTAGCTTCCTTCACGAGCCTCCTACACAGAGGCCGATTTTGACACCGCTGGTACCAGTCATCGGCAAGTCCACTCAGCTCTACATCCTCCTGTACCACATCACTCCGTCTCTTCTCTAGCCCGTTCCACGCCAATTTAGCCCCCTCGATCCGGCCGAACAAAAGCTGTTTAGGCATGCGGTGACTGGGCTACATGACCCAGACAACGCAGCCTTGTTTGCCGGAGGAGTTCACCAATAGGACTTTGTCCAGATCTTTCAAGGATTTTTGAGCTCACACTATCCAGCCTGGTTAAACCCAGGATGCACACACACGCACACACACACACGCACACATACACACGCACACACACACATACACAGACACACACACGCACACAGACACACACACATGCACACACAGACACACACACACGCACACACATGCACACACACGCAAACACAGACACACACACATGCACACACACACACACAGACACACACACAGACACACACACATGCACACAGACAAATATTCCCCTGTGTAGCTATACGAATAGGATTCGGTTATCGTTTTCGGTCAGAGGAATACACTAATAGGATTTAGTCATTGTATTCAGTCAGAATAATATACTAATAGGATTCGGTGAAGCTATTTCTGCATAGGATTGCGTGGAGTGCGGTGGCACTCACCCCTTGGCGCACTTGAGCGTGGGCACATCCTTGAGGAAGATGGGCAGGTAGTGCTCGAACTGCTGCACGTTGGGGCGCACCTGAGACACTGGGATGCACTTCCCGAGGCACACCAGCGGGGTCTCTGTGTACACAAAGACAAAGATCCCCCGTGTAGCCTTAACAGACTGTAGGGGCAAGTGCTGTTAGCGAGTAGCACACGAAGGGGTGGGTGGCCAACACCACGCCCGGCCGCCTTTGTCTCACTAGCGACGATGTTTACACATCGTACCCGGTACTCATTTCAGGCTGAGTCGACCTAGGGGAGGCCCAGGGACCGGTTCAGATAATCTGGCCACACACACGCGTGCGCGCACGCCTGCACAAAGACAAAGTTCACCCATATAGCCTTAACACGCGGTTGGGGGCAAGGGCTATAAACGAGCGGCAGCACCTATGTCTCTCAGTGGCTAGATGTTGACTACCTTGCCTGCTATACAGGAGGTCGTGGGTTCGATGCTGACCCTGACGCCTGCTGCATATTTGGAGTTTGCGCGTTCTTTCTCTCTCCCCGTGGTCGCGTGGATTTTTCGCCGGCTCCTCCCGTTTTTCCCTCCACATTTAGAATCCTGCGCCCGTTCAGAGTGTTTTGGCTGCTGATATAATGTCCACGTGATGAGAAGCCACTTTCGTTGAGCGATCAACTGTGGCCAGGTCGCTTCTGACTAACGAGCTATATAGCTCAGTGGGACCTTACCTGGCAAAACAATTCAGATCTTATTGGTCATCCCGTGCCCTTTTAAATCTCAACGTTCATCCTAAAAACACCCGCATTGAAACGGCTGTACACCGTATGGACCTGAAAACTAAATTTCCCTGCACAAGAATACGGGGGGGGGGGGGGGGGTAAACCGTATGGGTTGACAGCGAATGCATTGTGTCCAATTCGCGTCATGAAAACAAGATGCGGCGTTATAGGAGAACACGACCGTCATCACCAACTTGCGCGCGTTTTTTTTATCCGCGCGTTTCGTTCCTCCGCCTGCCTTTCAACGTAACAGTTCCAAGCGTAAGCCGTCTCTCCGCGCTGCTCGTGTTTTTGCGTTTAATTCTTTTTTTTTATCCCCCCCCCACCCCTCCCAGCTCGTGACCATTTTCATTTCGCGGAGCATTTTCACTCCCCCGAAAATTTCTCACCGACGGTCGAGTTGCAGAACTCGCCGAACTGCGGGTGCGGTTTGCTGTAGAGTCGGCAGCAGGAGGAGTACGGGTTGAGCCAGTCGACGAAGTCGTCCACCCAAGACGACGCCGAGATCGCCAAATAGGAGCTGTGGTAGACGCAGCCACGCAGACCGGTTGAGCGAGCACTCGCCAACTCACTCGCTCACTCGCTCGCTCACCGCCAGTCGCTCACCGCCGTTCGCTCACCACTCAGTCGCCCCCCACTCGGTCGCCCCCCACGTCACTCTTTTATCGCTACTGCGGTATCGTACCGTGGCTGCTGTTCCTCCGAACTGCACGCCTTCGATTCATTCCACCCATTTTGGGACAGACGGGTTATGTGAACTCTGACCCCCCCCCCGCCCCCCCCGCCCCCCCCCCCCCCCCCCCCCCCCCACACACACTCACTGGTCCAGGTACTCACTCGTACACAATCTCACTCACACACACGTTCACTGGTCTGGGTAAACACACTCACAAACAACAACAAAGATCCCCCGTGTAGCCTTAACAGACTGTTGGAGCAAGTCCTGTTAGCGAGCGCCTATAAAGGCCGGCACGGCACACGAGGGGGTGGTCGGCCAACACCACGCCCGGCCGCCTTTGTCTCCCCAGTGGCGATGTTCACACACCGCACCAGGCACTCACTTGAGGCCGAGTTGACCTAGGGGAGACCGGCCCAGGACCCGTTCAGATAATCGTCATCGTCACCGGTGCCCGTGAGCGGGAATCGAACTTGGGTCTCTGCCGAGTTCGTAGAGCGAGCGGAGCGCTAACCGCTACACCACCACTCCCCACCCCCCCCGCCCCCCCGCAAAGCCACTCGGCACGCAGACACTCACTGGTCCGGGTACTCGCTCGCCGTCTGGATCTTCTGCATCATGGAGTCGTTGTTGCAGCCGGCGCTGCCGCAGACGGCGTTGGTGCCCTCCTCGCTCGAGAAGTTGTAGCCGCCCGTCGTCACGAAGTACGTGGGCAAGCCGACCTCCAGGTACTCGTAGAGGCCGTTGAGGTAGTCGAGCGCGTACGAGTCCTGCAGTGCGCGGGGGGGGGGGGGGCGGACAGGGGATGTGGGGGGACAGGAGATCATGAGATGCATTGAGTCAGAATGTTTATTTATACGCTGGAGGATTTGCGATGAGCAATTTTGTTGTTTGATTGGATTACTCTGTAAAGTCACGTAGGTAAAAAATAAAATTAATAAAAGTAATAATAGAAATAAAATAATAAAATAAAATAAAATCACGACGTTTCGGAGGCAACACAAGTCTCCGTCATCAGGTGGGACCGTCACAGCTAAATTTGCTGTATCAAGTGAATAAAATGACCGTCACAGCTAGATTTGCTGTATCAAGTGAATAAAATGACTCACTTGATACAGTAAATCTAGCTGTGACGGTCCCACCTGATGACGGAGACTTGTGTTGCCTCCGAAACGTCGTGATTTCTTATTATTTAATTATTTTATTTCTATTATTACTTTTATTAATTTCATTTTTTACCTACGTGACTTTACCGAAAAAACGTAAGAATATGAATCCTTGCAGTCACGAAAGCTTCAAATCTAGAATGGATTACTCCGCTATTATTACTCGCTTGTATTGGAATTGCGAGACTGGTCATAGATATTGTCATTATCGGCTTTATATTTCGCTTAGATTGCATCTGTAAAAAATCAAACTTTACTTATATTCGCACAATTCGTGCAAAGAATGCAACATAAAGTGATCGTAGAAGGGAAATAATAAAATAATACAAATAAAACATTGTAAAATTATCACGACGTTTCAGCCACAACGCAAACAGAGCTGTCGGCTGTTTGCATTGTGGCCGAAACGTCGTGAGAATTTTATTATGTTTTATTTGTATTGCATTCTTTCCCTTCTACGTGACTTTACCGAATAACCAAAAATATAGACATGTTTAAGTTAGGGAAATTGAGTTTGTTATCACTGCGCGTGCTCAGTGATAACACTTTCCTGCTCTCGCCCAGCAGAAGACTCGGCCCACCAAGTGGGCAGCAGCAGAGCCATGCCAATCAACATCAATCAAACTCCGCCCCACTGTTGTAAAGATGTGCAACTACTGTACTGTAGAGGCAATCACGCGGATTTTGGATTAACACTTCCAAGATTAAGAATGTATAACTGTTTTTAGATTAATAATCTCGGCTCTAGGGAAAATACATGATTCATTAATTTACGTCAAAATCTCGGTGCGCGGTTAATCTGAAAATCTAATAAACCTCACGCAGATTATCAAGATAGACCTACTTAATTCGATTCACGTTGATTCGCAAATCCGTTCGTCTCGTTTGATTCGTTAACCCATTAATCTCGTTCGATTCGCTAATCCGTTTGTCTCGTTCGATTCGCTAATCCGTTAATCTCTTTTCATTCTCTATTACGTTTGATTGGCCGACAGGGGGAGGCAGGCATTCCCAGTGCCCTTCCCCCCCACCCCTCCTCCGCACGCCCGAGCATCACCTCTGACTACGGGCACCACGGGTTCTGCTCAGACACTTACAGTGTACAGTTCTTGCTTTTAATCACCTGTAGAAGGTATCCCTCTCACCCATGTTTATTCTGTTGAAAATTGTTATTTTTGTAGGTTTCGGGTGAGAAAAGATTTCCTTCGGGAACGCATCTTAGGTTACAAAGTGGGGCCTTATGGGAGGATGCGTTTCGTTATACGCTGCGTTGTTTCACTTGACGCTCCAGGTTTTCAACGCCCATGCCGCTGTTATTGTCGTCATCGTGGTTTGAAGCACAATGTGAAACTGCTCTCACCTTTGGCAGAGCGAGACGCTGGTCCAGCCCGACCTGAACGTGGAACATCAGGAAGAGCGACGCGCTGAACATGAAGATGAAGACGATCATCTGCAGGACGCGCACAAAAGACAAAGATCCCCCCGTATGGCCTTTTAACAGACTGTAGGGGCAAGTGCTGTTTGCGAGCAGCACCTACGAAGGCCGGCACGGCACACGAGGAGGGTGCGTGGCCAGCACCACGCCCGGCCGCCTTTGTCTCCCTAGTGGCGATATTTACACATCGCACCAGGTACTCATTTGAGGCCGAGTCGCCCTAGGGCAGGCCCAGGACCGGTTCAGATAATCGTCACCGGTATTAGCCGTGAGTGGTAATCGAACTCGGGCCACCGGGTTCGTAGCGCGGCGCGCTAACCACTACGCCACCGCTCCCCAATAACAATATCCCCAACGCACCCGCACGTGCACGCACATCTCCTCTCTGCGAACTCTCACGACAACGACGGCGCTAGCCCCGGTGAGCCGACTCACCACGACGGCGCGGGTGACGCGGTGCAGCAGGAAGTGGGAGTAGTATCGCCGCATGAAGGGCAACAGGAATCCCTCGTTGCGCTTCGGTGCCTTGACGTTGCTGGGCCGCACGCAGCAGCAGATGTCCATGCGGGTGGCCTGCGGTGGACACGGGATACACGCACGGCTCCTGTGGTGTTGCCTTGGTGTGGTCTGGGGCTGTTTGTGTTGGTGTTTTGGTTTGGTCTGGGACTGTTACTCTTAGTTTTTTTCGGTAAAGTCACGTAGGTAAAAAATAAAATTAAAATTAATAAAAGTAATAATAGAAATAAAAGAAATTAATGAATTTATTATTTTATTTGATTTCTATTATAACTTTCATTAATTATATTTTTATTATTTAATTTAATTTCTATTATTACTTTTATTAATTATATTTGTATTAATTTATTCGATTTCTATTATTACTTTTATGAATAATAAAATTGTTTTTATTTTTTATTTCTATTATTACTTTTATTAATTTTAATTATATGTTTTACCTACGTGACTTTACCGAAAAAACCTAAGAGTATGAATCCTTGCAGTCACGAAAGCTTCAAATCTAGAATCTGGGACTGTTGTTGTTGTTGTTGTTGTTCAACCCCCTCGGACCCCCCCCCCCCCCGCCCGAACCCCCTCCCCCTCCGACCCCACCCCCCCTGACCCCCCCGCCAACCCCCACTCCGACTCACGTCTCTCCGCCGTGAGTCGAGCGCCACCAGCGACACGAACATGGACATCTGCAGGCAGAAGTTGAAGATGACGGCGAGCCCGGCGTACAGCGCGAAGGTGCGCACCGCCGGCATCTCGGTGAGCGTCCCTGCACCGCCGGGGGGACACGGTGGAGGGGGGGGGGCACGCGGCCGGTCACCCTCTACACACGCGCGTGTGTGCTGTGTGTGTGTGTGTTTGTGTGTTGGCGGTGAATGGGGAGCGGTGGTGTAGCGGTTAGCGCGCTGCGCTACGAACCCGGCAAGAGAACCGAGTTCAATTCCCGCTAACGACGAACCGGTCCTGGGCCTCCCCCTAGGTCGACTCAGCCTCAAATGAGTACCTGGTGGGGTGTGTATGCATCGCTACTGGACTGGGGAGACAAATGCGGTTGGGCGTGGTGCTGGCCACCCACCCCCTCGTGTGCAGTTTCGGCCTTCATAGATGCTCGCTAACAGCACTTGCTCCCACAGTATTGAAGGCTATACGGGGGATCTTTGTCTTGCGTGTGTAAAGACAGCACAGGGGGGGACTAGCGGTCACAAGTGGTGATAACAGGTTAAGGGACAGACAGAGGAAGGATCTGGGGTCTTCGAGAAGGTCCAAGAACCAGCGAGAGAGTTCGAGAAGTAGGGGCGTAGTAGCCAAGGGTGGAGGGATGGCCACGCTGGGGATAAAAGGGGGCGAGGAGAAGAGGTTCGGGGCTGCTGCGGGAGTCGGAGTCGTCGCTGTCGAGTGAACGTGCCTTCAAATAAAGAACCCTCAAAAGACCGTGTCTTCTGGAATCGTTCAACATGTTTTACCACAAGCATGTGTAGTCGATGCAGACAATGTGCCTTGCAATCACCTATTCGTCTCCAGGATAAATAAATAAAGATTCTGAGCAACGGGGATGTGCTGCCAGTCATCTTAGTCGGTCAACCCGTGGCACCCGCTGAGTCCGTATCTGTGACCTCCTCCTGCCGGCGGAGCCTTCGACACGTCACGTGACCTCAAAGTGCACCTAGCATGGTACAAGCGCCCTGGTGACATCACCCCAGCTTAGTTGTAAACGACGGTTGTTGTTGTTATTGTTGTCAAGCATTGTTGCTTTCCAGAGATTTTATTTCGTTGGCTTTTTTGTCACTGAAACCTGGTGTCTCACAAAATAAACAAGTAACCTTTAAACCTTCAGCAGACTCCTGCCAAGTTTATTATTTTTTTGCAGTGGGGGCGGGGGGTGCGGGGGGATGCTTCTGCTGTTCTGACCCCCCCCCCTCCCCCATTGACGAGTGTCATCTTTTTGGCCAATATCGGTTCCATTGGGGAGCGGCGTTTTGTTCGCTTGCCCTTAACCCCGAGCCGAACCCTACCCACGAACTGCAGAACCCGGAGGAAACCCGTGCAGAACAGCGGGAGAGAACATTCAAACGACCCGGGGTCGGGAATCTAACCTAGGTTATTTTCGGTGTGAGGCTCAAGCGTAATCACGAATCATCGCGGAGGAGTGAGATTCTTCTGCCTGCGAACCGTGACAAAGCCCTGGACATCGGCGGCAAAGAGCTTCAGAGTTCATCGGATTTCCTCTAGCAGTCTCAATACAGATTCTCATTATGACGTTAACAATTCGTGAATGTCGCGTCAACGTCGCGTCGACGTCGCTGCTCTTTGAACGTCGCGTCAACGTCGCCTGAACGTCGCGTTCGAGGGGGTGACGAGGGGGGGGGGGCGGCGGGCAGGGCGGCGGGGGGGGTGTTTCCACGCGGCGGGTGCGGAAGAGAGTCTCACCCAGGAAGAAGCAGACGGACTCGGAGACGCTGCAGAGGAGCATGCTGGGAGCCACCTCGCCGAGCACGCGGCCGATCTGCTCCTCCCTCTTCTCGCCCTTCCTGAGTTCGTCCCTCTGCACGCAGCCAGCGGCACAGAGGGGGGCAGACGCTGCTGCCAACAGAGACAAAGATCCCCCCCCCCACCACTCCCCTCGCCTCGTCCCTCTGCACGCAGCCAACGGCACAGAGGGGGGGCAGACGCTGCTGCCAACAGAGACAAAGATACCCCCCCCCCACCACTCCCCTCGCCTCGTCCTTGTGGTGCAGAGGTCGCAAACGGGTTTTGATTCCTTACCCGTACCCGGCCGCACCAGGGTCGCAAATGGGTACCCGTACCCGGCCGGGTACGGGTAGCCGTTCCCTACCCGTACCCTACCCGAAATGAGTGACAAACGGCTACTCACCAGTGACTCACGGCCTACCCGTACCCGGCCACACCAGGGTCGCAAACGGGTACCCGTACCCGGCCGGGTATGGGTAGCTGGGTATCGGGTAGGGTACGGGTATCGGGTACCTGGTTGCGACCTCTGGTGTGGAGCCTTGAACAGACTGTTGGAGGCAAGTGGCGCTTAGCGAGTGCGGAGGCCGGCACGGCGCACGAAGGGGGTGGGTGGCCGGCAACTACGCCCGCCTGGCCGCCTTTGTCTCCCCGTTGCTAAAGTTGACAGATGCGACCTTGCGGAAGGCCGTGAAGGACGAGCTGGTAGCAGCGATCAACACACCAGTCAACCCCTTGTCAGTGGCCCCTACTTTATTGCAGACCAATTCAGACCTTATTGGTCAACCCCGTGCCTCTTATAAATCTCAACGTTCATCCTACAAAGTCACATCACAAGGGAGAAACACAAACACATAGATTGTTTTGTGGTTGCCCGCATTGAAACGGCGTTACGCCGTATGGACCTGAATACTGCATTTCCCTGCACAAGAATACGGGGTAAACCGCGTTCAAAGAAAATAACAAAATAACAATAAACTACGACGTTTCGATCGCAACACAAGCGGTCGTGTTGCGATCGAAACGTCGGAGTTTTTTGTTATTTTCTTTGAACCTATCTACGTGACTTTACCGAAAGACCTAAAGAATAGCTAACTAACTTGGTATGGTACTTATTCGAGGCTGAGTCAACCTAGGGGAGACCCAGGACCGGTTCAAATATCTAGCAGCAACCGATGTTAGCGTGGTGAATCGAACTCTGAATCAGTGCTAAAACCACGTGTCCATCTCGACGTGGGACTAAACTGATCTATTTTTTTTTTTAACGAAACTATTTTATGCTGCCAGGTAGGCCCACTGAACTACGTATAGAAGCGACGTGGCTATCACAAATTATATCCCAACGACGTGGGCTTCTCATCACGTGGACATTTATATCGGCAGCCAAACACGGAGAGAAAAACTGGAAAACCCGGGCAAAAATCCACACGGCCACGCAGAGAGAGAGACGCCGCAAACACCAAATACACAGCAGGCGTCAGGGGTCGAGATCAAACCCACCACCTCCTGCAAACCAGGCGAGGTAGTCAACATCTCCGAGCCACCGTGATGATGATGGTGAGAAAGAGGCACGCAAACTCCAAATACACAGCAGCAGGCGTCAGGGGGTCGGGATCGAACCCACCACCTCCTGCAAACCAGGCGAGGTAGTCAACATCTCCGAGCCACTGTGATGATGATGATGATGATGAGAGAGAGGCACGCAAATTTCAAATACACAGCAGCAGGCGTCAGGGGGTCGGGATCGAACCCACCACCTCCTGAAAACCAGGCGAGGTAGTCAACATCTCCGAGCCACTGTGATGATGATGATGATGATGAGAGAGAGGCACGCAAATTTCAAATACACAGCAGCAGGCGTCAGGGGGTCGTCGGGATCGAAACCCACGGACCTCCTGCGTACGAGGCGAGGGGGTCAACATCTCCGAGCCACCGTGATGATGATGATGAGAGAGAGACACCGCAAACTCCAAATACACAGCAGCAGGCGTCAGGAGGTCGTCGGGATCGAAACCCACGGACCTCCTGCGTATGAGGCGAGGTAGTCAACATCTCTGAGCCACTGTGGTGATGATGATGATGAGAGAGAGGCACGCAAACTCCAAATACACAGCAGCAGGCGTCAGGGGGTCGGGATCGAACCCACCACCTCCTGCAAACCAGGCGAGGTAGTCAACATTTCCGAGCCACGGTGATGATGATGATGAGAGAGAGACACCACAAACTCCAAATACACAGCAACAGGCGTCAGGGGGTCGTCGGGATCGAAACCCACGGACCTCCTGCGTACGAGGCGAGGGGGTCAACATCTCCTAGCCACCTGCAGCTCGAGGACGAAGATGAAGATGTTGTCGGCGCCCACGGCGAGGATGAGGAAGGGCACCACCTCGAGGATGACGAGCGATGAGGGCACCCCGGCGTAGGCGAAGACGCCCATGGCGGCGGCCACCGAGGCCAGCACCACGAAGATGCCGCCCAAGCCCAGCGTGACCTTGGAGTCGATCTGAAGGTCGCCGCCCACAGCAGAGGCAATGACAAAGATCACCCCCAACCCCCGTATAGTCTCGCAACGGGCACCACAAAGACAAAGATCCACCGTGTAGCCTCAGCCAACTGTTGGGGCAAGTGCTATTAGCAAGCGCACAAAGACATACAGTGAGGGGAAAAAAGTACTTGATCCATCTTCTTGGTTCTTTCGGTAAAGTCACGGAGAAGGGAAGTAATAAGATAATAAAAATAAAACATAATAACATAATTCTCACGACGTTTCGGCCACAACGCAAGCAGTATTTGATCCCCTGATGATTTTGTACGTTTGCCCACTGACAAAGAAATGCTCAGTCTATAATTTTAATGGTAGGTTTATTTGTAACAGTGAGAGACAGAATAACAACAACAAAAGAAACAGACTATTGGGGCAAGTGCTGTTGGTGAGCACGGCACACGAGGGGTCGGTGGCCAGCACCTTGCCCTTCCGCCTTTGCCTCTATAGTGGCGACGTTTACACACCGCACCGGGAACTGGAGGCCCAGGACCGGTTCAGATGATCGTCACTGGTGTTGGCCGTGAGTGAGAATCGAACTCGGGTCCCCAGGTTCGCAGCACAGCGTAGCGCTAACCGCTCCACTGCCTCTCCCTACTCGCGCACACAGACACACGTACACTCGTTGTTCGGCAGCGATGGAGTTTGGTCCGTGCGTTTACTGCGCCCATCATAACCCAAGATAAGATGCAGAGACAATGGGCTCCGACTCCGCCGACTACGAAGCTTTGCCCTGACCTGCCCACTATCGCGAAGGCCCCCGAATGATCGGGAGCAGAGGGTCGGGGACCTGGAATCTCGAGGCCCCTCTGATCGTATCAGTGGCCCTTGACCGATGGGGCCGGACACTTTGGTGACGACAGTCGATGTCGTCGTGACGTTCTGGCCCCCGCGCCCCGACTGGACATCTGTGACGAAGAGCTTCATAGCTCATCGGATTCCTCCAGTACGAACACATTAACTTGTATTTAAGGGCTGGTCTTTTGGAATTTTCCTCACTTGATGCAGTAATGTTAGCTGTGACGGTCTCACCTGATGACGGAGACTTGTGTTGCCTCCGAAACGTCGTGATTTATTATTTTATTTTATTTCCATTATTACTTTTATTAACTTTTAATTTTCTTTTTTACCTACGTGACTTTACCGAAAAAACCTAAGAGTACGAATACATATTCTGATTCTGATGTAGGAGATCCGTTTTTAGTAACACAATAACCGAGCAGACAGCAAGGCAAGGGCCGGTTTCGACATTTAGTGTCTCATCAGCAGAGCCGGGCTCACTTGAACCAATGCTGGTGGTGAACTGCCAATTGTTTATAAACAAGGCGGTGGCGTAGTAATGAAATTATGAGATCGGGAGGGGGGGGGGGGGGGGTGATGGCACGGCAATCGGTCAGATTGGTGCCCCAATATTTGATTTGTCTCGTACGGTTGCACCTAGAAGCTATTCTATATCGCTGCTCCTCTTGCCTAATGGCATCGCCGTTACGCTCACGGTCTCGGACATTTAACGCTGTCAGGGGCACTCCGTTTGAAATGACTTTTAGTTTTTTTTCTACACTTGCTGTTGAAAACATTCCTGGTAGCGGAGACCGATCGCAGGGAAGAGGAACGGCACCAGGCTGCCGTTTCATTCCTCACCCGGTGTTTTATTTTTTATTTTAGCTTAGCAACTCCCGTCACTGGGACCGTACTCTCGGTTGGCTCAGAGTACCCACCAGGGGCGGTTTCTTCATTAGGGCGATTGGGCGACGCACCACCAATGTCATTCAACCACAGAGTCACGCTCGCCGTTACTGTGCCTCTGGATATAGTCCAATCAGCGTCATGTCACGTTCTGTGGAGTACCGCCTCTTTTTGGGCGATTTCACTCCGGCTGAGAATCGCCCAGAGTGTTCCCATAGACTTACATACAAAGATGTTTTTTTTCGAACGGCGGGCGCTGCAATGCATTCTCTATGGCTTCCGGGAGGGCTCGCACTAACGTGCTTACGTCATCATACGTAAGCACGTTTCAGTCAACAATATTATTTGTCGCCACCTAGTGGAATCTTTAATAAAAGAAACTGAGTGGATTGTAATAATAGTGAGTATAGAAACAAACAGGATGTATTGTAAGAGTCACTTTATTTTTCATTAATATTAAAGAAGTGAAGTTGCCTTTACATGCTTAAGCTGTTAATTTATCCATTGCATGGGTGGACCTTATCCTTATCAATCATCCAGACATTTGCCCCCCCCCCTGAGAGATTTTGCAGGAGCCGCCACTGCTACCCACCAGGACTCTCTTCCAGCTCGAGTACTCGCCGAGGGCGAGGGCGATGTAGGCGAAGATGACCGCGTAGCTGATGGCGAAGATGGGCAAATCCTCGGCCGTCGTCCGGTTGATCTCGTCCTCCAGGGACCTCTGCAAGCGAGGGGTCAGGGTCAGAGAGGTCACCGGTGGCTGTTTGGCGACGCCACGCCTCGCCTCGCCATTGCCTCCTTCCAGATGCCAGGCGAAGTCTCGGACCTTGGTGCGAGGTCAGCTGGGTTCAAGCTACCTGCCTGCCCATCCATGTACGTCCGTGTGTTAAACTTCTTTCGCAGCGTGCTTAGCCAACCACGCTCATATATCTATTGGCGGGACTGCATACCCACGTACCAAGCTGGCTACGTACAGAATACACGCGCGGATGGTACACGACCATCCCATATCTGTCCCTCCGCATAAACGAGTAGAGGTATTGTATGTACCGTTAACACATCCCATTAGTTATGCGGCCTTCTGGGAGTGGTTTTATTTTTTTCACAGCGGTGCCAAGCCAATCCCATCCTAGCCCTGACCCCTAACGCTTGACCCTGAGTCTTAACTGTATCCCTAACTCTCAACCCTGAGTCTAACCCTACCTTTAACCCTGACCCTAACACTAATTTCTGACCATGAGTCTAACCCTGACCCTTAACCCTGACCCCTAACCCCTAACCCTGAGTCTAATCAAGACCCGAACACTAACCCCTAACCCTGAGTCTAACCCTGACCCTAGCACTAACCCCTGACCCTGATTTTAACCCTGACCCTTAACCCTGATCCCTACCCCTTAACCCTGAGTCTAACCCTGACCCTAACCCCTGACCCTGAATCTAACCCTGACCCTTAACCCTGACCCCTAACCCCTAACCCTGAGTCTAATCAAGACCCTAACACTAACCCCTAACCCTGAGTCTGACCCTAGCACTTACCCCTGACCCTGATTCTAACCCTGACCCTTAACCCTGATCCCTACCCCTTAACCCTGAGTCTAACCCTGACCCTAACCCCTGACCCTGAATCTAACCCTGACCCTTAACCCTGATCCTTATCCGTAACCCTGCGTCTAACCCGGAACCTAGCACTAACCCCTGACCCAGAATCTAACCCTGACCCTTAACCCTGATCCCTAACCCCTAACCCTGAGTCTAACCCTGACCCTAACACTAACCCCGGACCCTGAGTCTAACCCTGATCTTTAACCCTGATCCCTACCCCTTAATCCTCGAGTCTAACCCTAACCCCCGACCCTGATTCTAACTCCAACTCTAGGGCACCCCCTGCATCCCCCGCACCCCCCCCCCGCCCCCTCACCCCGCTACCTCTGCCATGAACACGACGGTAAAGTTGCTGGCGGGGTCGTCCTTGTACTTGTGCACCCTGCGGATGAACTCAGCCTCCCACGCCAGCACGAACTCGAACTTGGGGTGGTCGCGGGCGAAGTTGTTGGTGGAGAAGGTGAGGATGAGCGCCTCGGACTCCGTGAAACGCTCGTCTGCTCCGCACGGACATCCAGAGGGGGGTGGGGGGGGGGGTGGGACACCGCTCACCGTCACGAAGGCAAAGGGTCCCCCTCGTGTAACCTCAACATCTTGCCACCGTGGACGCCACGCTTGCAAGATGTTAACGGCCTCGCCTTGCGTACAGGAGGCTGTGGCTTCGAACTCGAGCCTGACGATGCCTGCTGTATATTTGGAGTTTGCGTGTCTGCCCGTGATCGTGTGGAATTTTTCTATGGGTCTTCTGGTTTTCCCCTCCACGTTTAGAATCAATGGGCGTTTAGAGTGTTTGGCTGCTGTAGATTTCCACGTGGTAAGCCACTTCGTTGGGCTCAGTGGGCCTTGCCTGGTAAAATAAAAAATAGTTTTTTTAGACTTGTCGTACGGCTGCTTATGTAGGCGCAGAAGCAACAACTACAGTTTCACATTCCGGTGATCAAGCTGCAGGTAACGGGCGTCAGGAGCAGCGGAGCATATCGCTGTCATGTCTCCTTCGTATTTGTGCTGTTAGTAGCGGTGCTGTTAGTAGCTGTGAGTAGCTGTTAGTAGCGGTGCTGTTAGTGGCTTTAGTAGCGGGTAGTAGCGGTGCTGTTAGTAGCTTTTAGAAGTGAGTAGCAGTGCTGTTAGTAGCTGTTAGTAGCTGTTATTAGCGAATAGCGGTGCTGTCAGTAGCTGTTAGTAGTTGTTCGTAGGGAGTAGCAGTGCTGTTAGTAGCTGTTAGTAACGGTGCTGTTAGTAGCTGTTAGTAGCTGTTAGTAGCGGTGCTGTTAGTAGCTTTAGTAGCGGGTAGCGGTGCTGTTAGTAGCTGTTAGTAGCGGTGCTGTTAGTAGCTGTTAGTAGCTTTAGTAACAGGTAGCAGTGCTGTTAGTAGCTGTTAGCAGCGCCTATGGAGACCGGAATGGAAGGGTGGCCAGCACCACCACGCCCGGCCGCCTTTGTCTTTCTCCATTGACGATGTTTTTACACATAGCGCCGGGTGCTCACTCGAGGCTGATTTGACCTAAGGGAGGCCCAGGGCCGGTTCAGATAATCGTCACTGGTGTTGGTGGCCGTGAGCGGAAATCGAACTTCAAGTCACCGGGTTTGTAGTTCGGCGCGCTAACCGCCGCACTACCACTCCCGTGACCGCACACACACACACACACCTGCGTGGGTACATGAGTGTATGTGTGTGTGCATGCGTGTTTCTGGGGAGCGGTAGTGTAGCGGTTAGCACGCTGCACTATGAACCGACCCAGGTTCGATTCCCGCGCACGGCTAACACCGTTGAGGATTATCTGAACTGGTTCTGGGCCTCATCTAGATCGACTCAGCCTCAAATGAGTACCTGGTGCGGTGTGTAAACATTGTCACTATGGGGGAAAAGGCGGCCGGGCGTGTTGCTGCCCACCCACCCCCTCGTGTACCGTTTCGGCCTTCATAGGTGCTCGCTAACAGCACTTGCCCTACAGTCTGTTAAGGCTCTACGGGGGATCTTTGTCTTTGTTTCTGGGTGAGAGTATTTGTGGGAAGCAGTGGCGCAGTGGTTAGCGCATTGCGACCTCTTCCGCAGCGCTGCTAGGGCTGGCTGGGAGTCGGGATAATCAGCGTAAGGCACTACCACTAGAGTTACAAGATACCTCCTATCAATAACAACCCTCTACGATGGTGAAAGGTTGCACATAGAAGAAGACCTGATGATGCAGGCAGCGATGAGAAGAAAACTGCCGCTATTTGGACACACGTGCAGGATGGGCAACAACAGGGAAACTAAAAGTGTTGTTGTCGTTCGGGAAAAATGGAAGGAACATGAAAGAGAGGAAGACCTAACGTAAGATGGCTTGACGACGACTTGTAAGAGATTGGTGCCGGAAAGACTTGGGCCACTACTTGAGCATGTTGACACAAGAGGCAGAGAGGAAAGTGGAAACAACAAATGACGAAATGTGCTATCTGCCCATGGATCGTGATGATGATGATCGTGTCCTCCACCCCCCCTCCCTCCTCTACCGTGACGCAGCTGCACCGCCTGCGCACCCGCCAGAGCGAGCGACCGTGCGCACGTGCGGTGTGGGAGTGGAGGCGGCGGGCTCCCTACCGTGGTAGCCGCCCACGGCCAGAAACGGGAAGACGGGAGCTCCGTAATCGGCCATGCAGCTCAACTCCAGAGCCGTGACGTCCTTGAAGGAGAGGGGAGACCTGAAGCGGAGACAAAGATAAAAGGTCCCCCGTGTAGCCTTCACAGACTGTTGGGGCAAGGGCTGTTTTAGCGAGTAGCACCTATGAAGGCCGGCACGGCACACGAGGGGGTGGGTGGCCAGCACCACGCCCGACCGACTTTGTCTCCCCAGTGGCGATGTCTACACACCGCACCAGGTACTCATTTGAAGCCGAGTCGACACACACGTGTGCACTATACACGCACGCACACGCTCGCTTGCGCACACACATGTCCGCACCTGATGCAGTACATGAAGTGGTCGCGCCAGTCCACAGTGCCCATCTGCCCACCGTCCCCCTTCTGATCCGCCGTGGCCAGCAGGCTCGTCTTGTTGTTCTGGAAGTACTGCAGGAGGCTGTTCACCGCGCAGTCCGTGTCCTTGGGCTGCTCGGGGCTGAGCGGCGCGAAGCATATGTCCTTGAGGCTCACGGCCGTGCCGTTCACGTCCACCCTGATGTCCTGCAGCTGCGTCTGCAGCTCGAGCAGCTCCAGCAGGAGGCTCAGCTGCAGGGTGCTGCTGAAGTTCTGAGTGCCGAAGAGTATCGATGGGTACAGGGTGGCCTTGCCGCCCTTGCTGCGCAGGATGAGCTGGTTGGTCCTGAAGAAGGGGCCGAAGTTGGCGTCGTGGAAGTCCTTCTCCTGCCGCGCCCGGCTGCTCGGTGACGACCACAGCTCCACGGGGTCGGTGGTGAGCTCGATGAAGACGAGGCCCACGGCGAGAACGGCCACCACCACCACGCTGGCGATGATGACGGGGATGGGGTTGTGCGCCACGAGCACGCCCCAGCGGCGGAACGTCGCCGACAGGTGGCCCTGCATGTTCTCGCCCAGCTTCTCCAAGCAGGTCACGTCCGCGGGGTCCACCGGTGGCAGGTCGTCGTCCGACGCGCCGCGGCCGCCGCCTTTCGACCTCTCTCTGCCCAGCAGGTGCGAGAGCGCCGCGAACACCGCGAACAGAAGCGTGAGGCCCGCGAACACCACGAGGCCGATCACCAGCGGGCCGTCCAGCCGGCCCAACATCCAGGGCCCCGGCGGGTCGGGCGGCGGCGTCACCGGGGGGCAGGCCTTGACGCAGTCCTGGCACGAGCAGGCGGGGCCGTCCGGCTCGACGGCCTCCGTGCACCTGAAGGCGGTGTCGTTGAACTGCCGCATGCCCTGGCTCTCCTGCGGCGCCGTCTCGCCGTCGGGCACGAGGTCAAAGATGATGTCGATGGGCGCCAGCCCGTTGCTGATGTCGCCCTGGAAGTCGAGCCAGCGCTGCGCGGTGCACAGCGTGCTGCCGTACACGCCGCACATGGCGTCGATGGCGAATCCGCCCGTGGCCGGGATAGCGACCGACTGGCACGACTCGAAAGCTTCCTCGCCGAGCCGGCGGGTGTACAGGCAGTTGAATTCGAGCACGCCCGTCTTGTTGACGCCGTCGATGACCGTCTCGAAGGTGCGCGTCACGTTCACGTAGAGGCTCTGGTCGGGGCTGCAGATGTTTGTGCAGTGGAGGAGGCGGAAGTTGTACAGGCACGAGGGGCACCTGGCCAGGATGGGCACCGACAGGTCCATGCTTTTCTTGAGCGAGACCAGCTGGCTGTTGCCGCAACACGCCCTGGTGTTGTTCTCGCCCTTGTAGAGCATGGGGCAGACGTCGCGCAGAAGTTCCAGTGCCACGCCCGAGAGAGTATCCGCCTCGCTGTTGTCCACGCACGGCACCTCCGACGGTATGAGGCTCGTCGGGACGTTCGGGTTGCGGCCGCACTCGTACTTGGCGACGCAGTAGCCGGCCTCGTGGATGGCGCCCACCGTCACCTGCCACGCGGACGTCACGTTACGGCAACGTTCATTTATATTCCGAGGCTTTCACGACCAATGTTGTGGTTTCACGCGCGATCGCTGCGCCACCGCTCCCCCCGTTGAAATTTTGTTTTTGTTTTAACCAAAGTGCATGTTGTTTTTTTTACTTTGTAGACTATTTTTCAGCGTTAGTCTATAAACAATGTTAGTCTATGGGCAATGTTAGTCTACGGGCAATGTTAGTATATAAACAATGTTAGTCTGTGGGCAGTGTTAGTCTGTGGGCAATGTTAGCCTATGGACAAGGTTAGTCTATAAACAATGTTAGTCTGTGGGCAATGTTAGTCTGTGGGCAATGTTAGCCTATGGACAAGGTTAGTCTATAAACAATGTTAGTCTGTGGGCAATGTTAGTCTGTGGGCAATGTTAGTCTATGGGCAATGTTAGTCTATAAACAATGTTAGTCTGTGGGCAATGTTAGTCTGTGGGCAATGTTAGCCTATGGACAAGGTTAGTCTATAAACAATGTTAGTCTGTGGGCAATGTTAGTCTGTGGGCAATGTTAGTCTATGGGCAATGTTAGTCTATGGCAGTAGTTGTGAACATTTACCGCAGCCTGCACCCCCCTTTGGTTCTCGCCTTCTCGGACAGGGCATCTGGCACCTACAGGGGGTGCACGCGCCCCAGGTTAAGAGCCACTTGCTCCAGATAACTCACAACATGATGAGTCGGGTAGGCATACTGCACGACGACCGCAAAGCCACGAGATCATTCTGGTGGGATGTATTTCGTTACTTGGACCAGGAGAGAATGGTTGGGGGGTCCAAAGAGCGGCCAGGTTAGAATTAGGGTCAAGGTTAAACCTTCGACAAATATTGAAACGTCTGCGCTGGGCTTTCTGGGAACGGCAGGCTTTCCGGTGGCTTCATCGCCACACTCTAGAAATAAAAACAACGTTGACACAATATAACAATCGGTTTTACCCTTGATTTAAAGCTTTCGCGACTGCAGGAATTCATCTTCTTGATTCTTTCGGTAAAGTCGCGTAGAAGGGAAATAATAAAATAAAATAAATTAAACATAATAAAATACATAAAATAAAATAAAACATAATAAAATACGTAAAATTGTATTTTATTATGTTTTATTTGTATTATTTTATTATTTCCCTTCTACGTGACTTTACCGAAAGAACCAAGAAGATGAATCCCTGCAGTCACGAAAGCTTTAAATCGAAAGGTTGTATGTACCCTTTCTGGCAATAAAACAGGCCGTGTTGAGATGTTAAAACACCTAAGCAGAATCCTTTATCAAGGAATCCTGTCGTCATTAACCACACGCACTTGTGATGAGCATGCAAACAACACACATGCTCTGACAATAAATGCATTGTCTTTGAAACTGACTGGTCTACACCAGAGACAGCTTTCTTTAGAGCAAGGGGTGGGGACCCTTTTTACTGCCTTTATATTAAGTTCGCGTGCTTGCTTGCTTGCTTAGGACCGTGCAAATCTTTCGGTCGTTTTTTTAACCCACTTCCCGTGATCCAATCGAGCTGACATTTTCCACACAGACTCGTTGTGCCAGACAATTATTGTTCGTGAAAAAAAATTCCCAAAATTTTACACTTTTTAGGCAAAAAAAAAATATATTTTACATATATTTAAATAGAACGCATTCATGGCTTTGGCTGAAGGTCAGAGTGTAAGAACCCAGAGCGTAACCCCTCCACAGGTCGTGGCGGAGTAGCGCAGTTGGTAGCGCCCTCGCTTCCCATGCCAAAGGTCGCGGGATCGATCCCCGTGTCCTCCACAGGCGAATATATATTTAAATCCTTTACATTAAGTTCGCCGCCACGCATATAAAGGATTTATAGTGAAAAACTTTGTTTTTACGGGTTTACTTGTTACTGCCAAGGGCCATTTGGATATGTATAAAATCATTCGCGGGCCATACAAAATTATCAACTTAAAAAATAGCCCGTTATATTCGGTCAAACATTTAATTAACTCACCCCTAATGTGATGGCTGGAACTGCCTCTATATGGCGAGGCGTGTGATGTTAGCTGGTAGTGATGATGTTGCTACTCGCAACTGCTTTTCCAGGTTTGCTCCTAGATTTATTGAATTTCGAGTCCCGCCTGCGGTTGCCTTGGCAGTGCCACGCCAAATGATTTCGTGGGCCTGATACGGCCCGTGGGCTGGACGTTCCCCACCCCTCGTCTCAAAGTGTTAGACCAGAGAACGCCAAAAGACGGTCGCCTCTAAAGAAAGCTGTCTCTGGTGTGGACCAATCAGTTTCAAAGACGAAGCATCATATCATTATGAGAGCATGTTTTTCGTTCCGTGTGTGGTTAATGCAGATAGGATTCCTCGAAAATATGATTCTGTTTGGTGTTTTAACGTCTCAACACCCCCTGTTTTATTGCCAAAAAGGGTAAAACATATTGTTATATTTTGATACTGGCATGGAAGGTCCCAGCGTTAAAAAGGCATCAGAATCTTCTAACGTGCAGAGGATAGCTACTTATTTACAACAGTCTCGAGTTTGTCAACTCGTGCACAATTTGGCCGGGGATTAAAATAGCTAAGAGATGATTTACGTAGGTACTGAAATCTCGACGTGATGCTAGATATTGCCTGGCGTACGATGCGATGATAATGGGCCTTACATATCGTACGATGTATATCGTAGCATCGCCAGATCGGGACAACCCTACCTCTCACTCAGGACATTCCCACCAAGGTTTTATGGTTTTAAGGTTATGTAATTACACGTTCAGCGCTTTGTTAATTCACTGATGAAGATGAACGATACATTATGATCATTAATAATACTACTATACATAATAGTCTACATGTTAAACCAATAATATTACGTACAATAATGAGTTCTTTAGCCAGGAAACCCACAATAAGCCCTGCTACATCGATGGTTTGTTTAGTTTTAAAGGACGTTTTCAGCCAATGAATGAGTTACTCATACACGTGGAAGGAAAATAAGCCTCACGCCTTGCACGAGGGAGCAACGATTATCCCCATACAGATAATAATAACACAAATGATAATTTCATCAAGGATCTCAAAGCGCTATACAGGACACAGCAGCAGCAGCAGACAATCAGCATAAACATAATATTACAAATACATTTTATGAATTCATTTACTAATATGAACTCAACGTTTAATAATAAGCGGAAGACGTAATATTTTTTTTATGTCTACAGACTCAAGAGAGGTCCTGATTTATCATGGAAGAGGGTTCCATAGCCTGGCTGCTACACTGGCGAGAAATCTCAATCACCCATAGACCGAGAAACCTCGATCTGGGAATGCAGAGAACATCAACACCCCCGCATATTCCCAGATGGAAACACATGGAGATGAATTCTAGATTTGAAGCTTTCGTGACTGCAAGGATTCATATTCTTAGGTTTTTTCGGTAAAGTCACGTAGGTAAAACATTAAAATTAACAAAGTAAAATAAAATAAAATCACGACGTTTCGGAGGCAACTACACTTATTTGACAGACAACTATCACAGGTTTACCATGTTTAGTTGTTTTCTCCTTTTCACACTATTGTTAGGTAGGCCAGGTTGAGTCACAAACCGTACCTCTCCATAACAAAGGCTCACCCTCTTAAGCCTCACCTTACCATATGAATAAAAAGTGTGCTGTACTTGGCCCTTCCCCCCTCTCCAACCATTATATAAACGGAGTGGTAGCTCCTGCAATCTCTCATTTACTTGATACAGCTGTCGTGGCTGTGACGGTTCCACCTGAAGACGGAAGCTTGTGTTGCCTCTGAAACGTCGTGATTTATTTTATTTTACTTTTATTAATTTTCATGTTTTACCTACGTGACTTTACCGAAAAAACCTAAGAATATGGAGATGAAGTCCCCTCGCTGGCGAGGCAGGGGAGTTTCACACGACATCTTTGTGTGAACCACCAACCCTAGCTGCGCTGGATTGCAGGCAGCCACGTGCGGAGACACCACCACAGCCCGTCTCATTCGCAGTGGTTGTCGATGATGATGATGAATGAATAATGATGAAGAACAATTGATGATGATGGTTACAAACAATGGATTGTAATAATTATGAATGAATAATGATGAAGAACAATTGATGATGACGGTTCCAAACAATGGATTGTAATAATTATGAATTAATAATGATGATGATGAATAATTGATGATGATGATGGTGCCCAACAATGGATTCTAATAATTGTGAATAAATAATGATGATGATGAATAATTAATGATGATGATAGTGCCCAACAATGGATTGTAATAATTATGAATGAATAATGATGAAGAACAATTGATGATGATGGTTCCAAACAATGGATTGTAATAATTATGAATAAATAATGATGATGAATAATTGATGATGATGATGATGGTGCCCAACAATGGATTCTAATAATTATGAATAAATAATGATGATGATGATGAATAATTGATGATGATTATGGTGCCAAACAATGGATTGTAATAATTATGAATAAATAATGATGGTGAATCATGATGATGAACAATTTATGACGACGACGATGATGGTACAAAACCATGTATAAGCAATAATTATGGATGCATAATGACGATGAGCAATCGATGATGGTGCCCAACAATGTGTTCTAATAATAGTGAACAATGGAAGATGGCGGTGATGATGTTCAACAACGGATGAGGATTATGAGCAATGGATAACGATTGCATGCAATCGATGATGAACAATAGACGCTTTTGATGATCAACATTCAATGGGCGGCGATGAACAATGTAAGGGTGATAACGAGTGCTGACGCGCTGAATGATTACAATGATCAACGACTGATGATGAACTTCCGAAAAATTACGAACAAAGTTCAACAATAACGGACAGTTTATCATGCTTCGGATGATGATGATCATTACTCCCAACTCACCTGCACAAGGGCGAGCATCAGCAGTGCCCTGCCGTACCCCATCGCGATGGCGTTTGCTAGCGACGTCATCCACCGCTGATTTAGAATCTTTAAGATTCTTCACTCGAGTCACCCTTGGCCATTCACCCAAACTCAGCACGTTCACCCGGCAATTTCAACCGATCAAAACCTCAACTGCGACACGATGATGCTTCGTAAGTAGAGCTTGCTTCTTCCGATGCAGTCAGTCGATGGTTTCTCGTGGGGTGACGGACGTCTGTGGTTCTGCCCTCCCAGTGTGTCCTGTGTGTGGTGTGTGGTTAGTCAGCGCACACGCGCGCACCGCTATGCGAAATGCCCAGGGTAGACGATACGAGTTGACTTTATATGGCTGTAGCAGACACATACACACAGACGTGATCACACACACAGCCACCCACCCACTCACCTACTCATTCACTACATTCACAGATTGGCACCTCCCCCTTCTCCCTCCTCCTCCTCCTAATCAGCTTTTTTTATTTTCTCTCCGCTATCTCTCCCTCCTCTCAAACTCCAATAGGTCAAGGGGTCGTAGTGAGGAGAGGGCGGAAGCGACGAATTTCTGGGCCAAAACACATTCGCAGGTTATGGATTCCTCATCAGCAGAAGCAGAAGAAGCAGCAGCAGCAGCCATGATCAGTCTACTGCTGGATGAAGGCAGCCCCCCCCCCCCCCCAAGCTCAGCGCGCTGTGTTGTTTAACGAGCCACGCAGCACCTGTGGGCCCCAACGAGACAACCTGTAATAAAGAACTTCATGGCTCATCGGATTCCTCCTCTAGTCTCAATATTCTGAGTCGATTTTCGTCGTTCCGTCCCCAACCCCTCCCCCCTCCTCTTCTTTGGCTGCCACTCCGTTGTTAGTCTCGACCACGGCGACAGCAACAATTATATTAATACTATTACTGGAACGACAAATTCCATCGTGCAAGGCATCACAAGGCCTTTCAGCCACGGCGTGTCTTGCACAAGTATTATACTATAGCCTGTTGCCCGTCCAGGGACGGGTGTATTTCAGTAAATCTGAAACTTGCAAGCGAAAAGCAGAGAGCGACGTGATATATTCATTGCATCATATTCTTTGGGTCTTTCGGTAAAGTCACGTAGATAGGTTCAAAGAAAATAATAAAATAAACAAAAAAATATTCAAGATTCATTGCATCAATTTGTAAGTGCGCGGTGACACAGACTTAGTTCATTTGAAGGTTATAATCCCTTGGTCATCGTGACGTCCTTTTTACTTTGATGTCTCAACAGCGCTACGGAGACCGCGTGACGCGAGGGTTCTGCCTTTGTAGTGAGGGTTGTGAGTTGACGCCGAGGAGGGGGGAGGAGGCGCCTCGCCCCCCCCCCCCCATGTGGAGTGACGTCACCCACTAATTATTATTAATGGAGGGAAGGGGGGGTGTCCATTTGGAGGAACGTCACCTGTTCATGATTATTAATGAGGGGGGCTGTTCGATGTGGAGTGACGTCACCTGCTTATGTTTATAAATGAGGGGGCGGGGGTCCATGTGATGAGTGGTGGGGTGGTGGGGTGGTGGGGTGGTGTGGTGGTGGAGTGGTGGGGTGGGGTGGTGGGGTGGGGTGGTGGTGTGGTTGAGTGGTGGGGTGGTGAGGTGGTGTTGTGTTTGGGTAGTGGGGTGGGGTGGGGTGGTGGGGTGGTGGGGTGGGGTGGTGGGGTGGGGTGGTGGTGTGGTGGGGTGGTGGGGTGGTGGGGTGGGGTGGTAGGGTGGAGTGGTGGGGTGGTGGGGTGGTGGGGTGGCGTGGTGGAGTGGTGGGGGGGTGGGGTGGGTGGTGGGGTGGGGTGGTGCAGTAGGGTGCGTTCCCAGGGACCGGTTCATCACTTTGCCGCTGATGTCACCCGTTGCCGGGAATCCAAATATCACTGTCCTGGTCACAAAAGCAAAGTTTGTGGGGAATAACAGCCATTTTCTGTACTTTTGAGGCATACTCAATTAGAAAATAACACTTACTACCCAGGAACAAAAATCTTTTTTTTGTTACACACTCATTTATAATTGTCCCAGGCAGAGGCGTCCCGAGGGTGCACGGCGAATCGGGGTGTTAGGGACCCACAGTGGGGTGTGTGCCCCGGGCCCCGCACGCCCCAACGGAGGGGGCCCTGGCCCCATGTTATACAACTTCCCTCGTGTATTCGTTACAGCTGTGCGCCACCAACAGCGACCGTGACTCGCTCGGAGGTGGATTGTGGACTTCGTGAAGGCGCCCCGCCCCTAAACTCTTTCTGACCCCACACCCACCTACTGACCCCACCCATACCTACTGACCCCACACACACCTACTGACCCCACCCACACATATTGACCCCACACACATCTACTGACCCCACACACACCTACTGAAAACCCCCCGCCCACCTCCTACGCATTTCACAAGTAGTACTAATCACATTCCCGCATTTCCCATAAATATGCTAAATTCCTCTTGATATGCAAATTATTTTGTCAAGGCGCACTTCCCCCCCTTCCAACCCAGCTTAAATATACGCTCCAAGCGTGGTGGTGTTTCATTCAGACGCTGTCTCCCCGACAGACCTGTTCTTCACCTGAGGACGGCTGCTTGCGTTGTGGCCGAAACGTCGTGAGAATTATTTTATTATGTTTTATTATAATTATTTTATTACTTCCCTTCTACGTGACTTTACCGAAAGAACCAAGAAGATGAATCCCTGCAGTCACGAAAGCTTTAAATCGAAATTGAACTTACCTGTTGATTCAAGATAAGACAAATACAGATGGGGCCACAGACCAACGACTTAAATTCGTTGAATCATTGTTATATTGCATGAATTGCTTTGCGTGCAGAATGTTACATTGATATTCCACACACGGTCGCCCATATAACGTGCAGAGTGCACGCCGAGGTGTCCACTATCTTGTACGTGCGAACCCTGCGATTAAGAATGATCGTGGAAAGCAACGGCGGCCCACGTGCATCGAGAGGAGAGTTTTCAATCGGCGACCGTGACCCTTTGTGGTGATGGCACCGAAATCCGCCACTCAATCTTGCTTAAACTCCGAGACCTGACGGTGCATTCAGAGTGTGTTTGGCCAGAGGCATGGCCATCATGAACGGAGTATCACATCATCACATCATCTCCACTCTATGGCAAGTGAATGCCATCCCATGGCCTGGATATCCCTCGAGGTAGACTCAGCCTTGAAAATGATCACAGTACTCGGCGCCTTGCATCAACGTCGCCTGCTACTCAACCACCCGAAAAGGACCCGAAGCTAAGCAAACTTGGTGCCTGGATAGTGTTTGCAAGAGTGACCACCACCACGCGTCATAACATGTTGTTACGGGGTGCTCTGGCGCTACGTTGTGGGCAGCAGAGGGCAGAGCAGAAAAAAAAATTGTTGGGCTGTACTTCTATGCTACCCTCCGCCTATGCTTCTCCAATTCACCGAACCGTGCCTGAGCAGCGTGGTAAAGTGCAGTCAAGCATTGCACTCGCAAGCGCGAGTTCTAGGTCCTCATCCAGCAGTGGATTATTAATCACCTGCTAGAGCCCCAAACACGTGGAACACCCTCTTCGACAATGTCCTCGGCTTCTCTCCTGTCGACGCAGAAGGGACATTGGCCGAGACGCCGCCTGTGATGTGTTTACTTGAGGCCACGCGCAGCGTTCATGACGAATGCTCTTGAGTTTGGAGTGGGGGGGGGTTGTTATTTGTGCTTGAGCTCCACAGTCAACACAAAGAGTCAAGCACCACCGGATGATTTGGGTTTTTATTTCAGCGTCATTTGTAGATAACGCCACGTCTGTTGACGTAATAACGTCACGTCTGCTGACACACGAGTGCAAGAATTAACAATAATCATTTCCGTATTAATCTATCCAGAAGGGCCAATGCTGAGTTTCATTTCACGTGTGTGGGGAGGAAATCGGAGCACCGGGAGAAAACCCACGCCTTGCACGAGAGGGGCAACGCTCTATCCCCCGTACAGATGGAAACAGATGGGAGTCCGCATTTGCTGTCCCGTGTTCTCCTGGCGAGCCAGGAGCACGGCACCACGTCCACGCCCACGGGAAGGGGAGAGTCACACCCCATCTGTGCGTGATACACCAACCCCTCGCCGCTGCCTCCACAGCGCCGGATTACAGGCAGCGCGTAGAATTCACCGCGCACGCACCGTTGACGTTTCTGTACATTCATTTGACTCTGAATGGTTTTAAAAACGTAAAAAAATTAACCCGTAAAAACAAAGTTTTTCACTATAAATCCTTTATATGCGTGGCATCGGGGCGGCTAGAGTCCTCTCGTCCTCTGGCTTGAGATGGCTGCCACCTATGGGTCAGATGATTGCCTGCCACCATTAAGCAATTGGTAATTACATTTTTTTTCCCCTAAACAGTGTAAAATTTTGGAAAATTTTTTTGCACGGAAATTAATTGTCACGCACAACGAGTCTGTGTGCAAAATGTCAGCTCGATTGGATCACGGGAAGTGGGTTAAAAAACGACCGAAAGATTTGCACGGTCGTAAGCACGCAAGCAAGCACGCAAGTGAACTTAATGTTCAAATGCCGAGCACGTGGGCAACTCCTAACTTCACCAGGCACCTTGTAGGGGGCCGAGCCTTCGAGCTGCAGTGAATCAATGAGGATTCATCTTCTTGGTTCTTTCGGTAAAGTCACGTAGAAGGGAAATAATAAAATAATAATAAAAAATAATAAAATAATTCTCGCTTATTTTTTTATTTTATTATTTCCCTTCTACGTGACTTTACCGAAAGAACCAAGAAGATGAATCCCTGCAGTCACGAAAGCTTTACATCGAAAATCAATGAGGATGCCGATCAAATGTACTCATGTCTGATGTGGCTGTTGTTCATAATTGCATCTCGAAAAAAATGTCTTTTATTTAAGGTTGTTTCTGTTGGGTGAAACGCTTTTGATGTTTTTCTGTAACGTGTTTGGCTGTTTCTTGTTTTTTGCCCTGCTCTCGATTTGCTTCGTTTCTCTACTTTATTTGATGATTTTACATTTTGTCACTTTGGTGTATCCCAGGGCAACTCTTACAAAGGAGACAAACACTCAAATGTGTTCATGTACGTGCAATGAAGAAGGGCCGTTTCCCGAAACGTCGGACATTATATATTTTTTATTTTAAGCCCATAGTGTGAATTGACGACTGTGTTGAGTTCGTTGATGTTGACAACGCTTGCGCACCACTGCCAACGCACCGGGAGAATCACCACCACCACCATCATCATCAATAACAACAACATCAAAAACTCCACGTGGGGTGACCACCCCACTCACGTGTCACTCCTTGATCGCCTCGATCACCACGAGGACTTCAAGGCGGCCACACCCTCGCCACGAGACGTGAACCCTTCGTGATGTCTCAACGAGATATGGTCGCAGCTGCTCTTTGAGGTCATCATCACGTTGAGTCGTTTGGGCGAGGGCCGCCCTATACATTTATACGACAAAGACAAAGTTCCCCCGGATAGCCTTCAAGAGACTGTAGGTGCCAATTGCTATTTAAGGCCGGCACGCACGCGAAGGAGGTGGGTGGCCAACATCACGCCCGACCGCCTTTGTCTCCCAATGCTGACGTTCACACACCGCATCTGCTACTCATTTGAGGCTGAGTAGACCTTGGGGAAGCCCGGACTCGGTTCAGATATTCGTCACCGATGTTTGGCTGCGAGCAGGGGATGGGTACAGCACAGCGAGGCTAACCACTGCACCACCGCTCCAAACAATACGTAAATACACGTGCACACACATTGTACGTGCATATTCGGAGAGATAAAGATTCCCGCTATAGCCTTGATAGGTCTGTTGGCTCAAGTGCTGATAGTTAAAGGCGCAGCCCTGCAACTGCCTGCTCACGCCACTGCTGGCGGAAAGGAGACCTCCACTTGAGGCCGCTCTCTCTCGAGAGAGAGGAGAGTCGTCGGCCTACTCTTCCAACACCTCGGATGTGGTGGGGGTGCCCACACTTTACTCCACCATGCGCTACCTGTCAGCAAAAACGTGCAACCCCCCCCCCTCCCCACGTTGCCTTAGCGAGTTCCACGCCCGGCCGTCTTTGTATCCCCAGCGCCGCTGATGTACAAACACACCGCATAATTTTTCGATTGAAAGCTTTCGTGACTGCAGGGATTCATCTGCTTGGTTTTTTCGGTAAAGTCACGTAGAAGGGAAATAATAAAATAATAAAATATTCTAAAATAAACAATTCTCACGACGTTTCGGCCACAACGCAAGCAGCCGTCCTCAGGTGGAGAACAGGTCTGTCGGAAAAAAACAGCGTCAGAATTATTTAATTTTATTATGTTTTATTATTTCCCTTCTACGTTACTTTATCGAAAGAACCAAGAAGACACCGCAGCATGCTGACGAGCGAGCGAGGTGTCCGATCACGACTGTCACTCGCCACTGATGTTAGCCGTCGCGAAGATGACTACGTACACAACAGCGCCAGGAAGGCGTGGCCGATAACGTGATTCTTTACCACAAAGATCCCCCGTGTAGCCTTAAACAGACTGTTGGGGCAAGTGCTGTTAGCGAGCACCTATTAAGGCAAGAACGGTACACAAGAGGGTGGGTGGCAAACACCACGCCTGGCCGCCTTTGTCTCCCCAGTGGCGCTGTTTCTACACCGCACCAGGTACTCATTTGAGGTTGAGTCGCCTTAAGGGAGGATCAGGGCCGGTTCAGATAATCGTCACCGGTGTTGGCCGTGAGCGGGAATCGAACTCGGGTCGGCGGGTTCGTCGCTACACACGCACACACAGAGACAAAGCCCCCCCCCCCCACCCGTGTAGCCTACAGACGCCGTTGGGGCAAGTGCTGTTAGAAAGCACCTACCTCTACAGAAAGGCCTGGGGCATTTGTGGACAGCACCATGCCGGCCCGCCTTTATCTTCCCAGCAACACGATGTTTGTACACTGGCACCCAGGTACAAATGTCAGGCTGAGGTCAGTCCAAGTACGCGATGAGTTCGCACGCGCCACACGCCTGAAAGCGGTCAATTGTCCGAAACGTCAGTTCACCGTATGCAGTGTTATTTTATTGTGTATTTGTAATGGCGACTGATATTTTGCACAACCCCACTCATCCACCAACTCAATTCACCACGAAACACTTTCGTCACGCACTCATCCATAACCCCACCGGTTTACGAAGTTACCACTCACACAACTCACTCGTGTCACCTACGCAGCCACGTATACACTCATGACACGCACAGTCTCTCACCAACCCACTGAATCACTCACCAATTCATTCACAATGTCGACAACCACCCACCCAAAGCACCCGTTTACCTCCCGACCAATTCAATCACTCAACAACTCACTCCCATGCTCCCTCACTCATTCCCCTACCGATCCACTCACACGCCTAAAAACCCACTCACTCAGTCACCCACCAACCCACTCACTCATTCACCCACCCACCTATCAATTCAACCACCCACCCACTCACTCTCATGCTCCCTCACTCATTCCCATACCGACCCACTCCAACACCTACAAACCCATTCACTCAGTCACCCACCGACCCACTCACTCACTCAGTCACCCACCTATCAATTCAACCACCCAACCACTCACTCTCATGCTCCCTCACTCATTCCCCTACCGACCCACTCACTCAGTCACCCACCAACCCACTCACTCATTCACCCACCCACCAACCCACTCACTCACCCACCAATCAATTCGACCACCCAACCACTCACTCTAATGCTCCCTCACTCATTCCCCTACCGACCCACTCACACACCTGCAAACCCACTCACTCAGTCACCCACTCACTCATTCACCCACCCACCTATCAATTCAACCACCCAACCACTCACTCTCATTCTCCGTCACTCATTTCCCTACCGACCCACTCACTCAGTCACCCACCAACCCACTCACTCATTCACCCACCCATCAATTCAACCACCCAACCACTCACTCTCATGCTCCCTCACTCATTCCCCTACCGACCCACTCACACACCTACAAACCCACTCACTCAGTCATCCACCCACCCACTCACTCAGTCACCCACCAACCCACTCACTCACTCAGTCACCCACCTATCAATTCAACCACCCAACCACTCACTCTCATGCTCCCTCACTCATTCCCCTACCGACCCACTCACTCAGTCACCCACCAACCCACTCACTCATTCACCCACCCACCCACCAACCCACTCACTCACCCACCAATCAATTCGACCACCCAACCACTCACTCTAATGCTCCCTCACTCATTCCCCCACCGACCCACTCACACACCTACAAACCCACTCACTCAGTCACCCACCAACCCACTCACTCACCCACCAACCACCCAACCACCCAACCACTCACTCTCATGCTCCCTCACTCATTCCCCTACCGACCCACTCACTCAGTCACCCACCAACCCACTCACTCACCCACCAACCACCCAACCACTCACTCTCATGCTCCCTCACTCATTCCCCTACCGACCCACTCACTCAGTCACCCACCAACCCACTCACTCACCCACCCATCAATTCAACCACCCAACCACTCACTCATTCCCCTACCGACCCACTGACCCTCCCCTCCCCTCCCCCACTGCCATTCTATCACAACCCCTCTGGGGCAACAATCCACGTCCTGGCGACAATAAACGAACAAAAAACATCTTCAACGCGGCCGACGGCAGATCTTAATCTGCCAACGAGACGCGCTGAGTGGAACGCAAGTTCTGATGACGGCGCCTCTCCTGAGAGGCTCCGGCCAATGGGAGGCCTCCTCGCGCTGTGACGTCACAATCTATAGGGCTGCCCGCCCCCCGCCCCCCGTCCCTTACAGCCACCGCTTTACACGCGGGGCACAGATAACCGTGCCCCGCCTTATCTTACACCTTTATGTGCTTAATGGGAGCAGTGTCACGGAACGCCGGGGGCTATAAAAATGCAAAGTGCGTGTGTAAATTGTCCCTTTTCAAACCAAAAAAATGTATCAGCGTTGTTAAAGCGTAAGATGATATATATATGTGTGAGCAGACAATGCAACACGGCATAACGCCTCCTGTCGAAGGATTTATTCATATTTGCCTTTTCACATCACATCGGTCACAATCACCGCCTTCTTTCTGGCTGGGGTTCCACTTTCAGCGGCGATTGGTTCAGCGCAGGCACAAGTCCGCAGCCGTTTCGACATGCAGCGTCTCATCAGCAGGATCCAGGCTTTGCTTGCACCAATGCTGATCAACTTCCCAGGTGTGCTGAGGCAAGGGAAGGTTTCGACATGCAGCGTCTCATCAGCATGATCCAGGCTATGCTTGGACCAATGCTGCTCAATTTCCCAGGTGTGCTGAGGCAAGGGAAGATTTCGACATGCAGCGTCTCATCAGCATGATCAAGGCTCTGCTTGCACCAATGCTGCTCAGCTTCCCAGGTGTGTTTAGGCAAGGAAAGGTTTCGACATGCAGTGTCTCATCAGCAGGATCCAGGCTTTGCTGGCACCAATGCTGCTCAGCTTCCCAGGTGTGTTTAGGCAAGGAAAGGTTTCGACATGCAGCATCTCATCAGCACGATCCAGGCACTGCTTGGACTAATGCTGCTCAATTTCCCAGGTGTGCTTAGGCAAAGAAAAGTTTCGACATGCAGCGTCCCATCAGCAGGATTCAGGCTATGCTTGGACCAATGTTGCTCAACTTACCAGGTGTGCTTAGGCAAGGACAGGTTTCGACATGCAGTGTCTCTTCAGCATGATCCAGGCTCTGCTTGCACCAATGCAGTTCAATCTCCCAGGTGTGCTTAGGCAAGGAAAGGTTTCGACATGCAGCGTCTCATCAGCATGATCCAGGCTATGCTTGCACCAATGATGCTCAACTTCCCAGATGTGCTTAGGCAAGGAAAAGATTTCGACATGCAGCGTCTCATCAGCATGATCCAGGCTATGCTTGGACCAATGCTGCTCAATTTTCCAGGTGTGCTTAGGCAACGAAGGGTTTCGACATGCAGCGTCTCATCAGGAGCGCAAGTCAAACTTTGCTTGCCAGATGATTCTAGGCAAGGGTCCCTCTCTGTTGGACGTGGGTTCTAGAAGAGAACTCGGCTGATGTAGTTCGTCTCTTATCTTTGCGCAAATGGTGACGCGAAGCTTTTTTTAGGTCACCGCGAGCGTTGTACTGTTTATGGGAGGACGGCAGTTCTGAGAAATATGACACGTGGTCGAATGTCAGTCGCAGCTATACGCACGTGTACGCGGGCGTGGCGCATACGTGTGTATCAGTGCAAAACCTTTGGTGATGCTGCTGAGTTGGCAGTGGTGCACAAACAACAACAACAAACAACTCAACATATTCGTCAACAACGCCGTGGCCTTAAAATTGATAGACATACGTTGACATGATAGGTGACGTTGGGAACAATGGCACTTCCTCATGGCACATGTTAGAAATCGACAATTCGTAGCAAATTTGTTGTTCTTCTTGGTTCTTTCGGTAAAGTCACGTAGAAGGGAAATAATAAAATAATAAAAATAAAACATTATAAAATGCAATTCTCACGACGTTTCGGCCACAACGCAAGCAGCTGTCCTCAGGTGAAGAACAGGTCTGTCGGAAAGACAGTGTCTGAATGAACACCACCAGGCTTGGAAGCGTATATTTAAGCTGGATTTATTATTATTTTATTATATCCCTTCTACGTGACTTTACCAAAAGAACCAAGAAGATGAATCCCTGCAGTCACGAAAGCTTTAAATCGAAATTTTATTATGTTTTATTTTTATTATTTTATTATTTCCCTTCTACGTGACTTTACCAAAAGAACCAAGAAGATAAATCCCTGCAGTCACGAAAGCTTTAAATCGAAATATGTTGTTGTATGCTACGGAGAAGGGACATTGCTCGAAACGTCGTCTATTATATATTTTTCATATAAGTGTTACACTCATTTAAGGTTGAATACTGCTGATGAGACGTTAAATGTCGACATCTGTGTGGATTTTCGCGTGTGTTGGCGGCCACCACCACCACCACCACCGGCGATTATCTGAACCCGTCCCGGGCCTCCCCTAGGTCGACTCAGCCTCAAATGAGTACCTGGTGCGATGTGTAAAAACATCGCCAGGAGGAAAACAAAGGCGGTCGGGCGAGGTGCTGGCCACCCACCCCTTCGTGTGCCGTGCCGGCCTTCATAGGTGGTTCTTGCGAACAGCACTTGCCCCAACAGCCTGTTCAGGTGATATGGGGGCATGTCTGTGTTTGGTAACGTGTTTCCATTTGTATCTCTAAGGACATGCATGTGGCATGACATGTACTGCTATGTTTGCTGTTCTCCAATATTTCGACAACTTTATTCCATGTATATCCTCAATTTTTGCCGTCTTTTTCTTGGATGTTCTGTTTGCACATAGTCACATAGTCACTTTAAGATGTTTTCTTGTTCATGTTTTTGTTTTTTGTTTGTTGCGGTTGCACCCGATTCAAGAGCCGAATGGCTCACAGGGCTATATACCTAATACATGAACTTGAATTGTCGATAACATATTAAAACACGACTTAATATGTTTGCCAACAATTGATGAGATGGTGAATAAGTTCGTGAAATGCATGGGGCCGCGTGGGTTATTTTCCGGGTCCTCTCCGCGTTCAGAAACACGCGTTTAGAGTATTTGGCGACTGCTATAAATTCCCACACGACAAAGGCGCATCGTTGAGATGTCACTCGCGGCCAGCTCGCTTCCGACAAGGAGCAACACAGCCGAGTGGGCCTTACCTGGGAAATAAATAAAAAAAATTTGCTTAGTTTAAAAGTGAAAAATCACACGTACTGTATATACACATAACATAATCAATCAGTCATTGCAAGAAATAGCATGCCATGCCGTGCGTGTCTGTGTCTCGATGTGCATTTATCATGCGCCGTGCCGGCCTTCAACGGTGCTGGCTAAAAGCACTTGCCACAAAGAGTCTGTTAAAAGTCTATACGGGGGATCTTTGTCTTTGTGTGCATATGTTGATAAGAATGTGTGTACTTAATATAGCCTCTCGCAAAATCAGCACTTTCCCCAACAGCCTGTGGTAGGCTATCCGGGATACCTTTGTCTTTGCGTGTACAAAAAAAAACCACACACGAGCCACTGTGTCAACAAACGTGTCCGATTCAAGGAGTTGACTCATCCAAAGCACGCGTGGCTCTGGCATTGAACCGGTCGCAGTCTTTTCTCTCTCTCTCTCTCTCGCTGGGATTTGTGCTCAACTCACACGCGAAGTCTTTGGCAGCGGTCGAAACTGTCGTGGAAGTTGTTTCCCAGGCTGCTCTCCGTGTTGACCGACGCCAAAAAGTCGTCTTTTCTGGGCATCAATCGCCTGCCGGACAGGGAGGGCGCACAGGAGACACCCACGGGGTTGTCGGGATTGCAAGGAGGGATACTTTTTTGCTGCTGTTGTTGCTGTTTCACGATTCACTCAACAATCAACATTTTTTTTCACTGATTCATTGACATCATTCACGTGCTCGCAGGATGCATCACGCTGGCTGGGATCTCGCTGGGCACGTGCTCGGCGTGTTGGAGCGCGAAATTCTCGACAGGTAACTCAGACCCCCCCCCCAACCCCCAATTCTCATTGTTGTGCGTGTGTGTTGGGGAGCGGTAGCATAGCGGTTAACGCTACGCTGCGCTACGAACCTGGTAAAACCCGGGTTCGATTCCCGCTCACGGCCAACACCGGTGACGATTGTCTGACCCAGTCTTGGGCCTCCCCTAGGTCGACTCAGCCTAAAATGTGTACCTAGCGCGATGTGTAAACATCGCCACGAGGGGGACAAAGGCGGCCGCGCGAGGTGTTGGCCACCCACCCACTCGTGTGCCGTTCCGGCCTTAAAAAGTGCTCGCTAACAGCACTTGCCCCGACAGTGTGTTGAAGGCTATACGGGGGATCTTTGTGTCCGTGTTGCGCTGTATGGGCCAAAAAAATACAGAGGGAATCCTGAGCATCTCCAGCTTACAGCGCTAGGGTCAGTCATGGAGATTCCACGTTACTATGGCCGGGGGCAGTGGGGGGGGGGAGTATATACATTGAACAACCAGAGTTTGACTGACACACAAAGTGGTATTCACTGTATCGACCCCTGGCCGGAGAGGATGATTGACCGAGTCACCCACCCCAACCAGGATTTGAACTCGTGCACACAAGGTCGCTGACCCCTTGTCAATGTGAAAGCTCGTATCGTGATGATGACTTGGCCACCAGATGTGGCGTCGTACCGCGGCTAGCAGAACTCTTTATGGGGAGCGGTGGCGTCGTGGTTAGCACACTGCGCTGCACGAATTAAATGCGCGCCTCAAGTGAGTAGCTGGTGTGGTGTGTAAACGTCGCCGCTGGGGAGACAAAGGCGGCCGGGCGTGGTGCTGGCCACCCACCCCCTCGTGTGGCCGCGCCGTCCTTCATAGATTCTCGCTAACAGCACTTGCCCCAATGAGTGTGTTGCAGGCTATACGGGGGATCTTTGTCTTTGCACGCCTGCGATGATGTAAACTTCTCACCGTGAACCGAGCACGACGAGGCAGACGAGGACGAGGGCTCCAGTCAACCCCGCGACCGAGTAGACTGCGTAATTCGCCATCACTGCCAGGACAGAACGGGGCAATCGCCATCAGCACGTCACGAACCACACCGACACAACCGGCGTCGACGCATGTTCTCAAATTGTATTGTGTTAGCGTCACCGCCGCGTTCCCTGTCCGCCCCTGCAGCCAGCCAGCCAGCCAGCAAACCTTGTTTTCGAATATCGTACGATAGCATGAGTGTGATCGAGTACGGTTGCATTTCGGCATGGATTCGTACTCTTTTCTCTCACTTGATACAGCTATCGTGCTGTGACGGTTCCACCTGAAGACGGAAGCTTGTGTTGCCTCCGAAACGTCGTGATTTATTTTTTATTTTTATTTTACTTTTATTAATTTTTATTTTTTACCTACGTGACTTTACCGAAAAAACCTAAGAATATTAATCCTTGCAGTCACGATAGCTTCAAATCTAGAATTCGTACTGAGCATTGGCTGGGCACGTGACCTGGGACGCAGCGCTGTGGAGGAAGCAGCGATGGTTTGTGGAAAATTCACGAGCGAGTAGGCAACACTGCACGGTCTGAGATTAACCTAATTACTATAATAATCATGATTAATACTCTTTGGTTCTTTCGGTAAACTGAGTCAGCAGTTCCACCTGCTGTGTTGGTCTCACCTGATGACGGTTGCTTGTGTTGCGATCGAAACGTCGTGATCTATTTTATTTTCTACCTACGTGACTTTACCGAAAGAACCAAAAGGTATGGATTCCTGCAGTCACGAAAGCTTCAAATCCATCATAATTAGTATTACAATGGCATGGCTATTACGTTCTGTTTTGCGTAATCATAACCTACCTTAACTCCTAACCCCTAAACCCTAAGAAAGGCGCCTTTAAAGAAATGAAAATCAACTCAACGCTCTCGTCATCAAGAACTGCGCGCGCGTGTGCGCGAGCTCACAATAAAAAAAAACACAACACAATTGGCGACGTTTCAGGCCATAGCCCCGTGCTATTGCATGTATGTGGAACTTCTTTCGCACCGCACGTACGTACCCAAGCGTGCTAATCGGAGGTGCTGCGAGAAGAAGGGTCAATTGCCCGGAACTTCGCCTTAATTGTAGTTGTTGATGAACGTGTTGAGTGTTGCTGCTGCTGTTGTTGTTGTTGTTGACAACTTTGTGCAGCACTGCCAACGCAAGCAGCAGCGGCTGCATCACCATCATCACCACCACCACCAGATGATGTAATGTGTTTAAACAAATACGTAAATGTTTCATTGCTCGATTGATTTGACACCGGGCACATTCAATCCTCCCTTGTGGGACTTGCGTCATCTTGTTCCGCACAGGGGCAGCTGCCCATCAGGGATGAGGGGGGGGTCCCCTGGGCTTAAATGAAGTTGATGAAAACGGACAACAGAGCTGGGGATTGGAATGAGATGCGGCACAAGCGGCTTTTGAGATTGTGGGGGGCATTCTAATCGCTGAATAAATGTCAAGCATTATTCCTTTTCATCATCATCAACAGACTGTAGGGGCAAGTGCTGTTAGCGAGCACCTATAAAGGCCGGCACGGCACACGAGGGGGTGGGTGGCCAGCACCACGCCCGGCCGCCTTTGTCTCCCTAGTGGCGATGTTTACACATCGCACACGGTACTTATTTAAGGCTGAGTCGACCTAGGGGAGGCCCATGGCCGATCCAGCATAATCGTCACCGGTGTCGGCCTTGAGCAGGAATGGAACTCGGGTCGCCGGGTTCGTGGTTAACCGCGCTACACAACCGCTCCCGCAAACACACACGCACATACACACACACGTGCACACACACACGCACGCACACACACACACGTGCACACACACGTGCACACACACACGCACGCACACACACACACACACGTGCACACACACGTGCACACACACACGCACGCACACACACACACACGTGCACACACACGTGCACACACACACGCACGCACACACACACACACACGTGCACGCACACACATACACACACGCGCGCACACACACACACGAGCACGCGCGCACACACACACGTGCACGCGTACGAACCTCACATAGACAAGCGTGCGCACACATACACACACGTGCACGCGTGCACACATACACACACGGGCACGCGCGCACACACACACACGGGCACGCGTACGAACCTCACATAGAGAAGCCCGCACACTCACATACACACACGTGAACGCGCGCAACCTCGGCCCCGCTCGCCGTAAAGCGTCATGATTGTAGACTGCAGAGAGTTGTGATAGCAGCGCAACACCTTTAACATCTCCAATCCTCTTCGTTGACCGAACCGGGTCAAGGACACGTCGCTCGGAGTGGGGGGGACACGCTTATTGCAGCACACCAAAGTAGGGTCGTAAAAAAAAAAACGGTAACCGGTTTAAAAAAAAAACGGTAACCGGTTTAAAAAAAAAAGTTAACTGTATCGAGCATCGATTAGGGGCAAGGTCAACGTCCCTCCCGAAGCACCCGCCCCAGTTGAGTTATGGTGGTGAAGGCCTCGGCTAGAGGGAGGCTCTAAGGGTGGATCCGGCCGATTCTCCCACACGGGACAGATGTCCTGCACGAGGTCGACGTGCACCCACGTGTGACTACCCCACCCACAAGCTACCGACCCCATCGACTGCGGTGCAGGAAAGAAAAAGGAACATACGGAGTAGGAGACGTTTCGGTACATTGACCCCATGTCATAAGTAATATTTTTTTTTCTTTTTTTTTAAACACGCTTTTATGAAATGTACTAGTAATGGAAGAACTCCACGACTATGGGAAGTGGTCCCGAAGCTTGCCACAACGTAAGCGACCGTGGTCAATTACAGCCAACGTCAGTTGAGCGTGGACAATTAGACCCAAGCCAAAACATAACTTATAAAAAAGATTGTTTAAAAAAATTATTTTTTTATTTTGTATGATAGAATATAGTATTGTCATCAGTATGACATAAGTATACCAAGTTTGCAGTCGATACCACGTTGGGGAGTGGGTTAAAATCGAGTTACAAGATTTGAAGATACGACAACAACAGAGTGAGTTAGATAAAAGCGTGTTAAAAAGTCAAGATAACAGAATGTTGGAGGTGGGTGGCCAGCACCACGCCCGCCCGCCTTTGTCTCCCTCGTGGAGATGTTTACACACCACCCCAGGTACTCATTTGAGGCCGAGTTGCTCTAGGGGAGGACCAGGACCGGTTTAGATCATCGTCACCGGTGTTAGGCCATACGTGGGAAGCTAACTCGGGTTACCATTCCCCGCAACAAACACTCGCTCACTCACCCACCCACCCACTCACCCATCCACCTACTCACCCACCCACTCACCCATCCACCTACTCACCCACCCATTCACCCATCCACCTACTCACCCACCCATTCACCCACTCACCCACCCACTCACCCATCCACCTACTCACCCACCCATACACCAACTCACCCACCCACTCACCCATCCACCTACTCACCCACCCATTTACCCACTCACCCACCCACTCACCCATCCACCTACTCACCCACCCATTCACCCACTCACCCACCCACTCACCCATCCACCTACTCACCCACCCATTCACCCACTCACCCACCCACTCACCCATCCACCTACTCAACCACTCATTCACCCACTCACCCACCCACCCACTCACCCATCTACCTACTCGCCCACCCATTCACTCACTCACTCACCCACCCACTCACCCATCCACCTACTCACCCACCCATTCACCCACTCACCCACCGACTCACCCATTCACCTACTCACCCACCCATTCACCCACTCACCCATCCACCCACCCACCCACCCATTCACCCACCCACCCACCCACTCACCCATCCTCCTACTCACCCACCCATTCACCCACTCACCCACCCACTCACCCATCCACCTACTCACCCATCCATTCACCCACTCACCCACCCACTCACCCATCCACCTACTCACCCACCTATTCACTCACCCATCCACCTACTCACCCACCCATTCACTCACCCATCCACCTACTCACCCACCCATTCACCCACTCACCCACCCACTCACCCATCCACCTACTCACCCACCCATTCACCAACTCACCCACCCACTCACCCATCCACCTACTCACCCACCCATTCACCCACTCACCCATCCACCTACTCACCCACCCATTCACCCACTCACCCATCCACTCACCCATCCACCTACTCACCCACCCACCCATTCACCCACTCACCCACCCACTCACCCATCCACCTACTCAACCACTCATTCACACACCCACCCACTCACCCATCTACCTACTCACCCACCCATTCACCCACTCACCCACCCACTCACCCATGCCGTACACTCTTATCTAACTCGGATTGTGCTGTTTGTTGCTGGCGGCGTGTTTCTTCCTTTGAGAGGCCACGTGCTCAGCACGCGCGATCGGCACCGTTCCAGAAAGCTCGTCTTGAGAATGCGCGCAGATTTGTTTTTGGGGGAGGGGTATTTTGTTTAAAAAACGGTCGTTAGTTTGATCCTTTCTGTATTCCTTTCTTATTTGGTAATACCAAGCAAGCAAATGCACAACTCTGCAATCCGTGGGTATCTCGTGTGTTTTACGAGCCCCCTTATCGGCTGATAACCGCGTTACTGCTCGCCAGTAAGGCGTCTCTCCTGCAGCGTTCAAGGTCTCTCCTCAAGGTGTCGACCCCCTCCGACCCGATCTTTGTATCGAACTCCGGTGCTTTTATCTCAACACTCCCTCCGCGATTGTGAGCGTGAGGGATTGCAACCGCGGCCTCGGGATGGCGATTGCAACGTGGCCGCTGCGGGTTTTTTTACATTGTTGGGCCATTGTGGCATTTTAACAGCGGGTGTGATGCGATTACAGAGTTCTGCTGGGTGTGGGATTGCAACCTTGGCCCGAGTGGGATTGTGATGGGACTGGTGGGGGGTTGTAATGTCACCGGTGTAGGATTTTAGGGTTTTCCCCCATCGTGAGCACTGGGATTCTAACCTGTGGATATGGCGGGATTACAATTCTGATACGTGTGGGATTACAATCATAACTAAAGTAAGGGATTGTAATGCGAGTGGTGTGGGATTATAACTTTTTAGCCATCGTGAGCACTGGGATTCTAACCTGTGGATATGGCGGGATTACAATTCTGATACGTGTGGGATTACAATCATAACTAAAGTAAGGGATTGTAATGCGAGTGGTGTGGGATTATAACTTTTTAGCCATCGTGAGTACTGGCATTCTAACCTGTGGATATGGCGGGATTACAATTCTGATACGTGTGGGATTACAATCATAACTAAAGTAAGGGATTGTAATGCGAGTGGTGTGGGATTATAACTTTTTAGCCATCGTGAGCACTGGGATTCTAACCTGTGGATATGGCGGGATTACAATTCTGATACGTGTGGGATTACAATCATAACTAAAGTAAGGGATTGTAATGCGAGTGGTGTGGGATTATAACTTTTTTGCCATCGTGAGCACTGGGATTCTAACCTGTGGATATGGCGGGATTACAATTCTGATACGTGTGGGATTACAATCATAACTAAAGTAAGGGATTGTAATGCGAGTGGTGTGGGATTATAACTTTTTAGCCATCGTGAGCACTGGGATTCTAACCTGTGGATATGGCGGGATTACAATTCTGATACGTGTGGGATTACAATCATAACTAAAGTAAGGGATTGTAATGCGAGTGGTGTGGGATTATAACTTTTTTGCCATCGTGAGCACTGGGATTCTAACCTGTGGATATGGCGGGATTACAATTCTGATACGTGTGGGATTACAATCATAACTAAAGTAAGGGATTGTAATGCGAGTGGTGTGGGATTATAACTTTTTTGCCATCGTGAGCACTGGGATTCTAACCTGTGGATATGGCGGGATTACAATTCTGATACGTGTGGGATTACAATCATAACTAAAGTAAGGGATTGTAATGCGAGTGGTGTGGGATTATAACTTTTTAGCCATCGTGAGCACTGGGATTCTAACCTGTGGATATGGCGGGATTACAATTCTGATACGTGTGGGATTACAATCATAACTAAAGTAAGGGATTGTAATGCGAGTGGTGTGAGATTATAACTTTTTAGCCATCGTGAGCATTGGGATTCTAACCTGTGAATAGGGTCGGATTAAAATTGTGATTACTCTGGGACGAGTACAATTAATCACCGTCTTGAAATCCCAATTGTGATTACTGTAATGTGGCCTTCTGATCAGCACCGCTGTGCGATTACAACTCTGACCAAGTCAGCCCAGAGTGTGGTACCCGTTTTGGGGTTTCAACATGTTGAACGATGCGGGATTCTAATAAGTTGAACGGATAAGGGGCGAGTTTCTTGAATTCCTTTAACCCCACACCTCTGTCCACCCGGCAGCAGCAGCAGCAGCAACGGCAAAAATGAGCACAGCTCAGCAAGTTCACGCTATGCAGGTCATAGTGTGCGGGTGGGGTCAAAGTGTGGGTTACCCCCCCAGTTAAGACTATTCTTTATTTGACCAGGTTTAAGGCCCACTGAGCTATTCCGTTTCTTTTTTCGAAGCGACTTGACCACAAATAATAGCGCAGCGATGTGGCTTGCCATGTGGACATTCATAGCAGCCAAAAACTCTAAATGCGTGATGTTGATTATCGGTGTTGGAGGGGAAAACTGGGGATTGACGGTGAAAAATCCACACGACCACGAGGAGAGAGACACGCAAACTACAAATATACGGCAGCAGGCGTCAGGGTCGGGATCGAACCCACGACCTCCTGTATACCAGGCGAGGTAGTTAACATCTCTACAGGGAGAGAGAGACACGCAAACTCCACATATACAGCAGCAGGCGTCAGGGTCGGGATCGAACCCACGACCTCCTGTATACCAGGCGAGGTAGTTAACATCTCTACAGGGAGAGAGAGAGAGAGATACGCAAACTCCACATATACAGCAGCAGGCGTCAGGGTCGGGATCTAACCCACGACCTCCTGCATACCAGGCGAGATAGTTAACATCTCCGAGCCACCGTGTCGCCAGTTAGTCCAAGACGTCTGGCCAGCGTGAAAGAGTAGGCCAAGCACAGGTCGCAAACGGTTTTGATTCCTTACCCGTCCCCAGCCGCACCAGGGTCGCAATCGGATACCCGATACCCGTACCCTACCCGATACCCGGCTACCCGTACCCGGCCGGGTATCGGGTAGGGTACGGGTACCCGATTGCGACCTCTGGAATGAAGCCATGTTGCAGGCGCGGGTGGGTTGATTCTAGGAACTTGAATTGTGAGAAGAGACAAGACGTTGGGAAATGAGTGACAAACGGTTACTCACCAGTGACTCACGGTCTACCCGTACCCGTACCCGGCCGCACCAGGGTTGCAAACGGCTACCCGTACCCGGCCGGGTACGGGTAGCCGGGTATCGGGTAGGGTACGGGTATCGGGTACCCGGTTGCGACCTCTGGGCCAAGGTAACCCCACTAGAGAGGGGGGCCTCTACAGCCCCGCCTCTCTAAGAGCCTCCTCAAGCGGAGGTGCTTCAGTCAGCAGTGGCGGGAGCGAGCGCTTGCAGGGCTGCGCCTCTTAGCTTTCATCCACACGCGGCGTCCGTGCACAAAGCAACGCTCAGAGCACCGACCGACCGACCGACCGACCGACCGACCGACCGACCGACCGACCGACCGACTGACGACTGATCGACCGACTGACCGACTGACCGACCGACTGACCGACCGACCGACTGACCGACTGATCGACCGACTGACCGACTGACCGACCGACCGACTGACCGACCGACTGACCGATTGACCGACCGACCGACTGACCGACCGACGACCGACTGACCGACTGACCGACCGACTGACCGACCGACCGACTGACCGACTGACCGACCGACCGACCGACTGACCGACCGACCGACTGACCGACTGACCGACCGACTGACCGACCGACCGACTGACCGACTGACCGACTGATCGACCGACCGACCGACTGACCGACTGATCGACCGACCGACCGACCGACTGACTGACCGACCGACTGACCTTCAACCGCGGCTGTCGGATAATCCGAGTACTCCACGTAGACATCCACAGTCGTGTGCTCACCGGGCCTGTCGCTCGTTGTTTCTGCGGAAGACAGATTTCATTCGGGCGTTGTGTGCGCGTGTGTGTGTGTGTCAAGGCCGTAGCCATGGAGTCAACATTGGGGGGGGGACCAAATCTTCCAGGGGGTCTGGGGGTCCCAACCCAGAAAAATATCTACATTTGAAAACTCATTTCTTACCTAAAATATTTAAAAAAGTCACTAACACATGGGATGGACTTTTTATTACATTTTTTACAATAATGTCTAATAGTGTATTGTATTACATTGCTCTGTTTTTACTTTTTTTACCATTTCTTGTTTCATTGTATGTAATGTTTGAGATTAGGGATTAATAAAGTACAACCAAAACCACAATCATATAAACAGCAATCTATGCATTGATTTATATGAAGACAAGTCCGGATATTGTGGTTTAGCAAATTGTTGTTTTTATTTACAAAGCATAGCAATTCTATTTTTTTATAGCAATATATTGGGGGGGGGGGGGGGCATTTTGAGCATATTTGAACATTTGGGGGGATGTGTATCCCCCCAAATATATATTATAATTACGGCCTTGGTGTGTGTGTCTCTATCCATCGATCTCGTGTGTGTGTGCGACTGTGTGGAGCGGTGGCGCTTCGGTTAGCCGCTCGCGGCCACCTACACCGGTGACGATTGTCTGAACCGGTCCTGGGCCTCCCCTAGGTTGACTCAGCCCCAAAACGTATAAACGTCGCCACTCGGGAGCAAAAGCTGCCTACCGATCGACCCACTGTGGTCCAGAGAGACAATAAAAACATCCGTCAGTAACACTGTGTGTGTGCGTGGCCTTAGCAGAAAGAAAAATACATGAGAGGCGACGTTTCGGGCAATGACCCTTCCTCTTCGTGGCACGTAAGCAGCTCAAAGAGCAGAATGTGCCAACTCAGCGCCACGGTGGCTAGGAGATGTTAACTACCTCGCCTGGTCTACAGGAGATCGTGGGTTCGATCCCGACCCTGGCGCCTGCTGTGTATTTGGAGTTTGCGTGTCTCTCTCCTCGTGGTGGCGCGGATTTTTCTCGGGCTCCTCCGGGTTTTCCCTCCACATTTTAGAATCAACGTCACGCGTTCAGAAGATTTGCCTGCTGCGATACATTTCCCACGCGACGATGATGGCCAGGCCGCTATGCAGCTCAGTGGGGTCTACCTGGTAGATAAAACTTCCATTTTACTGGTAGGAACCTCCTGGTTACACCAGCCCACAGGGGATTATTTTGTCCGTCCGACGTGCATCCAAAAATGAGTGGGGCTGGGTGGAGAGGGGAGGGGATGGGTGGGGAGGGGAGGGTGGGGAGGGTGGGCTGGGTGGGGAGGGGAGGGTGGGGAGGGGCTGGGTGGGGAGGGTAGGGAGGGGCTGGGTGGGGAGGGGCTTGGTGGGGATGGTGGGGAGGGGTTGGGTGGGGAGGGTGGGGCTGGGTGGGAGGGGTGGGGCTGGGTGGGGAGGGGAAGGTGAGGAGGGGCTGGGTGGGGAGGGTGGGGAGGGGCTCAGTGGGGAGGGTGGGGAGGGGCTGGGTGGGGAGGGTGGGGCTGGGTGGGGGGGTGGCAGGGGTGGGGCTGGGTGGGGAGTGGCTGGTCACCCCGTGGTGCCCTTATAAAACTCAACGTTTAACCTACTCACGCCGGCTTGTGCCCGCCCTCACAGTCGGCCATATTTGCGGAATACACCACGCCGCCGTTGACCCTGGCCATTGACCGACCAACCCAACGTTCCTACCAGCTCCCTCCGCAGGAATGTGTTCGTCCAGTCTATGGGTCTCAATCTATCTCTATGGGTCTCTATGCATCTCTATGTGTCTCAACGAATTAGATTATTTGGCTCCTGCTGTACATTTCCACACGGTGACGACGATGAGCCACGACCTTGAGCCATCATTTGTCGCGGCCAGGTCGCCTCTGAAAAAAAAATCTGCGCAGCTCAGCGGGGACCTACCGCTTAAAATAAAAACGTTGTAGTTTAATTAGTTTTTAGAGAAGACGTTCCCCGAATGAAGTCTTCAGGACTACCGGGGCAAGCGCTGTCAGCGAGCACCTATTAAGGTCGACACGGCGCACGTGCGTAAGGGGACGGCATCGGCGCCACGGTGACCCCGGCAAAAGCATTCGCTCGTGCCCCGTCCGCCTTCGTATCCCCAGCGCTGACACGATATTCATGGCCGCGACGCGTCGCAGTTGAAACGCAACTCACGCATCATCCAAGGGGCCACGCGCACCTCCTGGCTCCACTCGCTCCACTGCCCATGCACGTCGTACCTGGCAGACACCTGGTCGCCGTCGTCATCGTCGTCATCGTGAGTTTAACACGTGGTAGAGATTTCGCGACCAATGTCATCCATGGTACAGTTTTTTTTTTGGGGGGGGGGGTTAGATCGCGTAAATATAAATGCGTCAGTTTAACACGTGTAGGCTTTCGCGACCAATATTATTCATGATAAACGTTTTTGGGTTTAGATCGCGTTATTTATAAATGTGTTGTAACCCCTCCACCACCCGACACGGCCAAATCAGTAAAAAAGTGTCACGTTGACAAAAGACAAATAGTTCACCATTCTGGCGAATTGCCCGATGATGCTGGATGCAATTACCAGCGAAACGTCGTACTCAAAAGATGTAAATGTTGTGGTTTCACGCTTCAACACACCGGTGGGCTAAAGCAGTGAACTACTTGTCTTTTGTCAACGTGACACTTTTTTACTGATTGGCCGTGTCGGGTGGTGTAGGGTTACGACACATTTATAGATTTACGAAATCTAACCCAAAAAAACCTCTATTATGGATCATCATCATGATTTGTCGAAGGAATATAAAATGCATGCATCATTTTCATCATCACCGCCACCGTTATTAACTGTTCAAATTAAACGATTGTACTATCATGGTCTACAACCATTAATTTTGCTTCCTAATCGTCACGAATGAGATCGATTATCATTATCATCATCATCATGATCATGTATGAAATAATTCAATCAATATAATTAATTCACTGTCATGGTCTATGGAATCCATTCACTCTCGTTAACTATGAAATTAATTCAATATCGGCATATGTTAAGTTACGACCAGCATCTATTAAAATAATTCACTATCATCATCTCTGAAATTAACTAATGGTCTATGAAAGGAATTCACTATCAATGACATTCATTTACTGTGAGCATCTGTGAATATAATTCACTATCAATTACATTGATTCACTATCAATTACACGAATGCATGATCAATTACTTTAATTCACTATCAATTACATTAATTCACTATCAGCCTCTCTGAATGAATTTAGTTATTAAAGTAATTCACTATCTTCATATATTAAACAAATCACTATCAGCATCTATTAAATTCCTTTACTGCCAGCATCTATGACATGAATTCACTATTATCATCTATGAAAGGAATTCATCATTAATTAAAGGAATTCACTATCAATTACATGAATTTACAATCAGCATCTATGATATTAATGCACTATCAATGACATTAATCACTATCATCATCATCATCATCTATGAACCAAATCACGATCAGCATCAATTAAATAAATGTACTATCAGCATCTATCAAATGAATTCATCATCATCATCTATAATACAACATTCACCATTATTATATCATTATCACCATCTCGATTTAAAGTTTTCGTGACTGCAGGGATTCATCTTCTTGGTTCTTTCGGTAAAGTCACGTAGAAGGGAAGTAATAAAATAATAAAAATAAAACATAATAAAATAATTCTCACGACGTTTCGGCCACAACGCAAGCAGCCGTCCTCAGGTGAAGAACAGGACCTGTAATTATTTTATTATGTTTTATTTTTATTTTTTCATTACTTCCCTTCTACGTGACTTTACCGAAAGAACCAAGAAGATTATCACTATCGTCATGACCCCACCACTTGACCACCGTATTCACCTGCACAACGTGTTCGGTCCTGGGATGAGCGTCCGTAATCAAATATTCTTTACTGGCGTATGGAACCTGGACCTGAAATCATTGAGAGCAACACGAGACACAACAAGTATAACCAGTAAAAACAAAGTTTTTCACTATAAATCCTTTATATGCGTGGCGGCTAGAGTCCACTCGTCCTCTGGCTTGAGATGGCTGTCGCCTATGGGTCAGATGATTGCATTGCACCATTAAGCAATGGGTAATTAAATATAATATTTTTGTCCTAAAAAGTGTAAAATTTTGGGAAAAAAATGTTCACGAACATTAATTGTCACGCACAACGAGTCTGTGTGGAAAATGTCAGCTCGATTGGATCACGGGAAGTGGGTTAAAAAACGACCGAAAGATTTGCACGGACCTAAGCAAGCAAGCGAACTTAATATAAAGGATTTTAAAAAAAGACAAAGACAAATATTCCCCATATAGCCTCAGCAGGCTGTTGGGGCAAGTGCCGTTAGCGAGCATCTATGGTGGGTGGCCAACACTACGCCCGGCCGCCTTTGTCTCCCTATTGGCGATGATTACAGATTGCACCAGACACTCATTTGAGGCTGAGTCGACCTAGGGGAGGCCCGGGACCTGTTCAAATGATCGTCACTGGCGGTGGCTGTGAGCAGGAGTCGAACCCGGGTCTCGAGGTTCGTAGCGCAGCGCGCTAACCGCTACACCACCGCTCCCCACAAGACACAACACACACACAGTAGAATAGTGACCTCTTTCAAGTGGCGCTGGTGCATGGATCGGTAGCGCAGTCGATAGTTCAGGAGGAAGATGTCGGGCTGGATCCACGTGGCAGGAGACTCCCACGTGATGATGACGTCAGAGGGAGCCGTGGGGTCGTGGTAGCCGCACACAGACAGCGGCGGATCGGGCTGCACTGATCACCATCATCATCATCATCAGAATCATCGATTAATCATCATCATCATCATTGTCTGCATTGTTTATCGCAAAAGCATTATCATCATCGTCATCGATTAGTCGTCGTCATTGATAACACTAGTCAACAACAACAAAAAACATTTTTTTATGGCCTGGACTTTTGCAGCTGTTTTAGACTAATTTCAGGGTGCTGATTCCAAATCTGATCTCAGATTTGCTCCATCACATCTCATTTTTATGCTATCGGCATACCCCATTTTCATTGATTTTACCCGAAAATAACTCTGTCACTTATGATTGCAAGTTGTTGCGAGTCAGTGACTGCTTTAGTGTTAAAATATGGTGCTGTATTTTTAGGATAGTGTCTTTATAATATCATTTTATGTAAATATCCACATTTATTTAATATTTTTCTTCTGCAGTTTTTATTGAAAATGCAATATTTGATCTTTATTTTATTTTATTATTTTTATTAATTTTGATGTTTTACCTACGTGACTTTACCGAAAACACCTAAGAATATGATTCCTTGCAGTCACAAAAGCTTCAAGTCTAGAATATTTGATATCTCAAAAACCTGACGTGATAGACAAAATCTGATGCCAGATTTGGAATCAGCACCCCAAAATTACCTTAAAACCGTTGGAATACCTTATGCCAGAAAAAGTGTGTTGACCAGTGTAATCGCTGGTGATATCGATAAATCATCATCATCGATAATTGTTGTTATTATCGATTAGTTATCATCATTGATAACCATAGTTATTATTGATGAGTCACTATCGCCGATTAAATGCTCGTCATCATCGAGTAATCATCATAATCGTCACCATCGCTTCACAGATATAATCGGACGCTATTAATCAGAATTCCACAAAGCATGATCATAATTGAATAAGCATCATCATGAAGTAGCTGTCACCGTCATTAAAATAATCGATTAATCATTGTAGTCGTCACCATCATTGAATCGGCGTCATCATTATCGTCATCATGGATTAATAATCAACCTTCCTCCTATTTATAAAAGTCAAAAATTGTCTGTCTGTCGGTTTGTGGCTTTGTGTGTGTTCGCGCGCTTGCGAAGGAATTGGCTCTCCAACGGTGGAGTTTACGTTGAATAAATAAAAAAATATCCAGGTACCACGGCGCAAGCCCCGCCGTGAGCAAGCGCTATTCCTTTTTCACATCCGTCAACTTTTATTAAGTTTAATTAGCGAATTAGTGCGATTTGTTTGCGCTATCTCTTTATTTATTTATGACGTGTGCACGATCGTACCAACTCACGCACCATTGGTGGGGGGGACGGCCCATGCCAAGTCGCACGCCTTCGGTGGGAGGGAGGGGGACTTTTTCTTTTGCGTTAAAAATGCTTTAATAAGTATAACCCGTAAAAACAAAGTTTTTCACTATAATTCCTTTATATGCGTGGCGGCTAGAGTCCTCTCGTCCTCTGGCTTGAGATGGCTGCCACCTATGGGTCAGATGATTGTCTGCAGTATTAAACAATTGGTAATTAAATATTTAATTTGTTTTCCCTAAACAGTGTAAAATTTTGGACATTTTTTTTCACGAACATTAATTGTCTCGCAGAATGAGTCTGTGTGCAAAAGTCAGCTCGATTGGATCACGGGAAGTGGGTTAAAAAAACGACCGAAAGGTTTGCACGGTCGTAAGCAAGCAAGCAAGTGAACTTAATATAAAGGATTAAAAAATACACTCAACGCTGAGCTTAAATCTTCAGTGTGTGATGTCCCCCTCACCCCGATGCGTGCAGTTACTAACATATACAGTCGCTAGATGCTACCACTATAGGCCGTAGATATTACTGCAGAGCGGCCGGGGAGATCGTGGCTGGTGGGGGGGGGGGGGGGGGGTCAGGGGTAGCAGCCCAGCCTGCCAAGGTGCCACCTCGGCCGGCTGGACAATCTAGGCAAGGCCAGAGGCTCTGCATGGGACAAGGCCTCACCACACCACTCTGTCAGGTGAGTACTTTGTGCTATAGAGTCGATAAATACTGCTATAGAGTCAGCATGTACTACTGTAGTAATATCAGGTACCACCACAGTCAGTACGTACTGCTGTTAGATTTTTACGAGTAGTTTTTAAAGATTTTTTTGGCCGGGGCAACGCCGGGTATATAAGCTAGTTAAAGATAATACATATAATTGATTATCAATCACCATCATCGTGATGGTGGTGATGATGATGATGATTATAGTGGTGACGATAGTGATGATGATGACAATGGTGATGATGATAGTGGCCATGATGGTGTCCATTATGATGGTGACGATGGTGATGATGATGATGATGACGATGGTGGCAATGATGACGATGGTGACGATAATGACAACGGTGACGATGATAACGATGGTGATTGTAATGATGATGATGGTGATGATGGTGTCAGCGATGGTGACGATGATGATGGTGACGACGATGACGACGATAATGACGATGGTGACGATGGTGACGACGGTGACGATGGTGATGACGGTGACGATGGTGACGATGGCGGTGACGATGGTGGCGACGATGGTGACGATGGTGACGATGGTGACGACGGTGACGATGGTGACGATGGTGGCGACGATGATGGTGACGACGGTGACGATGGTGACGATGGCGGTGACGATGATGACGACGGTAACGATGGTGGCGACGATGATGGTGATGACGGTGACGATGGTGACGATGGCGGTGACGATGGTGGCGACGATGGTGACGATGGTGACGATGGTGATGACGGTGACGATGGTGATGACGGTGACGATGGTGACGATGGCGGTGACGATGGTGACGATGATGATGGTGATGACGGTGACGATGGTGACGATGATAATGGTGATGACGGTGACGATGGTGACGATGGTGACGGTGACGATGGTGACGATGGCGGTGACGATGGTGGCGATGATGATGGTGACGACGGTAACGATGGTGACGACGGTAACGATGGTGACGATGGTGACGATGGTGACGATGGTGACGATGGCGGTGACGATGGTGACGATGATGATGGTGACGACAGTGACGATGGTGACGACGGTAACGATGGTAGCGACGATGATGGTGACGACGGTGACGATGGTGGTGACGATGGCGGTGACGATGATGACGACGGTAACGATGGTGGCGACGATGATGGTGATGACGGTGACGATGGTGGCGACGGTGACAATGGTGACGACGGTGACGATGGTGATGATAACGATGGTGGCGACGACGACAATAAAGACGAAGCTCGTGAGGATCTGCGGTACCGATTTCATCGAACTCGAAGCTGACGATGGCGGCGCTGCTCTCCCCGAAGGCGTTGCGGGCGCGCACCGTGACGCGGTAGGGGCTGGAGCTGAACAGCACGATCAGGTCTATCGTGCAGCTGGGGCCCTCGGCCACCTTGCACTCGAACTCACGGCCTTGTTCTAGGAAGTCGTGGCTGGGCAAACATCGTCATCGCCGTCATCATCGTCGTGGTCGTCATCGTAAGTTGATCATCGTCCAGGGGCGGTTTCTTCATTAGGGCGATTGGGCGACGCACCACCAATGTCATTCAACCACAGAGTCACGCTAGCCGTCACTGCAGCCTCTGGATATAGTCCAATCAGCGTCATGTCACGTTCTGTGGAGTACCGCCTCTTTTGGGGCGATTTCACTACGGCTGAGAATCGCCCCGAGTGGCCCCATAGACTTACATTGAAAGATGTTTTTTTTCGAACGGGGGCGCTCCCATGCATTCTCTATGGCTTCCGGGAGGGCGAGCCCTAACGTGCTTACGTCATCATACGTGGTTACGTCATCATACGTGCTTACGTCATCATACGTAAGCACGTTTCATCCAACAATATAATTTATCGCTACCTAGTGGAATCTTTAATAAAATAAACTTGAGTGGTTTGTTTTAATAGTGAGTATATAAACAAACAAGATGTATTGTAAGAGTCACTTTATTTTTCATTAATATTAAAGAAGTGAAGTTGCTGTTAATTTATTCATTGCATGGGTGGACCTTATCCTTATCAATCATCCAGACATTTGCCCCCCCTGAGAGATTTTGCAGGAGCCGCCACTGTCATCGTCATCACCATTGATTGATCATCATCACCAGATTGATATTCATCGCCGTCATCATCATCATCATAGATCGATCATTATCAGCATCATCATCACCAATGATTGATCATCGTCGCCATATATTGATCATTATTGTCATAATCGTAGATTGATCATAATCGTCAATGACTGATCATCATTACCATAGATTGGTTAGCACCGTCGTCATCATCACCATATATTGATCATTATCGTCATCATGATCGTATATTGATCACCATCGTCATCATCGTCATTATCATCACCATTGATTGATCACCACCACCGTAGAGTGATCATTATCGTTATAATAATCACCATTGATTGATCGCTGTCGTCATCATTACATATATTGATCATTGTCATCATCATAGATTGATCATTGTCATCGTCGTTATCTTCATCACCATAAAAGATCATTGTCATCATTATCACAATCGCCATAGATTGATAATTTTCGTCATCATCATCATCACCACAGATTGATCATCATAATCATCGCACTCCATCTCACGATCTGCCACGACTCCATCAGCGAGTGACTGCCAACGGATCATCATCGGTAGCAAAAGTCATTATAAAAATGAAATAACAGTTATAATAACATTTTTCCGATCAATTCATCATCACATATTCATCATCATCAATACACTCGATCCAGCAGATTGACTGAGAATGGGTTCATCATAATAATATCATCATTTATTAATCATGGTCATAAATTAATTTATTCATCATTATCTTGACCATTGCTATGATGACAACTTCTAAGGCGCCGTACATAGTAACGCATGAGGTGTTACAGATGTATGTTCAACGTCTTTCGCACCGTACGTAGCCAAACCGCGCTAATCGGAGGTGCGGGGGAAGGACAAACCAACTAAACACAAAATGCAGCTCAAAATGATGATGATGATGATTTAAATGTGGACAGCTCCAGTGGTTTCCTAACATCGGAAGGAAGGAGAGAGCTGAGTAATCATTGGAAAGATGTGATTAACCATGCAAAAAAGATTTAAATACACTTTTTTGACCAATCTTATTTATTATTTGACAGACAACTATTACAGGTTTACCATGTTTACCATGTTCACCATGTTTAGTTGTCACAAACCATAACAAAGGCTCACCCTCTTAAGCCTCACCTTACCATATGAATAAAAAGTGTGCTGTACTTGGCCCTTCCCCCCTCTCCAACTATTATATAAACGGAGTGGTAGCTCCTGCAATCTCTCATTCACTTGATACAGCTGTCGTGGCTGTGACGGTTCCACCTGAAGACGGAAGCTTGTGTTGCCTCCGAAACGTCGTGATTTTTATTTAATTTTACTTTAATTAATTTTAATGTTTTTACCTACGTGACTTTACCGAAAAAACCTAAGAATAAAAAAAGGAGAGAGGGTTCCAGACGGCCGCAGTAGCGGCGCTTCTGAAAGCGCCGCCGCGGGCGTTGCGGCTATTGGCCAATTAATGGGAGTAAGCCGGAGCACCCGGAGAAAACGCAACGCGTGCGAGCAAGGGGGCAACACTCTATCCCGTGCAGATGGAACAGACGGAGATTAAGTCCCAGAGATCGTCGTTGCTGTACCGCCTCCTCGTGGCGAGCCAGCGGTACTGCTCTTCCTCGACGCTCCCACGGGAAGGGAGTAGCTTCGCGACATCCCTGTGTGATCCCCCCCCTCCCTCCCTCGTTGCTGGCTTCACAGTGCTGGGTTACAGGCGGCCCCCCACCCCCCACACAGCTACCCCGGCTAATTGGCCATGATCACGAACGACTCGTGACAGTAAGAGCGTCGTCATCATCGGCATCGCCGTTAGCATCATATACTAATCATCTCGATTCAAAGCTTTCGTGACTGCAGGGATTCATCTTCTTGGTTCTTTCGGTAAAGTCGCGTAGAAGGGAAATAATAAAATAATAAAATAATACATAATCAAATAATTCTCACGACGTTTCGGCTACAACGCAGGCAGCCGTCCTCAGAGGAAGAACAGGTCTGTCGGAAAGACAGCGTCTGAAGACCTGCGTTGTGGCCGAAACGTCGTGAGAATTATTTTATTATGTTTTATTTTTATTATGTTTTATTTTTATTATTTTATTATTTCCCTTCTACGTGACTTTACCGAAAGAACCAAGAAGATACTAATCATCATCATAATTATCGACCAATTACCATTGTGCATTCCGGGTTTCATTTAAGCCGCGTCTGGCCGGGTAAGCGAGCAGTAAAGCACCTCGGCACCGGCACCACCACATCCAGTATACCCTCGCGCTGTCACCGTGACGACGAGCAAAGTGCCCACTTCAATCCGCCAGCGACCTGGAAAACAAGTCGTGTCCCCATGTCTGCCTGCGCCTCCCCGTGTCGACTACCCCCGTGTCGTCTATCCATGTGTCTCCACTTGTCTCCTCCATGTCTCCACCATGTCTCCCGTGTCTATCCCTGTGTCTCCCCGTGTCTCCCCCATGTCTCCACCGTGTCCCCCGTGTCTATCCCTGTGTCTCCCCGTGTCTCCCCCATGTCTCCACCATGTCTCCCGTGTCTATCCCTGAGTCTCCCTGTGTGTACCCGTGTCTCCATATGTATATCCCTGTGTCTCCCCGTGTCGTCTATCCCTGTGTCTCCCTGTGTCTCCCCGTGTCTCCCCGTGTCTTTCCCTGTTTCTCCCTGTGTCTCCCCATGTCTCCCCGTGTCTCCTCGTGTCTCCCCCGTGTCTCCCTGCGCCTCCCCGTGTCGTCTACCCCTGTGTCTCCCCGTGTCTCCCCGTGTCTACCCCTGTGTCTCCCCGTGTCTATTCCTGAGTCTACCCGTGTCTACCCCTGTTTCTCCCTGTGTCTCCCCATGTCTCCCCGTGTCTCCCCGTGTATCCCAGCCGCACCTGTAGGTGGCAGTGATGTTCTCCAGGGGGAACTTCCCGTCCCCGAGTTTCCACGAACAGCGGAACTCCTTCACCAGGTCCCGGGCACGGCACCTGAGATCAGTCGGAGCTGCCGGAGGCTCTGCGCACGGAGACACGGAGATATGGAGACACGGGGACACGGGGACACGGAGACACGGGGACACGGGGACACGGGGACACGGAGACACGGGGACACGGAGACACGGAGACACGGGGACACGGGGACACGGAGACACCGAGACACGGGGACACGGGGACACGGAGACACCGAGACACGGGGACACGGGGACACGGAGACACGGGGACACGGGGACACGGGGACACGGAGACACGGGGACACGGGGACACGGGGACACGGGGACACGGAGATATGGAGACACGGGGACACGGAGACACGGAGACACGGAGACACGGGGACACGGGGACACGGAGACAAGGGGACACAGAGACACGGAGACACGGAGATACGGAGACACGGGGACACGGAGACACGGAGACAAGGAGACATGGAGACACGGGGACACGGGGACACGGAGACACGAAGACACGGGGACACGGAGACACGGGGACACGGAGACACGGGGACACGGAGACACGGAGACACGGAGATACGGAGACACGGGGACACGGAGACACGGAGACACGGAGACACGGGGACACGGAGACACGGAGACACGGGGACACGGAGACACGGAGATATGGAGACACGGAGACACGGAGACACGGGGACACGGAGACACGGGGACACGGGAACACGGAGACACGGATATATGGAGACACGGAGATACAGGGACACAGGGACACGGGGACACGGAGACACGGGGACACGGGGACACGGGGACAAGAGGACACGGGGACACGGAGACACGGGGACACGGGGACACGGGGACAAGAGGACACGAAGACACGGAGACACGGAGACACGGGGACACGGGACACTGGGACACGGGGACACGGAGACATGGAGATACGAGAGACGGAGACAGGGAGACACGGAGATAAGGAGACACGGAGACACGGAGGCGCGGATACATGGAACCACGAGGACATGAGGACACAGAGACACGGGGACACGGGATCATGGAGCCACGGGGAAACAGACACAGACTTGGTGCTATGCAGACACGGAGACGAGTAGCTTCATTGACTGATTTTATCACCCGCTCATGAACTAACTCATGTACTGACTCGTTGACTAACGAATTCACCAACTCATTGACAAACACATCGAATGGCCCATTGCAACTCAACTAGCTCGTTCACTAACTCACCGAGTAACCATTAACGACTGCCTGCCCGACTGTCTGACTCAATGACCGGCTCGACGAATGAACGAACGAAAGAACGAATGAACGAACGAAATAATGAACGAAATAATAAACGAAATAATGAACGAAATAATGAAAGATTGAATGAACTAATCAACGAATTAATGAACGATTGAATGAATGAACGAACGATTGAACGAATGACAAGTCACCTCCGGTGACGATGCGCACGGCTGAGAGGACCCTTCCCGAGGGGCTCTCCACGCACTCGTAGCGACCCCCGTCGCTCGGCCCCACCGAGGGTATGAGCAGGAGCCCGGGGTCACCGGGGTCACCGGGGTCACAGAGGTCACAGAGGTCGCCGGGGTCACCGGGGTCACCGGGGCTCGCGACAGCCCCGGCGGGGACTGCCCCCGGGTCCACGAAGCGTCTCCAAGACAGCCGCGTCCCCGACGACTCCGGGGAGGGGCAGGGGAACGAGACGGACTTGCCCAGAGCCACGTGGAGTACGGGCGTGGTGGTGGAGGTGGTGGTGGTGGTTGTGGTGGTGGTGGTGGAGAGAAAATCTGATGCGGAAATGTCGACGAGATATCGTTAATATCATTGCAATACACGACATTGTCATGTTATAATAATCATCATCATTGTCGTCGGCGTGGTTGTCATAATTAATCGTCATCGTTGACAACATCGTCAATATCCTCATTATCCCCATTATTGTAGTTATCATAATAGTCGTTGTCCTTATCATCATCATTTCATCGTCTTCATTGCCATTATCGGAATCCTCATCACTTGCTCTCATCTTGACTTAAAGCTTTCGTGACTGCAGTGATTCATATTCTTGGGTCTTTCGGTAAAGTCACGTAGATAGGTTCAAATAAAACGTCGTAATTTTTCGTTCTTTTTTTGTTATTTTCTTTGAACCTATCTACGTGACTTTACCGAAAGACCCAAGAATATGCTCTCATATTAATCATAATCATCATCATCGGCACAATCATCGGTAGGCTTCACAATCAGATTTCAATCCACGCACGCGCGCACAGGAGTCGAGATCAGACCGCACGCAGCTCTTTAACAAAACAAACAAAAACGCACAAAGATCCCCCTTAAAATTTCGATTTAAAGCTTTCGTGACTGCAGGGATTCATCTTCTTGGTTCTTTCGGTAAAGTCACGTAGAATGGAAAAAATAAAATAATAAAATTATTCTCACGACGTTTCGACCACAACGCAAGCAGCCGTCCTCATGTGGAGAGCAGGTCTTCAGACGCTGTCTACTCGACAGACCTGCTCTCCACCTGAGGACGGCTGCTTGCGTTGTGGCCGAAACGTCGTGAGAATTATTTTATTATGTTTTATTTTAATTGTTTTATTATTTCCATTCTACGTGACTTTACCGAAAGAACCAAGAAGAGGAAAGATCCCCCGTATTGCACCTCCGATTAGCACGCGTTGGCTGTGTAATGTGCGAAAGAAGTTCAACATACACATAGAAACAAGAGGCTGTTCGGGAAAGTGAACTTCAAACCTGAACCACTCGCGTGACTATATCGCGGTCAGCTGTGCAGTGCCGGATTATCCTCGTAGCACAAGTAGCTACTACACGTGTAGCAGCTACACGTGTAGTAGCTACATATGTAGCAGCTACTATTACTGTAGCTACTACTAGTAGCAGCTACTACTACTGTAGCTACTACTACTGTAGCTACTACATATGTAGTAGCTACTACATATGTAGTAGCTACGGGCCCCGCACTTTCAAGGGCCCCGCGCTAAATGCTTTCAAGCTATCAATTTCGGTTGAGTGATTCTGCACTTGCTCTATTACTATAGTACTATACCACTATATACCGCCTTCAACTTTTAGGAACGACTGGGTGTCTAAGATTAGAGATTTGTCGTGTTCTCTGGCTATATAGCTAATGAAAAAATACAATTACCGTACTTTAATATGCAAGTAAAAAAAATGTATGTTTTAATATTTACGTGTTTTTTAAAATGTATGGCCCCTTTGTAACATGTTGCTACAGGCCCTGCACCAGTTGAACACCGGCACTGCAGCTGTGGCCACTCCACCGAGCTTTGTGATCCCCACTGGCGGATTGCAACGGGCTGCCCGATCTAACCCCATCACCTCCCGCAGTATCGACTAAAAACAACGATCACCCGTGTAGCCTCAGCATTCTTTTGGGGTCAAGTGCTGTTTACCGAGGTGCACCTAAGAAGGCCGTCATGGCACATGAAGGGGGTGGGTGGCCAGCAACCACGCCCGGCCGCCTTTGTCTCCCCAGTGGCGATATTTACACAAACTATGACATTTTTTATTTTACCAGGTAAGGCCCACTGAGCTATGTAGATTTTTTCAGAAGCGACCTGGCCACAAATGATAACGAAGTGGCTTATATCATCATGCGGGAATTTATATCAGTAGCCAAATGTTCTGAACGCGTGTTTCTCAGTTGTGGAGGGAGAAAACCCCGAGGACCCGGAGTGAAAATCGACGCGACCACGTGGAGAGAGACACACAAACTCCAAATATACAGCAGCAGGCGTCAGGGCCGGAATCGAACCCACGACCCCCTGTATACCAGACGAGGCAGTTAACATCTAGCGGAGGCCCAGGACCGGTTGAGCTATTCGTCACTCGTGTTGGCCGTGAGCGGGAATCGAACCCGTGTGTCTATGCCGGGTTCGTAGCGTGACGCGCGCTAACCGCTGCGCCACCGCTCCCCCGTACAGCACCGTCGCCATCTATTGAAAGAAGTTCATATTAATTTTAGATTTGAAGCTTTCGTGACTGCAAGGATTCATACTCTTAGGTTTTTATTTTTTTCGGTAAAGTCACGTAGGTATAAAAATAATAAAATTAAAATTAATGAAAATAACTAAATTAAATCACGACGTTTCGGAGGCAACACAAGTCTCCGTCTTCAGGTGGGACCGTCACAGCCAAATTTACCGTATCAAGTGGCTCACTTGTGTTGCCTCCGAAACGTGGTGATTTAATTGATTTATTTTAATTTGATTTTTATTATTTTTTTACCTACGTGACTTTACCGAAGAAAAACTAAGAGTAAGTTAATTGGTCCTTTCGGTAAAGTCACGTAGGTATAAAATAAAATAAATCACGACGTTTCGGGCGCAACACAAGTGTGATTTCCCACCTGATGATGGACGCTTGTGTTGCGCCCGAAACGTCGTGATTTATTTTATTTTATACCTACGTGACTTTACCGAAAGAACCAAAGAGTATGGATTCCTGTAGTCACGAAAGCTTCAAATCTAGATTGAATTTCGATTTAAAGCTTTCGTGACTGCAGGGATTCATCTTCTTGGTTTTTTCGGTAAAGTCACGTAGAAGGGAAATGATGAAATAATAAAAATAAAACATAATAAAATAATTCTCACGACGTTTCGGCCACAACGCAAGCAGCCGTCCAGGTGAAGAACCGGTCTGTTCTTCACCTGAGGACGGCTGCTTGAACAGCTCTGTTCTTCACCTGAGGACGGCTGCTTGCGTTTTGGCCGAAACGTCGTGCGAATTTTTTTATTATGTTTTATTTTTATTATTTTATTATTTCCATTTTACGTGACTTTACCGAAAGAACCAAGAAGATCAATATTGAAGTTAACATTGTTTTGTATCAATGTACTACACATTCTTAGTTGGGAGGTATTCATTTTCCATTATCCGTAATTGAGAAGTTGTTGCATGCTGATGTCAGCGACTAGTCTAGAAACGCGCGTCCAGATTGTTTAGAGTCTGCTGCTGTAAAAAGATCACGGAGCGATAAGCCACTTCGCTTATAAAAAAAATAGCAACGTAGTTCAGTGGGCCTTACCTGGTAAGACCAAACATCGTTTAGTTTTATTTGTATATATATATACATATTTTAGTCGTGTGGTTACCTTTCCATTATTTTGCACTCAAACCGTGTTTTTTGTATTAGTTTATAGTATCGTTTGTTGATAATTGTTTTTTACCCTTTTATCTGGCAACAAAACTGACACCTTTTATACAAGGAGTCATGTTTGCATATACCACAATACCTGCAGTCATAATGCAAACAAAAAACACAACTGTGTTATGTAAAAACATAACATTATGACTGCAGGTATTGTGGTCTATGCAAACATGATTCCTTGTAAAAAAAGGTGTCAGTTTTGTTGCCAGATAAAAGGGTAAAAAACCCAATTATCATATTTTTTACTGGCAAATGAGGTTCCAATGGAGTATTGTTTGTTGTTGGAACGTTTTGTGACCTGCCCCTACTGGACACGTGATAAAAAAAAATAACTTTATATCTCATCGGATTCCTCCAGTCTCAATAAATATTCTGATTGTGATTCTAAATACTGAGCGGCGGCTCAGTGTTACAATATGAAGTTACAGCTACTATGACGAAAGTCCTCAGTGCCGTCACCCCACACGGTTAACCCGTTATTCTTGCACAGGGAAATCGAGGTTTCAGGTCCATATACGGCGTAGAGGTCGTTTCAATACGGGCAACAACTAAAATATATCTTTGCTTGTGTTGGGACTTTTAGGATGAACGTTGAGATTTTTAAGGGACACGGAGTAACAAATAAGGTCTAAATTGGTCTAAAATAAGGTAGGCACTCTAGGAACCTCATTTGCCAGTAAAAAATATGATAATTGGTTTTTTACCCTTCTATCTGGCAACAAAACTGACACCTTTTTTACAAGGAGTCATGTTTGCATAGACCACAATACCTGCAGTCATAATGTTATGTTTTTACATAACAGAGTTATGTTTTTTGTTTGCATTATGACTGCAGGTATTGTGGTCTATGCAAACATGACTCCTTGTAAAAAAATTAACCCGTAAAAACCAAGTTTTTCACTATAAATCCTTTATATGCATGGCATTGGTTTTATTTTATTATTCATTTCTGTTTTTCTTGAGTAAAAGTTTCATTTTTATCACATTGGTATTTTAAATTAAATATGAATTTTTTTTTCCTAAAAAGTGGAGAATTTTGGAAAAAATTTTCACGAAAATAAATTGTCACGCACAACGAGTCTGTGTGCAAAATATCAGCTCGATTGGATCACGGTAAGTGGGTTAAAAAACGACCGAAAGATTTGCACAGTCGTAAGCGCGCAAGCAAGCAAGTGAACTTAATATAAAGGATTTTAAAAAAGGTGTCCGTTTTGTTGCCAGATAGAAGGGTAAACAAACAATTATCAAGGTAGGCACTGATAAGGGGTTGACAGGCATGTCCTATACATTACACACTACTATACACTCCTGCACAACTATACCATATACTATCATACCTGTGAACCCATACGGTTTAACTCCATATTCTTGTACAGGGAAATTGAGTGTTTAGATCCACACGGCGTACATCCGTTTAAATAATGGGTTGACAGGTATGTAGTGATAAATACACTAATGGTGATTGTCTTTTTGTTTGAAGCTGAGTCGACCTAGGAGAGGCCCAGGACTGGTTCAAATAATCGTCACTGGTGTTGGCCGTGAGCGGGAATTGAACCCGGGTCGCCGGGTTCATAGCGCAGCGCACTAACCACTACACTACTGCTCCCCCCACACATAAACACACATGCAACTTTGTAGGATGAACTTTGAGCTTTATAAGGGCACGGCGGTGACCAATACGGTCTGAATTGGTCTATAATAAGGCAGGGCCACTGATAAGGGGTTGCCAGGTTTGTAGTGGTGGGTACTCGTGGTGAGTGTAGTCGTGGTGATGGTCTATTTGTCTGTGTTTTTCCCTTGTGATGGAACTTTGTAGGATGAACGTTGAGATTTTTAAGGGGCACGGGGGTGACCAATACGGTCTGAATTGGTCTGTAGCAAGGCAGAGCCACTGACAAGGGGTTGACAGGTATGTAGTGATGAGTGTACGAGTGGTGATTGTCTATTTGTGTTTCTCCCTTGTGATGGAACTTTGTAGGATGAACGTTGAGATTTATAAGAAGCACGGGGTGACCAGCAAGGTCTGAATTGGTCTGTAGCAAGGCAGGGCCACTGACAAGCGGTTGACAGGTGTGCAGTGGTGAGTTCTAGTGGTGTGATTGTATATTTGTTTGTGTTTCTCCCTTGTGATGGAACTTTGTAGGATGAACGTTGAGATTATAAGGGGCACGGGGGTGACCAATACGGTCTGAATTGGTCTGTAATATGCAGGGCCACTGATAAGGGGTTGACGGGTTTGTAGTGGTGAGTTCTAGTGGTGAGTGTGATTGTCTATTTGTTTGTGTTTTTCCCTTGTGATGTGACTTTGTAGGATGCACGTTCAGATTCATAAGGGGCACGGGGGTGACCAATACGGTCTGAATTGGTCTGTAACAAGGCAGGGCTACTGACAAGGGGTTGACTGGTGTGCAGTGCCATCACTCACCAGCATTGACGGACGTTTGGCTCATTACGAGCGCGGTCATCATCAGAGTGAGCGTCTTCTCCATCGCGACCCGCGAAGATCGATCCGCAGACCCAGGCGACTGGTAGTGAATTCAGTGTGTGCAGGGGGAGTCACGGGTTTGAAGATGTTGCGCCATTTGGGTCGTGGTGTAATGGCAGTGTAACGGGTGATGATGATGATGCTGCTGGTGGTGGTGTTGTGGTGCTGGTGGGGTGCTGTTGTTGGTGTTGTGCTGTTGCTATTGTGCTGTTGCTGTTGTGGTGTGGTGCTTCTCTGTACCCTGTACCACTATGCTGAATGTACAATTGCCTGAATCGCAGTCAGCGTTAACATTTCCTTACAATTAGACTCTACACATACATAAGACAAAGATCCCCCGGATAGCCTTATCAGGTTGTTGAGGCAAGTGCTGTTATGAAGGCCGGTATGGCACACGAGGGGCTGGGTTACCAACAACACACCCGTCCGCCTATGTCTCCCCAGTGTTGATGCGTCCACACCACACCAGGTACTCATTTGAGGCTGAGTCGATCTAAGGGAGGCCCAGGACCGGTTCAAATAATCGTCACTGGTGTTGGCCGTGAGCAGGGATCGAACTCGGGTCGTCAGGTTCACACCAGCGCACTAACCACTACACTACCGCTCCCCACATACGTATACACACACACATACGTACTCACATATATCCTGTAACACCTCGCCATATACTTACATGAATACGTGACAAAGCTCTATCCTATGGTCCCTGTTAAACTTGACCTAGATATCCCGATTATAACAGACTAAGTAAGCATGAACACAAATACAGAATACTAAAAAAAAACCCCACTTCTTTTTCAACTCGTATCCTTCGTGTGAGCAGAACTAAATCGAAATGAAATCTGTCACGCGTCCTATATATATGGAAAACGGATGCAATGGTGTGCATATATATATTTATTTTCTCCCGACAATTGGGAACACAATCGTACCTCCTCCTAGTTGGCTCCCACCCACCCACCCTGTAAAAACCAAGGCGCCTCCAACATCCTATCTTCCGTCTGTCAAAACATCCCCTTCACACGGGGGAGGGGAGTCCCTGGCCCCACGACTTCATCACGGAACTGGAGAGAAAGAATTCAAACGTGCACATCTTGTGCCGGGTAAAACCCCTGTTGACGGCCACCCATGTCAACGACTAATCGCTTAACGACAGGCCTCCATTGAGTCCAATGTGCAGTGTATAGTCGTGTAGAGTATAGTGTAGTGTATAGTAGTGTAGAGTGGAACCCGTCTTAACGACCACCCTGTTAACGACTAATCGCTTAACGACAGGCCTCCATTGAGTCCAATGTGCAGTGTATAGTCGTGTATAGTATAGTGTAGTGTATAGTGTAGTGTATAGTGTAGAGTAGAACCCGTCTTAACGACCACCCTGTCAACGACTAATCGCTTAACGACAGGCCTCCATTGAGTCCAATGTGCAGTGTATAGTCGTGTAGAGTATAGCAGTGTATAGTGTAGTGTATAGTGTAGAGGAGAACCCGTCTTAACGACCACCCTGTTAACGACTAATCTCTTAACGACGGGCCTCCATAGAGCCCAATGTGTTCGCTTAACGACCATTTCCCCTGTTAACGACGGGCTTACGACGAGCACGTGACCGCCAATTTCGGCCAATCGGCGAGCTCCAAAGTTGACTGACCAGGCCTTGCTCAACCGGCGGCGTCCATTCATGAGCGTGTGGGGCTCTGACAGCTACAGGCTTAGTGCGGCCTGGAAGTGTATTATTAAACAAATACAATTCCTTATAAGGGAAACAAATACCAACGAATAACAATTGAATGATGACCAATCTATATAATTACATTACCCTCCCCCTCCTTTGCCTCGAATCACTGCACCAGATTGAATTAAATGATGACGTTACCCTGATGCTGCTCTATTTAAGACCGGAAGCAACAGGAGAGCTTCACCATTCTTGCCCGATGAAGCTGATTGTAATTATCAGCGAAACGTCGGACGTCTCAAATTATAAAATGCTGTTGATTCTCTCTTCAACACACCGGTGGGCTAAAGAAGTTAATTATTTTGTCCTTTGAAAAACGTGACACATTTTTTACTGTTTGGCCGTGTCGGGTGGTGGAGGGTTACGACTCATTTATAAATAACGCGATCTGACCCAAAAACCTATATTATGTGTGGGGCATGGTTTACATTCGATGCTATTGGAACGAATTGAGCCATTCAAGTATATTTCCTATACTCGCTAACGACCAAATCACTTAACGACCGGTTTCGTGGAACCAATTACCATCGTTAAGAAGGGTTCTCCTGTGTGTATATATGCATGTTTGTATGTATGTGTGTGGAATTGGCACAGTAGAGGGCACATCCTGTGCATCTGCCAGTCATCTCAAGTCAGTCAACCCACGGCACCTGGGTCTGTTCCGTGAGGCCCCCTGCCAGCGAGCCTTCGACAACTTCACGTGGCCTAAAAGTGCTCCTGGCTTAGCACAGGCGTCGTGCTGACGCCACTGCCACCGCGTGGCGGGTGCTGTTGTGTGTGGAGTGGTGGCAGTGGTTTGCTCAATGTGCTACGCACCCAGTCACCCCGGGTTGACAATCCTGGCCACGGTTCAACATCTGCGGCAAAATCAGGCGCGGTTCGTCCACGGAGGGCCGTCGCCCCAACAAGCGGCAGGAGATGAGCAATTATTTTTCTAATAAAAAAAATACTTTTCCATAAATTAGTTTCGTTGCGTTTAAAACATGTCAAATGATTCTTTCAAGGTTAATTGCCCAATTAAGATAACATTTTAAGTTGTTCGTATTAGAAACAGCTGCAACGCCACAAGTCTGATTTGTGCTGCCTCGCTGAGGGTCTCGGGGCGGCTGTGAAGGCGTCCGAGTGAGAGATTTCCCTTCATTCGTTGCGATTAGCAGCTTCGCATTGTAGCCACGTCGTTTGAGACCCATTCAGGGCGGTGGAAGAGGCGCCCGTGGCTGTGACGACCATGTCACAACACGAGGTTGCACCGTGCAAATGTAGCAGGGCCCACAGCCTACACCCTCTCGGCATTTGGCAGTGTCAATGGGGTTGTGTAGTGTGGACTTGAGGGTCATGGCGACAGCATTCGAGTGCTTTGTTGTTATGTTTCGTGTTGTTTATAAATGCCTACCGTTAGTAGATAAGCTATATAATTTTCACGGGAATGTCAATAACATGACGAGGTTTTTCTTAATTAGAACACCATCATTTCTGAGGTCACTCGCAACATCTCCACCTAGCAGAAATGTCATGAGCCGCCACTGGGCAAAATATATCTGGCTAGCTTCTAGGCCTCAAAGCGGGCCGTCGTGTTACTATGTGGTCCGTGGTTTGAGGCAGAGAGTCACATGGAGATACATAATAAAAACCCACAGACTCACACAGACACCCAAAGTCTCACAAACTTAACTAGCGAGTAGCAGAAATTCTGATGGTGAAATTCAAAGTGGGCTGGTGGCGTTACGCTGCCGTCCGTGGTTTGATATTTGTGACCGGAGTCACACCGTCGGTTATTCACCATATCATTAAGGCAAAATATATACACAAAAGCACGTGCACTTGTAGCTCCAGGATCCAGTTTCAGGAGGTGACAAACTCCATCTCGGGTTTTCCAGTCTCAAGTAACGCACACGGAGGTGGATCGGCTGATCATTGAAATGATAACGCAACGTGTGGGGGCGGTGATGATGTTGACTGATAAATGTTTGTCAATGCTGCTGCAGATGATTACGAATTAAAGACGGTGATTATGATGCTGCTGCAACTGCTGCTGATAATTGATGACTATGATGATGCTCCTGATGATGAAGACTGGTGGATGACGATTATGTTTATGCTGTTGATAACGATGATTACTGATGGATGACGATGGTGATGCTACAAAACTCTAAAGTGTTCTTTGGAAACATGATCATTAAATAATTCAGCATTTGCTTCAATAAGCAACAGCACACAGAAGAGGCCTATGTGTAAACTATACTCAGATCACAGCTTCGTACCCAAGCTGCTAACAAGTAGGCTTTCGCGACCAATATCATCCATAATATAGCTTTTTTTGGGTTATATCGCGTAAATATAAATGCAAGTACAACATACCGGGCAATACTGTGGATTTGCTCTCCAACACACCGGTGTGCTGTACTAGTAACGCATTGGCACGTTCTGTTTACGTGAAAAACCTTACTAATTGGCTGTGTCGGGTGGCGGCGGGTTTAACGACACATTTATATTTACGCGATCTAACCCCAAAAAAAAACTATATTATGGACCCAAACTGCTGCTCGCTTAACGAGTTAACACGGCTCGTAAGTAAGGTGCGGGGATCGCATGGCGAGACAGCGGACATCGGAGGAATGTTTTTGGTGTGGGCGGCAAAAAGCATCCACACGCTTGCACAAAATTGATTGGTCAACGTCCCGTTCAAGTATCCTTCAGACGAAAGAACCTGCAAAACACACACACACAACACAGCACGCTCGTGAGTAGTCCGTCAACTGCGCACAGTCACATTTCCATACTTACAACGTGTAATCTTATTTGTATTTTTGTATTTTAAGATTGTTTAATACGGCTAATTAACATTTTACATTCGCATTTTATAAGGTCTACTTATTCATAATTTTAAGATTTTAGCCCTTTGGTATTACTTATACTTTGTAACGTTAGTATAGTTAGAGTGTATACCTTTTATATAAGTTAAGATTCCTACTTGTTCAATGTATGCACCGTCCTCGCCATAGTAAATTCCTTGTTTGTGCAAACTTACATGGCGATTAAAACCGTTTCTGATTCTGATTTGCAAACTGCGATTTGTAACTTTGATCATTACCTGTGAAACTGACAGTTCAATGTTAATGTGCGGTGTTACTGAGGGACTCTGCGTTATCCTGCTGTGGTCTGGGACTGTTTTGTTGTTTTTGCTGCCTTGCCCAATCTCGTTAAATCGGACTTACATGATTTAACGTTTTATTAAATGTTCATATTTAATGCTTTACCATTTTCTCTATTTTGCACTCCTATCATGTTGTTGTATTATGTCCGCTGTAATTTAATGAACCCGTGCCCATACTGGACATCTGTGAAAAAGAGCTTCATAGCTCATCGGATTCCTCCTGCAGTCGAAATGAAGTAGCTAAGCAAAGTACGTGCGGCTTGGGCATGACACGTCGTGGCAAGAAGGGTGGTGGCCGGTGGTCAGGAATGATGATTGAAGTGGCAGCCAAGAAGATGGAGCGATGAAATCAGTTTGTGCGCAAGGCGCTGGATGGATCGCTACATTGCAAGATTGTTACAAATGGTGACGTCAGGAGGCTTTCATCCAGCAGTGGATTGATCATGGCTGATGACGACGATAAGGCATCCCAATGGTTGTTTGCCAGATCTGCCGCAGAACAGTGCAACGGCCACCGCCGGTGGGCCGTGTTCGAAAACGGCCCACGGAAGTGGCTCTCACAGAGCTACGTTCGAGCTCCCTTCGAGTAACTTGGTCAATACAGCAGGGTGGCAGCACTCTCCCACCCACTCCGCATATGACAGTAATGTTCGTGACATCACCGTGATACAAATATTTTAATTGTCAGAGCTGTAATTTCATCCAAATTTGAGTGCAGAACCAAATTTTACGTGATGGCTTCTTTTTCTCTCTCTCTCTCTCGTGTGTGTGCAGTCATTGGTGACCATGAACTCACTACACTTGGGGGGCCAATGTACTCTGTTGGGAGGTTGCCCTGACTCAAACACAGGAGCCCGTTCGACGATTTACATCCGAGCCACAATTAAACGTGCTGCTGCTGTTGCTGCTGTAATTGCTGCTGTCGCTGCCCCTGTTGTTGTTACCGGCTCCGTTCGGCTGTCTCCGCTGCCCCGGCTCCCCGCTCCTCCCGCACGCGGCCAGCGCCAGCGCGGTCGCGTGCGGCAGCGCGGCCGTCAGCGCCAGGTAGGCCCAGCGCGGCAGCGGCGGCGTCGAGCCCAGCGGCCAGAGCCAGAGGCCGCGGCGGGCGCCGTCGCGCACGTGGTGAGACAGCCACGCCAGCGCCGCCAGCGCCGGTAGCCGCTCCCAGGGCCCGCCCAGCAGGCCCAGTGGACGAACCAGCACCAGCTCCAGCGAGAGCGCCAGCGCGAGAACCAGCGTGGTGTTGTGCAGGGGAGGGCGGCCGCGCAGTCTGTGCAGGTCCTGCGTGGATGCCGCGTTACACGACGCCGGGTGGTTACTTTGTTGTCCTTCCCCACGCACCTCCGATCAGCACGGTTGGCTACGTACGGTGTGAAAGAAGTTCAACGTAACTGCACGCTCACTCACCGTGCGGAGTTCACGCGTCGCGTTTTCGTGACAAGGCTGTTCTTCCGTGAAGGAACACACACTTTTGATTTAAAGTTTTCGTGACTGCAGGGATTCATATTCTTGGTTCTTTCGTTAAAGTCACGTAGAAGGGAAATAATAAAATATAAATATAAAACAATAACAATTCTCACGACGTTTCGACTGCAACACAAACAATCATCATCAGGTGTGAAATCCACAGCAAGAAAATTTAAATTTTTTCGAACCAAGAATATGAACACTAAACGGTTTATTTTATCAGGCAAGGCCCGCTAAGCTATGTAGCTCTTTTTCAGAAGCAACCAGGCCATTACAGATGATGGCCTAATGAAGTGGCTTATCATGTGGACATTTATAGCAGCCAAATACTGTAAACGCCGGACGCTGATTCTAAATGTGGAAAGAAAAACCGGAGGACCTGGAGAAAATCCACACAATCACGGGGAGAGAGAGAGACACTCAAACACCAAAATATACAGGTGTCAGGGTCGGGATCGAAACCACGACCTCCTGTATAGCAGGCGAGGTAGTTAACATCTCGCCACCACGGCACCCACTTTCCGCGCCACGTGCGGTTTGCCCCGTATTCTTGTACAGGGAAATTGTGTTTTCAGGTCCATACGGCGTACATCGGTTTCAATAGAGGCCAAAAAAAACGTGTCTTCGTTTGTGTTTCTCCCAAGTGATGGGACTTTGCAGGATGAACGTTGAGATGTATAAGGGCACGGGGGTGACCAATACGGTCTGAATTGGTCTGTGTAATAAGGTAGGGCACTGATAAGTGGTTGACCGGTATGCAACACGGTTTCTAAACGGTCGATGAGGGGCCATCCATTGAGTACGTACGCATGTAGGCGGGAGGGGGGTTAACCCAAATGCGTAGCTTGTGTATGGGGGGTCTACTGACAATGTACGCTTAGGAAACGGGGGGGGGGGTGAAGCCTCGATAATACTTTGTCTAAATTGGCTTTCAAATGAGTTTGATAGTCCAGTCGGTGGACTATCTGTTTGTTTAAACACGTTAATATTATTAATCCTTGGTCGTTTCTGCGTGGATTAAATATCGGCTGTTCTATAGGATTCGGGGGGGGGGGGGTGTGCGTCATGCGTACCTACGCAGGTGGGTAGGGGGGGCGGTGTAAAAGGTACGGCGTGCCTACAGGGAGGGCTCAAGTTTTGACAGATTTTTGCGTACCGACTAAATGGATGGCCCCTGATGAACTTTGGAGGTATCGGATGGACGACCACCACAGCTCGCAAGCGGTACTGGAGACTGCTGTGCATGCCACAAGCAAGGTGCAGTGCTGCTAAATGTTCTTGTGTGTTGCAAAAATTATGATGATGCCGATGTTTCCTCCATACATAACTCACACTTAATCGAAGCACCACCATCACTATTACCACCACCAAGACAACAACCAAGACAACAACCACCAAGACAGCCACCGCCAAAACAACCACCAACAAGACAACCACCGCCAAGACAACAACCACCAAGACAACCACCGCCAAGACAACAACCACCAAGACAACCACCGCCAAGACAACCATCGCCAAGACAACCATCACCAAGACAACCACCGCCAAGACAACCATCACCAAGACAACAACCTCGAACTCCATCATCCAAAAGATCTCCCGTGTGGCCTCGATGTGCCAAGTGTTGTTAGCGACTAAGCAGCACCCATGAAGGCCGGCACGGCACACGAGTGGGGGGTTGGGGTGGCCAGCACCCACGCCCGGCCGCCTTTGTCTCCCGAAGGAGCGACGTTTCCCCCACACCGCGCCACAGATGTCAGAGGCGACCACCATCGCTAACAACAACAACCACCACCACCATCACCATCTCACCGATATCCGAAGCGACTTGGCCATAACGAAGTGATCCAGGTCGAGGCAGCAGGCCAGGAAGCCCGCGAGCAGTACCTGAGCAGCGACTGTACCACCACCAACTCCACCACCACCACCACCACCACCAACTCCACCACCTCCACCACCACCACACACGATAGCCCAGCTCCACATGGCCACGGCTCCATGCACCGCGGAGTCGATCCCAGCTTTCATCAGCATCGCAAGCTCGCCACCGCCACCGCCCGCCTGTAGCCTCTCGCACAGCGGGTCCGCGACGGCGCAGAAGAGAGCGAGCAGCAGGCTCGAGAGGAGAGACAAAGGCGGCAGTGGACACGACTGCCACAGCCACCGCCACCACCACCGCCGACGCTGAGTCGCCTCCGCCTCCATCAACGGGGGCCCGGCGCGGCGTCCAGGCAAGACCGTAGGCTCCATGCGGCCTACGTCCGCCGCCGCCTTCATCAATGGGGCCCCGGCGCGGCTTCCAGGCAAGAGCGTAGGCTCCATGCGGCCTACGTGTAAAGTTGTCGCGAGCAACTTCCGAGTCGTGTTTGTCAAAGCAACTGGCCGCTTTTCTGCCTTTTCACCGCAGCTGGCGTGGCATTGTTAGCCGAGCGAACGACGACCCGAAGCCGCAGCGAAATCGTGAGTTTAAAGGTCTCGAATCATCACTCGGTAGCGGCATCGGCGGTCAATGTCCCCGACGCGAATCGTTGAGGGCCCTCAACGATTTTCATTTTCTCTGCCAAGTTTGGGTCACCTAGCGACGAGACGCTATCAACGCGATTGTTTGATTGGTTTGCGTTTTAGTTTCATTTATTTTGGGTATAACCCAAACTAAAAATAAGTATAACCCGTAAAAACAAAGTTTTTCACTATAAATCCTTTATATGCGTGGCGGCTAGAGTCCTCTCGTCCTCTGGCTTGAGATGGCTGCCACCTATGGGTCAGATGATTGTCTGCAGTATTAAACAATTGGTAATTAAATATTTAATGTGTTTTCCCTAAACAGTGTAAAATTTTGGAAAAAAATTTTCACGAACATTAATTGTCTCGCACAACGAGTCTGTGTGCAAAATGTCAGCTCGATTGGATCACGGGAAGTGGGTTAAAAAACGACCGAAAGGTTTGCACGGTCGTAAGCAAGCAAGCAAGCACGCAAGCAATCGAACTTAATATAAAGGATTTAAAAACTAAAACATGAACAAGAAAACATCTTAAAGTGACTTAGTGACTATGTGCAAACAGAAAATCCAAGAAAAAGACAGCAAAAATTGAGGATACATATGGAATAATATTGTCGAAATATTGGAGAACAGCTAACATAGCAGTACATATTCTTGGTTCTTTCGGTAAAGTCACGTAGAAGGGAAATAACAAAATAATATAAATATAAAACAATATTGTAATATTTTTTAAAATATTTTTTTGGTTCTTTCGGTAAAGTCAAGTAGAAGGGAAATAACAAAATAATATAAATATAAAACAATATTTTAATATTTTTTATATTTTAATATTTTTATATTTATATTATTTTATTAGTTCCCTTCTACGTGACTTTACCGAAAGAACCAAGAATATGAATCCCTGCAGTCACGAAAGCTTTAAATCAACATTTATAGCAGTACATGTCATGCCACATGCATGTCCTCAGAGATACAAATGGAATCACGTTACCAAACACAGACATGCCCCCATATCACCTGAACAGGCTGTAGGGGCAAGTGCTGTTAGCAAGAACTACCTATGAAGGCCGGCACGGCACACGAAGGGGTGGGTGGCCAGCACCTCGCCCGGCCGCCTTTGTTTTCCTCCTGGCGATGTTTTTTACACATCGCACCAGGTACTCATTTGAGGCTGAGTCGATCTAGGGGACGCCCGGGGCGGGTTCAGATGGTGGTGGCCGACAACACAGACGAAAGTCCACACAGATTCCAGAAAAAGCACCGTACACCAACGCTGTGTGAAAAATCCCAGTGGGATGCAAGTCAAACAACAACAACAAGACAACTTAGATTAAGGCCATCAGTCTAACTCCATACTACAACAAACAAACAATGGCCAAACCAAAAAAAGTTTTCGAAAGCACCAAAATAAAGCCATAAAAGCAATGTAACAGTGATCATAGGAACTGTGACCGAAATTTCACAATAAACGACAAACAACATGTACCACCAAACCCTGTAGCCATAGCTGGCTGCATGAGTCACTCCACAACAGCAGGAGCATCAGTAGGCGTGCTGTGAAGAAGGGGGATTGCACGAAACGTCGCCTCGCTATGATCGGGGCCCCGCGGTGGCTATGAGACGTTAACTACCTCGCCTGGTGTGCAGGAGGTCGTAGGTTCGAACCCGACCCCGACGCCTGCTGTATATTTGGAGCCTGCGTGTCTCTATCTCATCATCATCACGGTGGCTAGATGTTAATTACTTCGCCTGGTGTGCAGGAGATTGTGGGTTTGCTTGTCAGCTTCGATGTATTCATAATAAACGTTTTTGGGTTAGATCGCGTTATTTATAAATGTGTCGTAACCCTCCACCACCCGCCACGGCCAATCAGCAAAAAAGTGTCACGTTGACAAAAGACAAATAGTTCACTACTTTAGCCCACCGGTGTGTTGAAGAGTGAATCCACAACATTTACAATTTTTGAGTACGACGTTTCGCTGGTAATTACATCCAGCATCATCGGGCAATTGTTCACCGAAGGTACCTGTACCTGACACCATAGCAATCATTGAAGACTTGGTCCAACAGGGACTGAATCCTGATGTACCAACTTTGGCGAGGCACTGCCTTACCAACACTTATTTCATCTGGAATGGTACATTCTAGAGACAAAATTAAGGTACCCCTATGGGTTCTCCCTTATCACCAGTGGTAGCGAATGTTTTCATGGAGAAATTTGAAACAGATGCCATCCTGACATCCACCCTACGTCCTTCCCTGTGGAAGAGATACATAGATGACACTTTCGTCATCTATGTATATCTTACGATCAGTATAGGATGGCCGGGTATAGGATGACCCCTCACGCCTCAACAGGATTCTCCCCCTTTTTAAATCCTTTATATTAAGTTCGCTTGCTTGCGTGCTTGCTTGCTTACGACCGTGCAAATCTTTCGGTCGTTTTTTAACCCACTTCCCGTGATCCAATCGAGCTGACATTTTGCACACAGACTCGTTGTGCGAGACAATTAATGTTCGTGGAAATTTTTTTCCAAAATTTTACACTGTTTAGGGAAAACAAATTAAATATTTAATTACCAATTGCTTAATACTGGCAGACAATCATCTGACCCATAGGTGGCAGCCATATCAGGGTATTTATAACTCGGGGTGAGCAGCTACTGCCAAAAAGGTCCCAAAACATCGCTCGTATTGCACACAATTCTTAAAATCCATTCACCAGGGAAGTCCATGTATGTTTTCTTTTTTAATTGTTATTTTTTTTATTAATAAAGTATATGTACACACGCCATGAAAGCACATCTTTAAATCCCGTCTAACATCTCCAATATCAAAACGCACGCTAAAATTAGTCATTGAACAGAGGCATACTTTCTCGCTTTTATATTTGGTTGCGTCTTATGGCGATTTTTTTGTTTGTTATTCTTCACGCACGCGTGTGCCAATTCTACATGCGAATCCATGGTGGTGATGTCTCATTGAAGCTCTTAACCGGCATTTATTACCGTGATACAATATTCACTACCAACGGTATGCTGACAAAAAGAAAAATGATACCGACATTACTGCACAAACGTGCACGTACACACACTTCTCATTACAAAACTAATTATTTTTGTCCAATATTTAGATTCAAGGGCAGCTCACTTGACTTGAATATCCCACCCCCCCCTGCACTCCCAGTGAGCCAAAACGGATGGCATAGTGTAATCTAATGACAACCCAATTTTCATAAATATTAACTTCTCTCTCTAATAAGTCCATGGGCCCCAAAGAGATATTGGTATCACCTAAGGTAGCAAACCCATAAAGGTACCAATTGTACATGGCTCAAACAGTTTTTTGAGAGCACACTCATTTCAAATGGTTACCACAATTCACTGTTTTTGGCCACATCAACATATGGGATCAAAGAAAGTGATGCCACCACTTCAGGTGGTACCAACAAGTGAGTTATCTCCTCCGGGCTCGTGGGCAAATACATGGCAAAGAATAAAATAGTAGGAACCCATTGGGTTGTATAGATATGAGGTGGCCTGAAAAAAAATGATAAAAGCACACTAAGTGTAGAACCTGCCAAGTACCCGAGCGAGTATATGTTATGCACAAGTGTACAAAAGTGCGCACACAGCTAGGAATACAACATCAGTGAGAGGGGGTGGGCAGCTTTCACGGCATAGAAAGAATATTCAGGATTAAGACAGTAAAACTCGCGTGTGACACAAGCTGACCGCAGCGATGGTGGTGTAGACATTATTGGTTCATACACCGACTGGAGCGAGCTGTTGCCTACCCAACTGGATACAAATCTCGTGCGGATTTCTACTTTTGCCACGCACTACTGCGGGCATCAATTCTTGAGGGTGTCCACGCAGCCGTGCATGGTGGCGAAAGGTTGACAAAAAGGCTCCAAGCTCAGCCTGACCGGGAAATCCACGCTTGGGGTTACGCGTGTCTGCAAACATCGGCGATCTTAATCGGTGCCGCTTTGTTGCAAAGTTTACGTTGACAAAGATGCGATGCAATAGGAGACAGACCGCACACACGTCGCATTGCAAATGCATCATGCCAAACGGTCGATTCATCTGCCTTTCAACTTGGGAGATTGTTCAGTATTATCGATTCATGTGGGGTGGGGCCTGGTGGCTCATTGATCAGTGCCAAACTGGCACCGCTGAGGGTCCTGGGTTAAAAATCCTGGTTTCCGTCACCTGCGATTAAACCGGGTTCTCAAACGTAGATATGGTCTCAGAACGGTCAACGATGATCGCAGCAGAAAAAAAGTCCGATATCAGTTGTGTACTCAATTTTATGACTAAATATCAGTTTCACCGTCATGCGACGGACATTACTCTCGTTGGCAGGGCGGGTGGAAAAGTACCGCTCCTCTAACGTGTGGACTCGAGGCCACTTGAAGGCATCTCGGATGCAAGCTGTGATATCCACGTCTGTGGGCCATTCTTTAACATGAAGAGTTGCCCTGCTCTGAGAGTTCTGAATGAACACCGCATCTCATGACATGCACAGCACAACCAGGATAAACGTAGAATAATTTTTTTCTTTTACAAAACATCAACGTTTACATGATTCTGCACCCTATCCATTAAGTTGAAGATGGTTTAAGCCTTAACTGGGGAGGAAAGGATCACAATTGTTGTGCTTTTAAGGATGTTGATAACGGTGAATGATCGTTAGGCGCATTTCATTCCGCACGTCGCCAGCTGAGGTTACGGGAAGGGCAGTCAAGACTGTTTCCCGAAGACCGAGCACGCAAACTGGGGCGAGATCCATAGCGGGACCAAAACAACCCACGTTTTCTAATCCTTCTCTGAAAAAAAACTAAACGTACCCCGCGCATGCCTTCGTGATTCACTCCTGAGAATCGCGCACTAAACTTTTGCTGGCCCTTACTCCCACAACATACCGTAATAAAACAATGGACAAGGATTGAAAAGGGAGGAAAGACCAAAAAAAAATTAGTTTTTTCTTTCCTTAAATTTACAAACAAGCCAAGCCGGCTGGGGCCCCTCGCCGTCACAACGAAGAATTGTAGAAACACACAGCGAGGGAACGGCGCTGGGAAGATAGGAGGGCAACGGGAGGTTGGAGGGGGGTGTCGATTCCACAGCTAGCCTACGACGGATCCCGTCTGGGCCAGCCCCCCCTCAGTCCTCCGTCATTTCCAGCACCGACTCGCTCAAGCACAGATCCCAGTACTGCTCCACACCGTGCTTGCGGAAATGCTCTCTCGCTAAACTCTCGGTGGGACACTGCTTGAATTTCATTTCTCCAAAGCTCCGCTCCTTGGCCGTGCCCTGCGGAAATAAGTTGCAACACAATATGCGCTCAGATTAGAATATATTTTTTTTCTATTTCGTGATACTGCATTGGCGGCAGTGGTTGTCGTTCTTCCCTCACACCTCTGATGAGCACAGTTGGCTACGTACGGTGCGAAAGAAGTTCAACATGAATTTTGATTTAAAGCTTTCGTGACTGCAGGGATTCATATTCTTGGTTCTTTCGGTAAAGTCACATAGAAGGGAAATAATAAAATAATAGAAATATAAAACAATACAATTCTCACGACGTTTCGACTGCAACACAAGCAATCATCATCAGGTGTGAAATCCACAGCAAGAAAAACATTTTCCACGACAAGAAAATTTTCTTCCACAACAACAAAATTTTCTTGCTGTGGATTTCACACCTGATGATGATTGCTTGTGTTGCAGTCGAAACGTCGTGAGAATTTTATTCGTTTATATTTTTATTATTTTATTATTTCCCTTCTACGTGACTTTACCGAAAAAACCAAGAATATAAGTTCAACATACATGCAAGCACAAATAACAAAAAATTCTAACACATTTATCAATACCACTGTGGACAAAAAAAAACATATTATCTCTCCGCTCCGATGAATGTCCACACGATCTTGAAACGTGAGCTTTTATAGTTAGCTTCCCATCAGGGCAGTGCTAGCAATGAATGCCCTGACATCTATTCAAACTGCGCACACGCAATGCAAGACAAACACAAATGAGTATTTAGGCACAGACGAGTTGTGTAATTTAGCAACTGCAGCTCCCTATAAATGTCTTCACCACGTGAAACGTGAGCGATCACTGTCACAACGGCATGCCATTTGGACGCACAACTTAAGGAACGGTGGGGGTGCGACGAACTTTGGAACAATATAACTGGGGGGGGGGGGCACACAGGATGACAGCATCAGCAACACGGCCGCAGAAACAAAAATGCTAACAGATTAATTATAAAGAAATGAAGCGAAACTGGTGTTTTTGTCATCTCTGGAGAATTACCGTTGATTTTCCTGGAACTAAACAGACAGAGCGTGTCTGTGTGTGTGTGTGTAGAGGTTGTTTTTGTACGGATGTTGAAACCTATGGTTAATTCCCCACGAGAACTTAGGGCGCACGGGTCCCCATTATTTTTCACATTGTAATATTTCAAGTGGCAGGCACTCACGCCCGAACACTTTCGTTAAACAAACAAAACAATTAATTAACAACAAACATGAAGGCGATTCGGAGATGGCAGGAAATGTCACGCACGGTTCAGTGCGATCCTTAAGCTATTTATGCACTCCCCCCCCCCCCCCCCCCCGCTTTTCAAACAAACCGGACCAAATTAAAGAAACAAAGGAGTCAGTGGCAATGCCGGCAGGAAGAGCGGGGGGTCACCAAGCCATTGTTTTCACGCCCCACGGGGTCAGAGTGAGGATTTCCCCGGCAATGTGTTGCCTGCCCCTTGGGAGGGGATGTAACTTCGCGCTTCCAAGTTCGGCACGCTGTGCTGCGGGCCCCCCGAGCCAACGAATACGTTGCAAGTTCGCCAACAAATACGTTACAATTGCACCAACGAATACGTTGCAATTGCACCATCGAATACGTTACAATTGCACCATCGAATACGTTACAATTGCACCAATGAATACGTTGCAATTGCACCAACGAATACGTTGCAATTGCACCAACGAATACGTTACAATTGCACCAACGAATACGTTGCAATTGCACCATCGAATACGTTACAATTGCACCATCGAATACGTTGCAATTGCACCAATGAATACGTTGCAATTGCACCAACGAATACGTTGCAATTGCACCATCGAATACGTTACAATTACACCATCGAATACGTTGCAATTGCACCAACGAATACGTTGCAATTGCACCATCGAATACGTTACAATTGCACCAACGAATACGTTCAATTGCACCAATGAATACGTTGCAATTGCACCATCGAATACGTTGCAAATTCGCCAATGAATACGTTGCAATTGCACCATCGAATAAGTTGCAATTGCACCAACGAATACGTTACAAGTTCGCCAACGAATACGTTGCAATTGCACCAAGGAATACGTTACCATTGCACCAATGAATATGCGTCAAGTGCACCAACGAATACTTTACAAGTAAACCAACGGCTCTGCCACCAACTCAACTCGCAACACTTTGAGAATCAGGTTTAAACAGAGGCGACTGAAATCCGGCTTTTAAAGTCAGGATCTCGGGTGCTCATCGGGTCAATGGCTTCCGAACTACCCAGCTACCTCCATCCCTTATTGATTATTGCTGCCATCTTCGTTCGGTAGCCCATGGTGGCCAGATCGTTCCGCGCAACTCGGGACGGCGAGATTTGGACCTCGCAGCTTTGCGGTTAGCAGTCCATTGGCCTGGAACTCACCTACCCACTCGCTCACCTACTCACCCACCCACTCACCGGTCCACCGGCCTGGAACTCACCTACCTACTCACTCACCTACTCACCCACCCACTCACTCACCTACTCACCCACACACTCACCTACCCACTCGCTCACCTACTCACCTGCCCACTCACCTACTCACCTACCCACTCACCTACTCACCTACCCACTCACCCACCCACTCACCTACCCACTCGCTCACCTACTCACAGACATTCGACTAGTTCAGTAGAAAACGCAAGAAAGAATTGTTCAATAGAGCTTGCAATGTACGAATATTGCGCACTCGTGATAGCCTAGGTTATAAGAGTTGCGCATTTATAAATGTACTTAATGACCAATTTGTGAGACTATAATTTGATTCAATGGGCTCGCACATTGCTCTAAACCAGTGGTTCTTAACCTTCATTGCAGCCTTGCACCCCCCTTTGGTTCTCAATTGTTAAAAATGTATCACGTTTAAGAATAAAACAAAGTTGTGCTTACGTGCCCTTAATTTGTTTCAATGATTTACCTGGCCATGCCTCGCACGGAAAGGGCAACTCACACCCCCGGGGGGGGGGGGGGGTGTGCGTGCACCCCGGGTGAAGAACCACTGAGCTAGATGAAAGGAAACTATTGCAAGGTAAGTATTGTCCATTACCTCCCAAACCAGAGTGCAGGAGTTGGGTTTCCTCCGGCGAATCTCACTCGACAGGCTGTCAGCTGCACACCACACACAGACACAACACAGAAACGCACGCACACACAGCATCAACAGTGGACTAGTCAGCTGTTAACATGCTTGAGACATTAGTGGCGCCTTGAGACATGAGTGGAAGGAGCCTGACAAATAAATGTAAATTATTATCGGCCACGACCCAGCCAGTGATGAAGGTCTCAATCGGTCAACTGTTACCTGCTAATGACACGGATCGGAAATGTGGAAATCAGAATGAACTTGGCCAAACATCGAGACCTCCTTTGCCAGTAGCAAGATATAGTATTAGGTTTTTACCCTTTTATCTGGCACCAAAACTGACACCTTTATATACAAGGGATCGTGTTTGCAATAACCACAACACAAGCAGTCAAAAGGCGTCATCTGGCAAATGAGGTTCCAATGGTGTAAATGCTTACCCCGAGCTCTCATACTCTGATGGTGCATTGTCTTTGAGTTGTGCGCCTTTTGGCGTCATCTGGTCCAACACCATGTGAGACTAGGCTCTAAGAAAAGCCGTCTCGGGTGTGGACCAATCAATTTCAAGGACAATGCATATCATTACCAGAGTTGTCTATTTTTGTTTGAATTTTGACTGCTCGTGTTGTGGTTATTGCAAACATGATTCCTTGTATAAAGGTGTCAGTTTTGGTGCCAGATAAAAGGATAAAAACCTACTACTTGGCCAAACATCCCAATGCAACGGGCCCCCTGCTTCTTTTTCGTACGGCTGCTGATATTGCCGCAGTGCAACGGCTGCAGCTTTACATTGAGGTGGTTGTATGCATGTGCGGTGAACTTCTTTCGTACCGTACGTAGCCAACCGTGCTCATCGGAGGTGCGCAGGGAAGGACAACACACTAAACGCACGCATCTTCTTGGTTCTTTCGGTAAAGTCACGTAGAAGGGAAATAATAAAATAATAAAAATAAAACATAATAAAATTTCTATTTAAAGCTTTCGTGACTGCAGGGATTCATCTTCTTGGTTCTTTCGGTAAAGTCACGTAGAAGGGAAATAATAAAATAATAAAAATAAAACATTATAAAATTTCTATTTAAAGCTTTCGTGACTGCAGGGATTCATCTTCTTGGTTCTTTCGGTAAAGGCACGTAGAAGGGAAATAATAAAATAATAAAATAAAACATAATAAGATAATTCTCACTACGTTTCGGCCACAACGCAAGCAGCCGTCCTCAGGTGGAGAACAGGTCTGTCGAGAAGACAGCGTCTGAATGACACACAGACTCTGTCTTCTAGACAGACCTGTTCTCCACCTGAGGACGGCTGCTTGCGTTGTGGCCGAAACGTCGTGAGAATTATTTTATTTTATTATGTTTTATTTTTATTATTTTATTATTTCCCTTCTACGTGACTTTACCGAAAGAACCAAGAAGATGAATCCCTGCAGTCACGAAAGCTTTAAATCGAAATTTAAACGCACACAGCCAGATAAATGCGCGAAGAGAAGCGGAGTGGTGCATCGCTGTCACGAAGCTTACTTCGTATTTGTGAATAGGGGCATGAAGTCAGTCGTTAAATGGTCGATGGGTCTGTCCTGGCTGAGCACAGTGGCACAATGCGACTACGCAACAGCACGTATGTACGTAGAACTTCTTTCACACCATACGGAGCCAACCGTGCTAAGTCAGAGGTGCGGGATGTACCCCGTAGTTAACGATGCGCGAGAGAAACTACTCGCACCGTGACACCAAGGTCCGGATAAAGTACGGCATGCAGTAAACTTCAAGAGCCCCTGTTGTAGTTTACCCAAGTTAGAATTTGATGTGCTACGATTCTTACCGTTGCAGAGATCCGTTTATAAATGTAGGACCCAAATTATACGGTGTCCCATAAAAAAAAACTTATAACCCACGGAATTTATTTCTAAAGATAACCCATGCCAGCTTTATTGCAACTCTTTGCAATCCACTTGCAATCGTTTTTATTGCATCGTCTCCCCCACATATGGCCACACAATTTAAACACGCACATTTTTTCATCCATTACTGGACATCGGTGAAAAAGCGCTTGATAGCTTATTGGATTCCTCAAATATAAATAGTCTGTTTCTATATCTGCCTCTCAGCAAAAGCCCACTCCCACTCTCAACAACGACTTTAGTTCTAGATTTGAAGTTTTCGTGACTGCAAGGATTCATACTCTTTGGTTTTTTCGGTAAAGTCAAGCAGGTAAAATAATTAAAATAAATAAATAAATCGTGACGTTACCGAAAAAACCAAAGAGAACGACTTTAGTTGGTTACCAAGTTTTACCAGGACACCCCACAAAATGCCACGTGTTCCTTGTCCAAATTTCTGGCCAAATGTGGCGATACCTCCACGATCATCGTCAACAGAGGGTCGAATCACCAAGCCATTGAGACGTGTTTTGGCTGCGACGTCAACGTGCGAATCTGGCCCTCGAGAGACGCTTCCTTCCGATTGGTTGACGTCTTTTGCGACGTGCGCTGCGTTGTTTTTGCGTGGCACCGCGGCGTTGCGTGGCACCGATCTCCGTTTACGCCTCCATGTGCCGCTTGGGAGCCTCTTCACGAACCGAAGAGAAGCAGCTTCCCAGGGACGTGGCAGCGAAACGTCAAGACGCCGTGCCAAACGACACGAGGCATTCCATTGGAACCTCATTTGCCAGTAAAAAATATGATAATTGTTTTTTTACCCTTCTTTTACTGGCAAATGAGGTTCCAATGGTGTAAATGCTTACCCCGAGCTCTCATACTCTGATGGTGCATTGTCTTTGAGTTGTGCGCCTTTTGGCGTCATCTGGTCCAACACCATGTGAGACTAGGCTCTAAGGAAAGCTGTCTCGGGTGTGGACCAATCAACTTCAAGGACAGTGCACATTATCAGAGTTATCTTTTTTGTTTGCATTATGACTGCAGGTATTGTGGTCTATGCAAACATGACTCCTTGTAAAAAAGGTGTCAGTTTTGTTGCCAGATAGAAGGGTAAAAAACCAATTATGACACGAGGCATTGTTTGGAAATATGTTCTGTACACACCGAGAGCCGAGCTCTCTGAACTCCTAAACACAGAGCCGTCCCCTAGGGCATGGCACATCGGTGCAACCGTCCCGGGCCCCGGCGCTTTGTGGGGGGCCCACACTTTGAAGTCACGGTGTCAGATGTGATACTTCTGGTTTAGTTTGAAAGTTTGAAAGCGTCGGGGGGGGGGGGGGGGGCGGGGGGGTAATGCCCCTGGCCCCACACCCCTTCCCCTACGGATATGCCTGCCCAAAACCAATTGCGATTAGCCGCAGGGAGTATTCTGCGGAGAGGCGGCATGCATTGGAAACGCTGCGCGACACTCGGTCTCACATTCTTTTGAGTTGGATTCCTCGGCCCACTTGATGCGATTCATCATCAACCGCCGGAACTTCTTCTGAGATTTTGGTCCTGACAGACAAAAAAACAAACACACACGTGAGTTTAAATTTCGATTTGAAGCTTTCGTGACTGCAGGGATTCATATTCTTGGTTCTTTTCGGTAAAGTCACGTAGAAGGGAAATAATAAAAATAAAAAATAATAAAATGAAATTCTCACGACGTTTCGGCCACAACGCAAGCAGCCGTTCTCAGGTGAAGAATAGAGCTGTCGGAAAGACAGCGTCGAAACGTCGTGAGAATTTCATTTTATTATGTTTCATTTTTATTATTTTATTATTTCCCTTCTACGTGACTTTACCGAAAGAACCAACAATATGAAACACATGAGTGATAAACGCCAACTGGCGCGCACTCATATCTACTCCCGCAGATGACAAGCACAACCCCTGTTAGCTTGATATGGCAAGTGCAGTTAGCGAGCACCTATTAAGGGTGGCACAACCAAAGGTACGGTGGTGGGGCTGAGATCACGCATCCATTTGTCTTGTTCAACTTTCACTTTGAGCCTGTTGTCAATCCACTGGCCGATTAAGGCTTCCCAACGGCATGACGGTCACAGGGATTGTTTTGACCATACTTCATCATTCTGGCGAGTGTGGTTTGGCGACAGTGAGGTTCAAGCAGGGGACCAGATATCACTCTGCACTCGCGTTATAACCGTGGCCGGGAATCGAACTCAGGCGGCCGGGTTCGTAGTGCAGTGCGCCAACTACCGTGCCACCGTTCCCATATACGCTGTCAGGTACATGTTGTGAAGTACACCACCGCGCTCCCCCATGACTCTGCCATACGAGTTTCACAATGCGGCACAACAGAGGTTTATGTACCTCTCTCTCTACTCGTTGGCAGGTAATTATTTATCAATTCCGGAGACCAATTTCCAGTGTTCTTTCAGATGTCCCTCGTGGACAATCTATAAAACCCTTACATTGCTTAAGTTACTGAAATGCGCCATCAACTTGCACACACAAAATCCCATAACGTAGCGGAAATTACCCGGCACATTTAAATAGCTTACTCACAGCATCTGCTCTTTCAAGGTCCCGTCTTTAAATCCGTTTTCAGTTGAGCGGTTTGCGAAATTGACTTAAAATCAAATAAACGGGCGGTGTTTAAAAAAAAAAAATTATGTCAGCGCCCAAAACTTGTGCAGACCAGTAAACTTTTACGCGGCGTGTCTGGCGACGGTCGTGTGCTGTGTGCGCAAGCTATCGTCATTTTATAGACGTTACTCCTTCTCTGGCAGACTGCCGGCGTGTAACATATCGCTTGCGAGGCAGAAAAAAAAACCCACAAAGAACATTTGTTTTACGAAGGTGCAAAATAACGTGTATATAAATAGAAGCCATCCAAGTTGTCCCAAGACAGAGCGTACCTTCTTTCTCATGACGACAGAATAAATCTCACATCCACCTCCGCTGAAGTTTTCATTTTTTGAAGACACGGACGCAAAGCGAAATGTTTTTACCGCTAAAGCGACTGATCAGCGCCGACCTCCGCCTACCCGCATCCCCCGCCACGTGAGTCACGGGTGAAGAGCTCATTTGTGTCGTCGAAAGATCTTGCCTGACAACTCGCATTAAAATAAACCCCGCCGTGGCGGTCGTTTTAAAGAAAAAAAATATCTCGCGAGGCGCGAGCTATTTACGGCGAGCCGAGAAACCACCGGCGGAAATGAGCCCAGGGTCCCCGGGGGGGGGGGGGGGGGTGGTCGAAATTAATGAAAACGAAACGCTGCCGTCTGCACCGATTTACGTCACCGGAGACGGCGCAGCAAGCGCCATCTAATTGGGTATCTTATTTATTTATTTCATAGCTTTTACACGTGACACTCACACAGTGAGAGCAGCAACCAGATGCGCAAGAAGATATATATTAACTGCATGTGTAGTATTTCAATTTCGATTTAAAGCTTTCGTGACTGAAGGGATTCATCTTCTTGGTTCTTTCGGTAAAGTCACGTAGAAGGGAAATAATAAAAATAAAACATAATAAAATAATTTTCACGACGTTTCGGCCACAAGGACGGCTGCTTGCGTTGTGGCCGAAACGTCGTGAGAATTATTTTATTATATTTTATTTTTATTATAGTATTTCAATGTTCTGCGAGTGGACGTCGTCAGCCCACGTAGCCACAGAGCCACGCGCGACACCCTCCTCCTCCAGCACGCCCTGACGCACTTCACAGCCGGAGACGATATGCGCCACCGTCTCCAGCTCCACGCATTCACACAGCGGGCTGGTGATCGCGCGAGAGGCGCAGGCATCACTTACCGCCTTCGACGACCACCACGTTGACGTCCTTGTGCAGGACCACGCCTCCGGTGAGGAACAACTGGTTCGCGTTCGTCTCGATCTTGAACTTCTTTGACGGGTTCGTCAGGTCACGGATCCTGTGCGAGAGGAAGTAAAATGGTCACGAATATTACCGGTGGAGACGCTGCAATGAGATCGGCTCGTGCGCGCGAGCGAGATAGATTGTCGCATCGAACGGCTGCGAGGGATGGCGATGGCTTATGGAGGAAGCCTTCATCCGGCGGTGGATTAATCAAGGTTGATGGATGATGATGAATATTCATCCAGAGTCCTTGAAAGATCCACTGTTGGATGAACGCCTCCCTGTGCCGTGTCACGGGGTCTGTTTGGCTATACTTCAGCAGGTTGATGAGTACAGGCTCGTGAAGGAGGGAGTGGGGACCAAGACCGGTTCAGATATATTACACCGATATTGGCTGTGGATAACATCAGCGGTGAGCGATGATGATGATGACCAATCAAAATAACCTCAGCGGTGCTGGCTCCGTCCTCATATGGGCCTTACCTGGTAAATTTAAAATAGTTTATAGATGCGGCACTTGCACCTTTCCTCAAGCGTACTCCGCAGAAGCCACAGCACCACTGCCTGCACAGTGTTCAGTGTCCTCAGTCCCTCCATCCAGTGTGGCCTAAGAGGCAACCGTCCTCCACAACACTAAAAAACTAAACTAATTTTATTTTACCAGGTAAGGCCCACTGAGCTATATAGCTTTTTTCCGAAGCGACCTGGTCACAAATGATAGCGCAATTAAGTGGCTATCATGTATAAATTTATAGCAGCCAAATACTCTAAAAGCGTAACGTTAATTCTAAATGTTGGAGGGAAAAACCGAAGGACCCGGAGAAAAACCCACGCGACTACGGGGAGAGAGACATGCAAACTCCAAATATAGGCGCCAGGGTCGGGATCAAACCCATGACCTCCTACGTACCAGGCGAGAGAGTTAACATCTCGCCACAGCGGTGTTTAAGCGTCACACCTATCCCTTTTTCCAATGGGATATTCCGAGCTGCGCCAGCACGAAGGATCCTCACGGTACGGCTGGTTTCTCCCACTACCGATTTGACCGAGCCGAGCTGGAATCAACCTAACCTAGCTACGATGGCCTCGCGAGAAGCCGTCTCTGAACCTGGCTCGGTTGCCCAAGCAAGAACGAGCGAGCGAGTGAGCGAGCTCCCACTGTGCGTGTCGCCGGGGCCCGGTAACATTGCGAGGTCACAGCGTCACAGCGTCACCCACAAACGTCTCGGACGCGTTCGCCGGAGCGTGCTGTCAGCGGCTCCCCACGACTCGGCTTCCGCAGTGGGGAAAAAACAACCTCGGCGCCTGCTGAGCCCGGCTCGGTTGTGCAGCGGAACAGAGGTTAGATTCTGCACTTCTACGTTTACACCTCGGCCTATCGCAGATGCCATGTCCGGCCTTGTTATCTCGCCCCCGTAAACCACCTCGATTCCTCGCACAAATAAAAATTATGATTATTTCGTTACCGGTCCCGCCGCACCGCAATGAATGCTTGCAAATTGTTTCTTGTTGTTGGGATCTCCCGGTGTGGTTTGCCGGGCCCACATGTTGTTGCAATAAACACATTCTACTTAGTTTTTTAAAAGAAACCCAGCCACCACCTGTAGACGGAGATGTGCACGCCACTGGTCGTGTCCTCCTTCAGCTTCTTGATCTTCTTCTCCCTGCGCTGCTCCACCGGCAGCTTCCGCGCCGCGTTCGCCTCCTCGTGGGCCCTGAGCAGAGCGACGCGATCACTCAGCGTCCATTCCGTCCGTCCGTCCGCCCGCACGCATTTCTAGCTGGCCGGCCTTTACAGAAGCGTTGAAAACTATTGCGCCCAAGATCAACGCGCTTAATTCTAGATTTGAAGCTTTCGTGACTGCAAGGATTCATATTCTTAGGTTTTTTCGGTAAAGTCACGTAGGTAAAAAATTAAAATTAATAAAAGTTAAATAAAATAAAACTGACGACGTTTCGGAGGCAACACAAGCTTCCGTCTTCAGGTGGAACCGTCACAGCCACGACAGCTCATTTACTTGATACAGCTGTCGTGGCTGTGACGGTTCCACCTGAAGATGGAAGCTTGTGTTGCCTCCGAAACATCGTGAATTTTATTTTATTTTACGTTTATTAATTTTAATTTTTTACCTACGTAACTTTACCGAAAAACCTAAGAATATCAACGCGCTTGTTTGTACGGAGATATAGATGTGTCTGTGTGCGTGCGCGTTGGCATAGTAGGGGGCACAGCCGATGCATCTGCCAGTCATCTCAGTCGGTAAAACCACGGCAGCTGGGCTCTGTCCCGTGACCTGTCAGCGAGCCTTCCACAACTTCACGTGGCCTCAAAGTGCACCTGACCTGGCACAAGCGCCGTGGTGATGTCACCGTTACTTAGTGGTGAATAGCGGGTATTGATGTGCGTGGAGAAACCTGTACACGTGCGTATGTGTGCAGAGAGAGCTGTAGATATGTGAATGAAAAATTCTGCAGATGTGTGTTTGTACAAAGCTATAGTTAGGAGAGTGTGCATGTAAAAAGATTTAGATATGCGTGTGTTTGTACAAAGGTACATATGATTGTGTGTTTAAATTACTACTGATGTGCGTGTAGACATGAGTATGCATGTAAAGAGCTGTATATACGTGTGTGTGTACAGAGCTGTACATCCTACTGGACATCTGTGACAGAGTTTCGTTGCTTGTGTTGCAATCGAAACGTCGTGATTTCTGTTTCTTTTTCTATCTACGTGACTTTACCGAAAGACCCAAAGAGTATGAATTCCCGCAGTCACGAAAGCTTTAAGTCAAGATTCCTCCAGTCTAAATAAAGATTCAGATTTTGTACGTATGTGCCTACAGAGCAGACGTGTGCGTGAGTAAAGACCTGCGCTACGAACCTGGCAACCTGAGTTCGAATCTTGCTCACGGCCAACATCAGTGACGATTATCGAAACTAATCCTGGGCCTCCCCGAGGCCAACAGCCTCAAATGAGTACCTGGTGCGGTGCGTCAACATTGCCACTGGGGAGACAAAGGCGGCCGGGTGGGCTGCTGGCCATCCACCTCCTTCGTCTGCAGTGCCGGCCTCCATCGGTGCAACTCACTAACAGCAATTACCCCAAAAGTCTGCTGATGCTACAAGGGTGTGATCTTTGTCTAAACTGCATTAGTTTATGGGGCTAGATCAGGCAGCCCGTTGGGTCACAGAGCTTGATGGAGTAGCCACCGCTAACCGCGGTAGTCGCGCGAGTGGCCCAGGTTTGAAATTCACTTGCCCGAACAGCCTCTTGTATTTTTTAATTTAAAGCTTTCGTGACTGCAGGGATTCATATTCTTGGTTCTTTCGGTAAAGTCACGTAGAAGGGAAATAATAAAATAATATAAATATAATTTTTTAAAAATTCTCACGACGTTTCGACTGCAACACAAGCAATCATCATCAGGTGTGAAATCCACAGCAAGAACATTTTTTTTTCAAATGTTTTTGCTGTGGATTTCACACCTGATGATGATTGCTTGTGTTGCAGTGGAAACGTCGTGAGAATTTTTTTTGTCTTATATGTATATTATTTTATTATTTCCCTTCTAAAAGCCTCTTTCTTGTACGTTAAACTTCTTTCGCACATTACACAGCCAACTATGCTAATTGAATGTGCAAAACGTGGGATCTTTGTGTGTTTGTTTTTTGTTCAAGAGCTGCGCGTGAAGCTCACCTGAGCCGCTTGGCCATCTGTGCCCGCACGTGAGCCTCCACTTTGGTGGGGTCCTGCACGGCCTCCGTGCCCAGCACGCGCATCAGGTTCGAGATCCGCACTGAGTGCGACAATCAGGAGGAACGGACGATTGCAGGTATGACACAACAACAAAAACAACAACGATGATGACGACAATAACCGCCATGGCGGTGGCGACGAGAACCACAGTGACAACCGTCGCAATAAGTTCGAACATGACGAATAGCAATCATCACAACTATAATGATTGACAATAACAATCCTTGTTCTGCTTTCATTGCTATTTTTATTATTATTCTACTGATTGGCAGGCGCCAACAGCTCGCAATCGTAAGGTGGAGAGTTCTTATTCCGGTTGGGGGTGGACTCAGCCCATCATCCACCGATTTGTGTGGAAGTCAATAGTAGTTGTCTTCCATAATACAGGTTTTTTGGGTTGGATCGCGTAAATAGAAAATGTGTCGTTAAACCCGCCACCACTCGACACAGCCAATTAGTAAGGTTTGTCACGTAAACAGAACGTGCCAATTCGTCACTAGTACAGCACACCGGTGTGTTGGAGAGCAAAGCCACAACATTTACAATCTGAGTACGACATTCTCCCATTAATTACAACTAGCTTACTAATTGGCTGTCTGGTGGTGACGGGTTTAACGAGACATTTATATATTTACACGATCTCACCCAAAAAACCTGTATTATGGATATTGGTTGCGAAATCCTACATGTTAAACCAGTAGCTGTCCTACATGGAGAGACTTGCTCCCACCATATTATTGTGGAATTTCCACCACTGCCTCAGTGCTGAAAATAGGTGAGCAGCAATGCCTCAATGCTCATTTAACCACTTCCGACCTAAAGATTTAGATTTTACTCAGGGAGCAGTGGCGCAGTCGTTAGCGCACCGTGCTACAAACATGTCCGGGGACCTCACCACTTCACCAACAATGACAAAGACCCCTTGTATAGCCTTAACAGACTGTTGGGACAAGTGCTAATAGCAAGCACCTATGAAGGCCGGAACAGTATACGAGGGGGTGGGTGGCCAGCACCACGCCCGACCGCCTTTGTCTCCCCAGTGGCGATGTTTACACACAGCACCAGGTAGTCACTTGAGGCTGAGTCGACCTAGGGGAGGCCCAGGACCGGTTCAGATAATCGTCACCGGTGTTGACCGTGAGCGGGAATGGAACTCGTGGCGCCGGGTTCGTGGCCCGGCGCGCTAATCGCTACGCCAACGCTCCCCGCTTCGCGAATGCACGGCCACCGATCGGCGTGGCGACGGTCTAATCAAACAACGCCCATCCGTAAACAAATCGCCCAGGTTGACGGGTATTGACTGCGAGGGCCCCAGGTACCTTTGGGTTCGGGCGGGGGAGCCAGACCCAGGCGAATCTTCTCCTGCAGCTCCTTCTGAGCCTCCCTGCGGGTCTGACGGCGCAGCTTCTTGCGCTCCTTCTTGGTCAGGTAGATTCCCAGCGTCACCGGCTTGTCGCTCTCCACGGCTGGGGTGGGGGTAGGGGACACGCACACGGGGGTGGAATTTTACATACATCACTCGTGCATTCATTCATTCACCGAACACATAGGTGTCGCACAACGGTGAATGTAGAACACAGGCGCACGAGCGGAACGTGCATCATTCATTCGTGCACTCGTGATTCATTCATTCAACACAAATGCGTCACAACAGTGCATCTAGAACACAGGCAGGGGTGAGGGAGCATACATTTTTCACTCATTTATACACAATTCATTCACTGAACACAGACACGTCACAACAGTGACTTCCGATTAGCACGGTCATTCACTTACATAATGAAAGAAGCTCAACATACATAGAAAGCACGTGCTTTTGCCCGAAACATCGGCAATTGTAGAAATATATTTAAGTTCAACACATGTACGTACACATGCAACAGTGCATCACACGGCTGCTGTCACGGGTGCACCCTACCGATTTCGGTGTCGGCGCTGGTGGGGCTGTTGATCTGCGCGGGATGCTCCACGAGGTTGGTGATGCCGTCGAGCTGCCCCTTCTCCAGCACCATGTGGACGTCGGATTCGCTGGGGAGACGCGCACAGACGGGAAAGAGAGAGCGAGCGTCGTTACACGCACACGACGCCGACAACTGAAAACTGATTTTTTTTATTATGCCAGGTAAGGCCCACTGAGCTAGACAGCTCTTTTTTTTTTCAAGAAGCATTCTGGCCACAAACGATATAAGTGGCTTATCACGCGGAGATTTAGAGCAGCCTAAGACTCTTATTAAACGCGTGTCGATTCTAAATGCGGAGGGAAAAACCGGAGGACCCATAGAAAAATCCACGCGATTGCAGGGAGAGAGAGAGAGAGAACATGCAAACTTAAAATCTACAGCAGGCGTGAGGGTCAGGACCGAACCCACGACCTACAGTATGCCAGGCGAGGAAGATGACATCTTGACGAATGCCACGGCCAGACCGGCGGGCGTGCAAATACAGATAGTCCCCGAGTTACGATAGTCTGACTTACGATATTTTTATTTTACAATAGCGATACGACAAAATTGTTAAATATTTTAAATTTCGCGCGGCAGGCAAACGCAGCAGCGTACGAGGTACGATACTGTATGTTGGCACGCTGCCGGGATGTCTTGTATGGTAATGCCTCACTTTCACCAGCAGTCAATGGAGTTAAGTTGTCTCAGTGTTAGCGCGTGTATTTCTTTCTATTAAATTGCAGTTCATATAGGTAGGCAAAAAATTTACCTTGTTTTTTACTTTACATTTTACTGTGCAATACAGTATTGTAATTAATAAATACATACAGTATATGGTTTATACAGTACGGTATTGTAAATATCTCTGTTTTGCTAAATGATCACCATTCTTTAAGACTCCTGGGTAGGCGAGGCCATCTTCGACTTACGATATTTTTGACTTACGATGGGGTCGCCGTAACGCATCTCCATCGTAAGTAGAGGACTACCTGTAGCTTCCCCCAACCACCTTCCTTCTCTTTCCTCTGTGACCGACTGCCACTTTATGTCAAACGAGGACGCCCATTGTTTGTGTAGTGTCCGTATGTGCGGTGGGAATTAAGATGCTGTGTAAAGCCACATTGTATCGTACCGACTCGAACAGAGACCCACAACGAGACTAATGCTTGGCTCTCTCTCAAAAATATTCCCACTGTTTCTGTACATCCATCGTAAGATGCGGTCGCATTGAGACGCCACGTAAATCCACAAAGTTACTTGTGTCGTTTTTCTAAGGTGGAAGGAAAGTCGCTCGATGGAAACCACCACACGGTATGACTCCCGCGTAATCACTGCGACCGTCACCGTCACACATTTTATAACCGCAACGCGGCAAAGTGGGCGATTAATTTCATCGACCGACCGACAATGAGCGACGGCTCCAGTCAATCACCCCCCCCAGCACCACCACCACCACTCCCAACCGTGGTTTGAACTTCGCAAAACTCTCCGCTCGATCGCGAGCAGCGTGGTCGCACGCTTGCGCCCCGTACGCGGACACGTGACCTACTGGTCGTAGGACGACGGCAGGATGTAGTAGTCCCACCACTCCACCTCGGGGACCTCGTCGTCCTGCTGCTCCTTCTTGGGCGCGATGAGCGCCAGCTTGGTGGCCGACTGGATGCCCGTCTTCTTGGCGGCTTGCGCGATCTCCGACTGCAGCTTCTCCAATTGCGCCTACCGGGAAACATCAGCAGCTCTTGTAGTTAAAACACTTAGGCTCTGTGTACCGGAGCCACCCCACAAGAGATTCAAGATTCTGTTTGTGAGAAAACGAGACTTTAAGGAGCCCTGCCGCAGCACTCTAGTTGGATCACCACATTTGACTTGTTAAAATTAAATTAAACCTGTACGAGAACATCCAATCGATCAATAATGGACAAAGTTACTTTCTCGTTCGATTAATCGAGTTCAAGGCCAACCATGCAATCGATTAACAACCCTACAAGAAGAAAAGCAACGTTCTAAAAACTCTCGCGCGGTAAGCAGCGCACCGTCTTGTGGTTTAGTGGACGCAAAACGCTACAGTATTTACTAACATTTACTTTACTGCAAACACTCCCTCTCTCGTATGGTTACTCCGCCCGGCAGTTTCACCGCCACCGCCACCGCCGCCCGCCCCTCCCCCCTCCCTCACCTTGCACCGTATACGCTGCGCGATCTTCTCGAAGCGGCCCTTATCGTGGAAGCGGAAGTGGCGTCGCGGGCGCGAGGCCACCTCGGCGGGCACGCGCGGGTCGTAGAAGTGCTGCGCCTCCACGTCCTCCGTGGGCCTCTCCTTCAGCTGCTGCTTGAACTGCTGGCGCCGCACGGCGCGGATGTTCGCCTTCAGCGTGGGCATGCGGTGTGTGAGCTCCACGGCGCGCCCCGCCGCGTCCACCGTGCGGCCCTGGTCGTCCAGGATCAAAGGGGCCGGACGGGCACCGGGGACAGCGCCAGGGGCCGCGCCGCCGGCGGCCGCCGCCGCTGCGGTGGCCGCGTCCTTGCCGGCCAGCTGGTCGGCGATGCCGCCCATCCTGGCGGACGGAGTTGGGGGTGGAGGGAGATTGTGGTCAGAGTAATAAGATTAAACTAAAAACAAAACGATTTTTATTTTACCATGTGAGGCCCACTGAGCTATATAACGCTTTTTCATAAGTGACCTGGCCACACAACGATAGCTCAACGAAGTGGCCTATCGTGTGGAAATTTATAGCACCCAAATACTCTACGCGCACGTTTATTCTAAATGTGGAGGGGAAAATCAGAGGACCCGGAAAAAAATCCACGCGACTACAGGCCTCAGGGTTGGGATCGAACCCACGACCTCCTGTATACCATGCGAGGTAGTTAACATATCGAGGTTCAAGGGGGGCTCTCGCATTTGCGTCGGACGCAGCTTGGAACACGTGGATTAGAGAATATACAGGGTGACAATGACGACTGCTGTAAAAGTCAACGATTCAGACCAGGATGATGGGGAAGACCGTGCCGACTAAAATTACGTCGACAACAGTGATGTTGGTGATGATGATGATAATAAGTACATTTACATAGCGCTTTTCATCAAGGATTTGAAAGCACTGTATAGAAGACAGCAGCAGCAGACACTCGGCATGAAAATAATATATATACATTTTAAGAATCACAACTAAATGTATTAATAGGTTTTAAGGCGCATTTTAAAAATGTTCACAGACTCAGAGATCCATGATATCTGATGGAAGAGCGTTCCATAGCCTGGGGGCTACACGGGAAAATCTCGGTCACCCACAGGCCGAAGCTTCGACCTGGGAATGCAGAGAAGATCTGCATCCCCAGATCTTAGGGACCTTGAGGAGCAGAGGCCGCAACCGGGTACCTGATACCCGTACCCTACCCGATACCCGGCTACCCGGTCGGGTACGGGTACCCGTTTGCGACTCTGTTGCAGCCGGGTACGGGTACGGGTAGACCGTGAGTCACTGGTGAGTAACTGTTTGTCACTCATTTCCCAACGTCTTGTCTCTTCTCACAATTCAAGTTCCTAGAATCAACCCACCCGCGCCTGCAACATGGCTTCATCCCAGAGGTCGCGATCAGGTACCCGATACACGTACCCTACCCGTACCCGCTCCCCACCTTAGTCCACACACACACACCACACACCACACACAAACGGTACTCACTGGAACGCGGCCAGGCTAAGCCCAGGAGGCAACCCGACGCCCATTCCCAACCCCGCGCCCCCGAGATTGAACCCCAACCCCATGCCGGGGAACATCCCCAGCGCCATGCTCAGCGCCGAAACCCCACCGGCGCCGGCTCCGATGCCCAGCCCGGGCCCGCCGATCCCCAGGGCGGCGGCGGCGGCGCTGGCCGCGGCGTTGGCCCCGCCGCCAAGGTCGGCGCCCCCAAGTCCGGTGCCCCCGAGTCCTCCCCCGCGCGACGCCAGCTGCCCCAGCTGCGCCTGGATGCGCGCCTGCAGCTCGGCCGCCTTGCGCGCCTTCTCGATGGCGTCGTTCATGAAGGTGGCGGCCTGCGACGGCGCGATGGTGCTGCCCATGAAGGTGAAGAGGTGAGCGGGTGGCGTGCCCGATTGGAGGCCTCCTCCGCCGCTGCTGATACCGCCACCACCGCCGCTAGCGCCACTGCTCGCGGTGGTGATGGTGTTGTTGCCACCGCTGCCGCCGCCACCACCCTGCGGAGACTAGAAAATGAAGACGATGCGTGTTAGTCCCTGTCGTGGTTCCACCATGCCGTGCCAAGTTACACACCCATACCTAGGATGCTGCTATGGTATAATGGTCAGCACACCGGACTTGCAATACAGAGGTCGCCAGTTGAACCTCCCGGCACAGCAGCTGAAACAACGGGCAAGTTTCTGACGTTTCTAGAGCGGCTCTCTCGAGCTACCTGGAGTGCAGATCCTTCCACCAGCAGTGGCATGAGCAAGTAACTGCAGGGCTGCACTTTTATCGTTCCCTTACGCAACCCCTCCCAAGCCTTGGCCGCAATATTTTTCAGAGGCAGCGTTTTTTTTGGGAGTCAAAGATTTTCTTCGCTCCAGCCAACGAGGCTTTGCTTCGAAGCCCTCGGCGAACCTTTACTCAATGGGAGGTCGCTCATTCTCCATTACTGCCCCCCCCCCCCCCCCCCCCCCCCCCATTCATTGTCTGCTGCCCCCATTGTCAGGAAGAAGCAAAGAGAAACAGATAAGCAAAAAAATCGCATGAACCGCAGAGAAGCAAAATAATGCTAAGAAATCCCCCAAGTGATTTAAAGAGAGACAAACCAAACGGAAGCAAAGTCAAGCGAAGTGCAGAGAAGCAGCGGCCGTTCTCTGTGCGCGCTGCGCGGTGTTTGTGCCGCCACTTGCCTGGACGCTCTGGACGCTGGGGCGTGGTGCAGGCGGCGGCTGCTGCTGCTGCTGCTGCTGTTGTTGCTGCTGTTGCTGCTGCTGCTGCCCCCCTCCCTGCGGCCCTCCTGCCGTGGACATGAAGCTCAGCTGCTTCTTGCGCTCCTCGATCTGTCTCGTCGCCGCCTCCATCATCTGCTTGATCTGTTGGTGGTACGACACGCGCACAATACATAAATATGCACGAACACGCATGTGGAACGCGGGTCGCAAGGTTCACAGAGCAGCAGCACACACACACAGACAGATATACAGACTCATACACACATAGTGACAAAAACAAAGATCCCTCATATAGCCTTCATAGACTGCGAGGGCAAGTGCTGTTAGTGAGCCCCTATGAAGGCTGGCACGAAACATGAGGCGGTGGGTGACCAGCACCACGCCTGACCACCTTTGTACTCATTTGAGTACATTTGGTATTTGAGGCGGGGTCGACCTAGGGGAGGGCCCATGACCAGTTCAAATATTCATCAGTCATTTGTCGCGAGAGGGAATCGAACTCGCGTCGCCGGGTTTATAGCACCACCGCCCCTCCCCCGCCCATGACATATATAGTGACACGTACACGCAGAGACAAATATACATAACTTACAATAATACATATAAACATATGTAACCTATGACAAAATCACCTGGAATGTGCCCTGGCCACCCAAACCCTGGCCCACCGACCTACACCAGGGCTTTGCTCCTGGGGCTCCCCACTGCCAGCCACTGCCACTGGTGCTTCCTACCCGTGACCTGCTCCGTTCCCTTGGCCTCCTGCGAGGCCATCGATGTGATCCTTCGTCATAGGGGCTGTCGGAGCGGCAGGGGCCGTACAGCGCGATTGGGACACCGTACGGCCAATCTCGCGCTTAAACCGCCCTCACTCATTGCCGCAACCCCCCAAATCCCCTCTCCTCCAAGCTTCCCCCACCATATCCGTCTTGCACTGCCGTATCACCTCGTATTCACGCCGTCATCACCATCGTCATGTGAATAGCTCACATCCCCTTCCCATCTCCCCTGCACACGCGAACAACCACTGCCCTCCATCCCCAGGCCTCCAACACCTCCACAAATCACCTCAATCCACCTCGGCCTATGGAACTCGTGCTCATGTTTGCAATAAGAAGCCCGCATCCACCCTCGATGCTTTCCTTTCAAGAAAACCTCCTACGCCCTAGCATTAACGGAAACTCGGATCTCTCCACTGAACACCACTACCCCCCACCGCGTTATCCACCCCCCTGACCCAATTCCTCCATTAACCTCGTCCCTCGGGCAAGTCTCGGTGGCAGCGTTGGGCTGCTCATCCCCTCCTCCTGGATGCACTCTCGAACCTATCTGATTCCCTCCCCACGTTTTCCTCTTTCGAATTTAAATGTTCCTCTATCTCCACTCAATTTCCTTCCTCGTCATTGACCATCCCCCGGGTCCCTGCTCCTCTTTCTTCAATGATCTAGACCAGGGGTCGGGAACCTTTTTGACTGGGAGAGCCATAAAAGCCAAATTTTTATAAATATATTTCATTGAGAGCCATATAGTATTTTTAACGTATAATAAATTAAATATGTTTTACTTTTAATGCGACTTCTGGTGCTGCGTGGTTTTGCTGATGGCCTTGTAGTCTGGTTCATACGTGGTGAGGTTGAGCTTCGTGCAGGCGTGACCCGTGAAATTTATCTTCAAAACTAATTTCTGTTTACTTTAAAATGACACAGTATTATTAAGCAATATCACAAGTATTTTAAAATCAGTTCCAAACTGATTTTTATTTATTTTTTCAACTCAAAATTGTCTGGGAGCCATATGCCGTCACTGAAAGAGCCATATATGGCTCGCGAGCCATAGGTTCCCGACCGCTGATCTAGACCAGCGGTCCTCAACTTTTTTGGCACCAGGGACCGGTTTCAGTGGAAGACAATTTTTTCACGGACCGGGGGGGGGGGGGGGGGGTTCATCATTGGGTCTTTCCCCCTTTTCAAAGAAGCTCTCCAGCGACGTTTGTTCCTCATCTTGGCTAGGGTTAGCTTGTGGGCTTACCAAAACTGTGAATGAGACAAGTAAATAAAATAATGGGGGCGGGCCACGTGCGGACTCACCGCTCTCACCTCTTGCTGCTGTGCGGCCCGGTTCCTAACAGGCCGCGGACCGGTACCGGTCCGTGGCGACCCCTGATCTAGATTGTCTCCTATCAACTCTCTTTCCAACCTCTTCTCCATTAAACCTCCTGGGCGACTTTAACCTTCATCTAACATCCCCATCCACCTCTGCTACTCTCCTGTCGATTACTTGCTCCTTCCACCCGCAGCTTATCCCCCCTCTTCCCCAACTCATTGCTCGCGTAGGACACTCGATCTCATCTTCATTTGCGGTTGCTTCAGCCTCCAATCCTTTAGTTGACCCATGACCTCCGTCCGATCACTTACTAATGACTGTGACAATACGAGTCCCCTCCCCCCACCTTCCCCACCTTCCCCGCCTTCCCTCGCACCCCCACTCCTCCTCCACAATCTACACTCCCTTGACCACTGCACGCTTCTTTCCTTGGTTTCCTCATCGCTTCCACCAATCTCTGATTCTCCTTCATGCACCCCGACACTGCCTCTTCAGTCCTAAATTCGGTACTTTCTTCTTCTTTGGACACGCTTGCACCTATGCTCCCCTTCCACCCTCCATGTCCTTGGTTATCACCAATGCTCAAGTCGCAGCGGCAGCTCAGCTCGCGCACAAAGCAGAGCGCATCTGGAGGACTTCACCAACCCATGACTCATGTTCCTCATATAATTCCCTCCTATCAAATTACACTTCGGCCCTGGAGGCTTCTCGCCAAACATATTTTCTTTCCCTCATTTCCTCCCTATCTCCACACCCTGCTCGACTCTTCAATACTCTAAACGCTCTGCTCCATGCATCTTCTACTGCACCTGCAACTTCCTCTTCCGCCCCCACTCATGCGGTCCTCTCCAACTACATTCTTGGTTCTTTCCGTAAAGTCACGTAGAAGGGAAATAATAAAATAATAAAACATAATAAAATAAAATTCTCACGACGTTTCCGCCACAACGCAAGCAGCCGTCCTCAGGTGAAGAACATTAGGACACTGTCTTTCCGGCAGCTCTGTTCTTCACCTGAGGACGGCTGCTTGCGTTGTGGCCGAAACGTCATGAGAATTGTATTATTTTATTATTTCCCTTCTATGTGACTTTACCGAAAGAATGAAGAATATGAATCCCTGCAGTAACGAAAGCTTTAAATCGAAACCTCTCCAACTACTTCAAGACTTAGATCACCCACATTCGCTCCTCCTTGCTCACTGCGCAACCTCCTGATATCCGTGCACCGACTGACACCTCCCCCCCCCCGTCCCACCGTACTACTTGTTCCTTAAATGCTTTCTCCGCCGTTTCCGTTCTGGAGCTGTCTACCATCGTCTCCAAAACCCGCCCCACATTTTCCTCCCTCGATGCCCTTCTGCCTTCCCTTCTTCCGTCCATTCTCCCCACAATTAATTCCACTTGGCTCTCTTTGACTCTTCCCTCTCCTCTGGTATCTTCCCCAACTCCATCATCTTACCGCTTCTCAAAAAAAAAACGTATTCGATCCTTCTGTCCCTGCACACTATCGCCCTATTTCCTTGCTTTCTTATTTCTCCAAACTCCTTGATTGCTTATTGCACAACCCGCCTCTCATCCTACATCTCTTCCCACTCGCTGTATCCCCTCCACCAGTCAGGGTTCCGCCCTCTCCATTCCACTGAAACCGCCCTCCTTCAACATCCACAACCACCTGGCCAACTCGCGTCACTCCGGTCTATCATCCGTCCTTATCCCTCTCGATCTGTCTTTTGCCTTCGACACTCTTGATCCACTCCATCCTCCTATCCACTCTCTCCAAACTCGGCAACTCTGAACTATTGCCGATACTACGAATTGGTGTTGGCGTAATTGAAAAACATATATAGGTGCGCGGCGGTCCACGGACAAGGATGTTGGGGGTTGGCAGTGCCACGCTGGTGCTCCACAAAGGTTGGGAGAAGCCGCTATGGGCGGCGGTGGGGCTGTGGCGCACAACGGAGGGCAACGCTGCAGCAAAATCCACGGTCGCACCGCCCTCCCACGTGCCCACCCACCTGGGTCTTGGTGAGCATGCTGGGCTCAGCCGGGGGCGCCGGCATCACCCCGTCCCCGTCTCCGTCCACCGAGGGCTCGTCCTCGGCAAACCGCGGCACGCGCTTGCGCTTGGCGGCTGGCGCCGGTACCGGCGCGGCCTCCCTGGGGGTGTCCGGGTCGTCCCCAAACACGTCCTGCGGGCGGAGAGCGACGCCTGTTCCTCCTTTACTCTCTCGCTGGTGCCTCGCACGTGCACCATGCTCGCTCCTTCGCTCGCAGCACCCGCTCCCTTTGCCTTACCCTCCCCCTTCCTTCCCTTCCATCCCTCTCCCATTCCCTCACACCCGCCCTGCCTCCTCCTCAGCTTAAACGGTAGGCAAGCGATGGTTAAAGCAACCACGTTCAAGGAGAGCTCAACCGGGAGACGTGGTGTGAACTGACTGCTCCCTCCATCACCACACAAATGTATTCCTTGCCTCTCTCCCTTTGCCTGAGGTTAGACCAGTCCTGGATTCAAAGCCATTGTCAACCCAAGCAAATGAGAGTGAAATTGAATACAATTGTGCAAAATGTGTTGTGCGCTGCTGTGATTGCGGGTAGTTTTCTGCACTGGGTAACTTAACATAAAATAGGTAATTAAATGCAATTTCGGTTCCGAACCAAATTTTATTTGCGATGGATTTTTTGTTCAGTTTGGCAACCAGACTGAGACCAAAAACTCGCCGCACTTCAGAGAACCACGTTTATTCACAAGTGCCTGGATTCGAACCCAGGATCTCTGCGGCACAAGCTCAGACGTACGACCACTCTTCTTTTGAAAACAACACGATCGGTGAAAACGACCTCAAACTTGCCTTCACAATTTACGAGGCACATGCACACACACGACGCACGCGGGCAAATGAACATAGCGGGTGTAGGAAACTCACTTTCAGCTCTCTTTTGCGATTCTTCTCCATGGTGGCCTTGGAAAACTTGTAGTTTTTCACCTCCTCAACAGCATCGAACAGCTTCTCCACAAACCTAGACGTCGACTCGTCCAGGAAAGCCTTCAGTTGCTCTGCGGACGGAGAGAGAGAAAGAGAGAAAGGGGCGTGGTGCAGGGGGGGCAGAGGGGCAGCAAGAAATCAGAGGCGACATTCACTCATGCGGTGCCCTCTACAATCAAAAGCCAAATCCCAGTGGTGGCCGGTGGGTAATATGTCTTGGTGTGGCTGATCAAACCTGCTAATGACGGGAATAACTCATCATAACTAATAATAGTGCAGGCTGGAAAAACCATACGTTTCAAACAACAATAATCAGCTTTGTGCATATTGATAATGAAAAACCCCATCAGCATTTCCTGAAGAAGTGCATTGTGGTCCCCTTGTCTTGGGCCACCATCACATGTTATGTGAGCAAATGACAGGGTAATTGACGCAGCGATAGACAACTGTAGAGGAGAGAGGGGGAGCAGGGTTTAAAGGGGGTGGGAAAGGGATGTACGCAGTTAAAAATCTGTATAATGAGCAGATAAATATTGTCACGGTTTTTTCTCCACTTGCAGGGCCTGGCCCCACCGGCCCCTAATGATGAACTGCCACTGTCTGCGATTACACCTGGACTTGTAAATGGTTCACACCTGCCTGGTTGGTTCAAAAAAATGTCATGAATCATGATTGTATTTGTCCTAAACTCTATTTTAGTCTTAATATATACTAACTGTAGGGCAATCTTAACAGCTGCACTGAATATGCGAACCCATTGCATACAACAGACATAAAGGACATTACTTAATTTTCCACACACACACACGAGGGTACACGCACCGTTAGCTTAAGAATGTACACCGATTGATGAAGAAAATGTTTGTTACAAAAGCACGTGCAGTGATTCACCTCCAAAGGGAGATTAATCGTCACAATTCGGGGTCGGGATTCGATTCCATAGTGTACCACTTCCTTTTCATTGCTTCTCGTTACTTCTGTATTGTTTGTGCAGTTGTTCGCACCCTGAGACTAATCTTAACTTTACATTCACCCCTCCCTCCCCTTGGGGCACAGCACCTTCATTGCGCACGATGTGTCATGACACGTTTGCCACAGCAAAGGAGATTTCGCAAAACAAAACAGAGTCTTTGCTCGCAAACGCAATTCCTGGCCAACAGAGGATGGCGCAGGCCGGTCCACCATCGTCACCTTCCGTCTTGCCGCGGTCCATGCCCTTGCCCACGCAGTTGAGGGCGGCGGTGACGACTGTGGGCTCCGTGAAGCCCAGGACCTTCTTCACCGTCTTCTCCACCCACGGTTTTAGCTCCTCCACATCCTTTTTAGTGAGCGCCATCTCCAAAAACTGCAATTGCCGCTGCTGTGGTGACAAAAGATTGTATTCGTTATCGTTTGTAAATCATGGTCGCTTATTACAGGCCCAACATGCTTTGCAGCAAACACTAAACAGGACTGCTCACTGATGGTGCAACAGATGAAAGAGTAAATGCATTTCATTGAATCGAGCAACGTCGTACAACACTTGGGGCGAAGTAGACGAGGGGAGGGAATTCCAACGAGGAACAGTTCAAGGGAGGAAAGATAACTGCGGTGAGCTGCGGTGTGGTGGTTAACACAGCGTGGGTGGTGACAAACAAGTCTGGAAGACCGAGTCCTCAACACGGGTGGAGAAATCAATAAGCTGATGAGTAACCATGGTAGTAACGACAGAAGAGTGACGAGGACGGGACTGACACCCAGTTGGTGACGAGCGTGAAACGGTGAGTTCTAAGTCATTAACCCGACTGAAATCTGCAATATAATTCAGTAAGTTTGGTTTTAGCACCATTCATATCGTGGGAGGTAACCATGAAGACACCCGTTTCACAAACGAGGTATCGTCCGTCAGTTGATGGTGATGGTGCTATGCTGATTTAACGAATTAAACAATTATCAAGTTCATCTTCTTGGATCTTTCGGTAAAGTCACGTAGAAGGGAAATAATAAAATAATAAAAATAAAACATTAATTAATTCTCACGACGTTTCGGCCACAACGCAAGCAGCCATCCTCAGGTGAAGAACAGGTCTGTCGGGAAGACAGCGTCTGACATTTTTTTACCGAAAGAACCAAGATGAATCCCTGCAGTCACGAAAGCTTTAAATCAAACAAATTATCAAGTTATTATTAAAATTTCGACCGTCACGCGGGCACACACGGCCCACCCTTTTTTTCGAATGTCACGGGATTTGTTATGTCCACAGTTAAGCAGACGACGCGTAACCTACTTACGCACCCACAGTATTAACCAGGGCAGCCAATGAGCTTGAACCGAGAACCGCTGCGACAAGTGGCAAATGTGCGCGAGACCTCTCGGTCCCATTGTCGGACAAGTAAATATTTCAGAATTACATGTCGTGTTGATACAACCACATCTCAAGCCGCGGTGCAAAGAGTGGGTAGATTATAATTGGTTTTTTACCCTTTTATCTGGTAACAAAACTGAGACCTTTTTTACAAGGAGTCATGTTTGCATAGACCACAATACCTGCAGCCATAATGCAAACAAAAAACATAACTCTGATAATATATGCACTGTCCTTGAAGTTGATTGGTCCACACCCGAGACAGCTTTCCTTAGAGCCTAGTCTCACATGGGTTGGACCACATGACGCCAAAAGGCGCACAACTCAAAGACAATGCACCATCAGAGTATGAGAGCTCGGGGTAAGCATTTACACCATTGGAACCTCATTTGCCAGTAAAAAATATAATTGGTTTTTTACCCTTTTATCTGGCAACAAAACTGAGACATTTTTTTACAAGGAGTCATGTTTGCATAGACCACAATACCTGCTGCCATAATTTACAGAGGCAGTCATTTATAGGGCTGACGTGGAAAGGAATGTCTTGAATGAACAGGGCATGGGGATCCACAGAACGGATAGCAAGGGGGATGATGTTTTCCTAACAGGTGTTTAACAGTAAACAAACCTTACAGTACGGTATGCTAGCCTCCATAAATTAAGTTCCATAACCACAAATTGGTGTTTATCTTTTATTTGGATTCTGTTCAACTGGAATAAGGCACGTTTGCAAGTATATACTCGTAAATTGTTTTTATAATAACTGGACATGTATCGTTATAGCTCATCGGATCATCCACACCCAATCTGGAACCAATTACCGTGTGTATTGTCAACATCGTTAAACGTTGGCTAATGGGTCAAAACCCTCGCAATAAAGCGAGTGTGTCACAAGCGACCGTACTGGAACAATTAATAAATCCACATTTTGAGAACGAGATGTATTCACCGCTCAAGGACAAACAGATTCAAACAGAGCTTTTATCCAACAGCGATCACCACACTCAATAATGCTAATTAATTATTAAGTAATAGTGTTTACAATTGATTGTGAAATAGAGATGTGCAATGACAAAACGTAACCTTATGTGGGTATCTGAGTATACTTGGGCTGTTTTTATATATAGTATAAATTGATTATCTTTCATTTAATTTAATTTTTATTTTCTTGTTTTATTTAATTTAAATTTATGAATGATGCCCTGACTGGTGAGCATTTTAAATTTCGTTGTACTGGTGACAATGACAATAAACGATCTATCAATCCGAGCCTCTGTACGGTGCAAATCAACGGCTTTCTACGCTTGATTGACCGGATCAAGTAAGGCCACCTCTCACAAGAACCCAGTTTACTTTCAAGTCACGGGCTTTCTATGCGAGTCTATAGGTCTCTGTGTCGTTAAGTCTTTGGTGACCGGCCTGAGCCCATCAGCTCACATTTGAGTGCTCGATTTATCGACCGCGCACGGCAATATTACATTTCCCAACACACATACGCGCCGACATCAGTATCGACGGCCGCGATTGGCCGGATCGCCCGTCACGTGGTCTCCAGCGTCCAATGGCAAGAGTCGATAGAGCTGCCCCGCTTAAGCCGGGTAGGGAAATCTAAACAGTTGGCCAGTCAAAGCTATCTTCAAACATTTGTATTCCGTTTAAACAGAAACCCTCTTAAACGTCACGCGCTTTTGATTAAATACACAAATATCGCGCGAATGTGCGTCAGGAAACACGGACATCAACATCGCACGTTAACCCCGTGAACACAGCAAAGGCCTAGGCAGATGAGGCCTTCCTAAGGCTTCCCGCGCTCGTGAAGTAAAAAAAAAACCACACAAGCGGCGTCGCTCTCGCGTTTCCATTCGCGCACTGACCCCCTTCGCTTCGCCCTCGCCGCCGAGATATCGATGGAGAGATCGATCGATTAGTCGCGATTATTGAGCCTTCATTCAGACGAACGGAGCAGTCTCGTCGCGTGGTCACGTGGGCTACGAGCGCTGCACCACGTGGTGCGGTGGGGTGGGAGGGGGGAAGTCTCGCGAGAGTGTGGGGGGGGAAGTCTCGCGAGAGTCGGATGAAGGGGGGTGGGGCACGTGGTGGGGGGGGGCACGTGGGGGGGGGCACGTGGGGGGGAGGCACGTGGGGGGGGGCACGTGGGGGGGCACGTGGGGAGGGGGGGAGCACGTGGGGGGGGGCACGTGGGGGGGGCACGTGGGGGGGGGGGGCACGTGGGGGGGGCACGTGGGGGGGGCACGTGGGGAGGGGCACGTGGGGGAGGCACGTGGGGGGGGGGGGCACGTGGGGGGGGGCACGTGGGGAGGGGCACGTGGGGGGGCGGTCGGGCGTGGTGCTGACCTTAATAGGTGCTCGCTAACAACACCACTTGCCCCAACAGTCTGTTACAGATTCTAGATTTGAAGCTTTCGTGACTGCAAGGATTCATACTCTTAGTTCTTTCGGTAAAGTCACGTAGGTAAAAAATGAAATAAAATTTAATAAAAAATATTATTTTATTTTTATTAATTTTAATTTCATTTTTAAATTAATAAAAATATTATTATTTTATTTTTATTAATTTAAATTTCATTCTTAAATCCTTTATTAAATCCTTTATATTAAGTTCGCGTGCTTGCTTGCTTGCTTAGGACCGTGCAAATCTTTCGGTCGTTTTTTAACCCACTTCCCGTGATCCAATCGAGATGACATTTTCCACACAGACTCGTTGTGCGTGACAATTAATGTTCGTGAAAAAAATTTCCAACATTTTACACTTTTTAGGACAAAAATATATTTAATTACCAATTGCTTAATGGTGCAATGCAATCATCTGACCCATAGGTGGCAGCCATCTCAAGCCAGAGGACGAGAGGACTCGAGCCGCCACGCATATAAAGGATTTATAGTGAAAAACTTTGTTTTTACTGGGTTATACTTGTTTACCTACGTGACTTTACCGAAAGAACTAAGAGTATAGTCTGTTACAGGCTATACGGGGATCTTTGTCTTTGCTACGGGTGAGGGAAAGGGTTAATAGGTTGAGGTGAAGTCTCGCGACGCCGCGAAGTCTCGCGAGAGTTTGATGAGCGGAGCGTGGCGGTCTGGGGGCGGGGCGATATGAGGGGGAGGGGCTTGAGTGCGACCCAGTCACGTGACCGGCAAGATTAATTGAGAAGCGATTTGACCATACTTCACCACGCTGGTTCATGCGGGTGGGTGAAGAGCTCTGCGTTACCACCCGAGTTCGATTCCTGGTCAGGGCCAGATTAATATTTTGTAGGCCCCAGTGGCGGCTCCTGCAAAATCTCTCAGGGGGGGCAAATGTCTGGATGATTGATAAGGATAAGGTCCACCCATGCAATGGATAAATTAACAGCTTAAGCATGTAAAGGCAACTTCACTTCTTTAATATTAATGAAAAATAAAGTGACTCTTACAATACATCTTGTTTGTTTCTATACTCACTATTAATACAATCCACTCAGTTTCTTTTATTAAAGATTCCACTAGGTGGCGACAAATAATATTGTTGGATGAAACGTGCTTACGTATGATGACGTAAGCACGTTAGTGCGAGCCCTCCCGGAAGCCATAGAGAATGCATTGCAGCGCCCGCCGTTCGAAAAAAATCATCTTTGAATGTAAGTCTATGGGAACACTCTGGGCGATTCTCAGCCGGAGTGAAATCGCCCAAAAAGAGGCGGTACTCCACAGAACGTGACTTGACGCTGATTGGACTATATCCAGAGGCACAGTAACGGCTCGCGAAACTCTGTGGTTGAATGACATTGGTGGTGCGTCGCCCAATCGCCCTAATGAAGAAACCGCCCCTGGTAGGCCCCCTGGGGCTACAGGCACCGTGAGGACCCCCAGTAATATTTTCAAAAGGAAAACAAAGTTTAAGAAAAATAAAATGTATACTGGTAGGAATCTCCTGGTTACACCAGCCCACAGGGGATTATTGTGTCCGTCGTGCAGGGAGGGGCTGGGTGGGGAGGGTGGGGAGGGGCTGGGTGGGGAGGGTAGGGAGGGGCTGGGTGGGGAGGGGCTTGGTGGGGATGGTGGGGAGGGGTTGGGTGGGGAGGGTGGGGCTGGGTGGGAGGGGTGGGGCTGGGTGGGGAGGGGAAGGTGAGGAGGGGCTGGGTGGGGAGGGTGGGGAGGGGCTCAGTGGGGAGGGTGGGGAGAGGCTGGGTGGGGAGGGTGGGGCTGGGTGGGGGGTGGCAGGGGTGGGGCTGGGTGGGGAGTGGCTGGTCACCCCGTGGTGCCCTTATAAAACTCAACGTTTAACCTACTCACGCCGGCTTGTGCCCGCCCTCACAGTCGGGCATATTTGCGGAATACACCACGCCGCCGTTGACCCTGGCCATTGACCGAGCAACCCAACGTTCCTACCAGCTCCCTCCGCAGGCATGTGTTTTTACAAGGCTAACAACAAATAAAATTCAGCATTCACAAGTGAAATAACTTTTCACTTCAATCTCTGGAGGCCTTTACAACATGGCGGGGGCCCCTGGGCTTGCAGACCCCTCAAGCCCCGTGCCTTAATCCGGCCCTGTTCCCGGTGACGATTATCTGAATCGGTCATGGGTCTCCTCTAGGTCGACTCAGCCTCACCTGGTGCCGTGTGTAAACGGCGCCGCGAGGGAGACAAAGGCGGCCGGGCGTGGTTCCTGGCCACCCACCACCTCGTGCGCCGTGCCCGCGTTCGCAGGTGCAACTCGCTAGCAGCACTTGCCGCAAACATATTCTTAGGTTTTTTCGGTAAAGTCACGTAGGTAAAAATTTAAAATTAATAAAATAAAAATAAAAATCACGACGTTTCGGAGGCAACACAAGCTTTCGTCTTCAGGTGGAACCGTCACAGCCACGACAGCTGTATCAAGTAAATGAGAGATTATATACGGAGTGGTATCTCTTGTAATCTCTCATTTACTTGATACAGCTGTCGTGGCTGTGACGGTTCCACCTGAAGACGGAAGCTTGTGTTGCCTCCGAAACGTCGTGATTTTTATTTTATTTTACTTTTATTCATTTTAATGTTTTACCTACGTGACTTTACCGAAAAAACCTAAGAATATGAATCCTTGCAGTCACGAAAGCTTCAAATCTAGAATTATTGCCCCAAACAGTCTGTGATGTTTCTAGGGGGCATCTTTGTTGTGTGCTTGTCTCTTAAGCTCCCTTAAATCATCGAGGCGGTGTTCCTTTAGAAGAGAGAGAAAATAACCAGATTAGGAGCGAGCGACCTCTGTGTGCCCCCCCCCCCCCCTCGAGAGTGCGCCAATGTCACTGTCCGTACCTCCACCGTGCGCACGCGTGTGTCACACTCGTGTTCCACACTCGTGCCACACACTCGTGTATCACACCCGTGCCACACACCCGTGCCACACACCCGTGCCACACTCGTGCCACACTCGTGTATCACACTCGTGTCACACACCCGTGCCACACACTCGTGCCACACTCGTGCCACACACTCGTGTATCACACTCGTGTATCACACTCGTGCCACACACTCGTGTATCACACTCGTGCCACACACCCGTGCCACACACTCGTGCCACACTCGTGCCACACTCGTGTATCACACCCGTGTATCACACTCGTGCCACACTCGTGCCACACTCGTGCCACACTCGTGTATCACACCCGTGTATCACACTCGTGCCACACACTCGTGTGTCACACTCGTGCCACACTCGTGCCACACACTCGTGCCACACACTCGTGTATCACACTCGTGCCACACACTCGTGCCACACACTCGTGCCACACTCGTGTATCACACTCGTGCCACACACTCGTGCCACACACTCGTGCCACACACTCGTGCCACACACTCGTGTATCACACTCGTGTATCACACTCGTGCCACACACTCGTGTATCACACTCGTGTATCACACTCGTGCCACACTCGTGCCACACACTCGTGCCACACACTCGTGCCACACTCGTGCCACACACTCGTGTATCACACTCGTGTATCACACTCGTGCCACACACTCGTGTATCACACTCGTTCCACACTCGTGCCACACACTCGTGCCACACACTCGTGCCACACTCGTGCCACACTCGTGCCACACACTCGTGCCACACTCGTGCCACACTCGTGCCACACACTCGTGTATCACACGAGTGCCACACTCGTGCCACACACTCACACTCGTGTATCACACTCGTGCCACACACTCGTGCCACACTCGTGCCACACACTCACACTCGTGTATCACACTCGTGCCACACACTCGTGCCACACTCGTGCCACACTCGTGCCACACACTCGTGCCACACTCGTGCCATACTCGTGCCACACACTCGTGTATCACACTCGTGCCACACACTCGTGTATCACACTCGTGTATCACACTCGTGTATCACACTCGTGCCACACTCGTGCCACACTCGTGCCACACACTCGTGCCACACTCGTGCCACACACTCACACTCGTGTATCACACTCGTGCCACACACTCGTGCCACACTCGTGCCACACTCGTGCCACACACTCGTGCCACACTCGTGCCACACTCGTGCCACACACTCGTGTATCACACTCGTGCCACACACTCGTGCCACACTCGTGCCACACACTCACACTCGTGTATCACACTCGTGCCACACACTCGTGCCACACTCGTGCCACACTCGTGCCACACACTCGTGCCACACACTCGTGTATCACACTCGTGCCACACTCGTGTATCACACTCGTGCCACACTCGTGCCACACTCGTGCCATACACTCGTGTATCACACTCGTGCCACACACTCGTGTATCACACTCGTGCCACACACTCGTGCCACACTCGTGCCACACTCGTGTATCACACTCGTGTATCACACTCGTGCCACACTCGTTCCACACTCGTGTATCACACTCGTGTATCACACTCGTGCCACACACTCGTGCCACACTCGTGCCACACTCGTGCCACACACTCGTGCCACACACTCGTGCCACACTCGTGTATCACACTCGTGCCACACACTCGTGCCACACACTCGTGTATCAC